TGAGGTTTGACAGATGTATACATGGGTGAAAATCCACCACACAGATGTATACATGGGTGAAAATCACATCCCCATGTCCCCACCACCCCGCACCTCCCCGTGCCCCTTTGCAGTCTTGCCCGCCTCTGCCCCCAGGCCCGGCAGCCACTGATCCGGGTCACTGAGGATCAGTGTTTCACAGTGCACTCCGCGGGTGGCTTTTTGCCTCTGGCTTCTTTTACTTAGCATGATGTGTGTTTTTTTTTCAATTGATTTTTCACAGAGAGGGAGAGGGATGGAGAGTTAGAAACATCGATCAGCTGCCTCGTGCACACCCCCTCCTGGGGATGTGCCCACAACCAAGGTACATGCCCTTGAGCGGAATCGAACCTGGGACCTTTCAGTCCGCAGGATGACGCTCTATCCACTGAGCCAAACCGGTTTCAGCTAGCATGATGCTTTTGAGATGTAGCTGTTTTTGCGTGGGATCAGCGGTTCATCCTTTTTTATTTATTTTTTTTAATATACTTATTGATTTCAGAGAGGAAGGAAGAGGTAGAGAGATAGAAACATCAACGGTGGGAAAGAATCACCAATCGGCTGCCTCCTGCAACACCCCCCAACGGGGATCCAGCCCGCAACCCTGGCACATGCCCGAGGCCAGAATCGAACCTGGGACCCTTCAGTCTGCAGGCCGATGCTCTATCTCCTGAGCCACACCAGCCAGGGCCATCCTCTTTCTTTTCATTGCTGAGGAGTTTGCCTGTGTCTAGATGATGTGCTGTCTGTCAATGGATGTGGGGTGGCCCCAGTCGGGGCTGTTGTGTATAAAGGTGCATTGGGTCACAGGTCTCTGCACGCCACCCACTTTTCAGAGCACAGACTCTGCAATGCCTGGGGCAATGCACACAGTAGTTACAACGTAGGAAAAGCACTGTCCCCTCCAGCATCTGGGAGGCACACCCCTTCCCTCCTCCCGTGCCCAGTGGGAATCCTTGGCTGCTGGGTCAGGGGCGGTCCAGGAGGTGCCGGGGAGAGCCAGGAGGGGAACCATAGGGGACTCGTGGCCGTGGATTAATAATCCATAATGGAATGTTTTTGTGTTCAAACCGCTGGCCTGGCCACAACCGTGCATGTGCAGGCTTGACTCAGCTCTGGGCACGTCCTCTTGGCTCTCCTGAAATGAAGTTCATAATAATATAACCAACCCACCTGCACACGATTTTAAAAACAATCTCACATGGCCCGAAGTGTAAGTGAAAGGAGAAATGGGGGGCAGGGGGTGAAGGGAGCATAAGGACGCATATGTAATACCTTAATCAATAAAGAAATTTAAAAAATAAAAATAGATAAAAGGGCAGAAATTTGTACTATGCATTTCCATTGGGAATGTACACCTCCGGAGCCTGAGGAGGCAGCCAGATGTTTACACCTGCAGCGAAGGCAGCTCCCAACACGGCTGGAAGCACGTGCGTGGTCTTGGTGTCTAATTGTCAAGAGCTGTGCGGATGTGATTTTCTGAACCTGTTGACAATCTTTGGCCAAGTTTTGAACAAAACACGATACAAGTTTCCCTCGTTTTACATGGATCTGCACTTCCTGGAACATTCAGGACCTGCTAACACCTTACAGAAAGCACCTTTGAGTTTGCAGGAAGAGACAGGTTCAGGGCTCAGAGAATTATTAACCAGGCTTTACAAGTAAGGCCCAATATTTACTTAGTCTGCGCTAGTATGATGTGCTGGTTTAAAATACTGAAATACTTCTGGCTGATTAATGGTGTGAGAGCAATCGAGAATCAGTAAAATGCAATAATGACAAGTTGTAATAGCAATCATTAGTTCAAGTTCATTGTTGTGCTGGGTTTTCTACCATATAATTACTTAGTTGGCTGTATTATAAGGGCTAGAAAAGTTTGAAATGTAACTGCTGTTCTGGAACAGTGAAAACATAAAAACACTATACGAAGAGAAATTTTTTATCTATTGAAATTTTTTATCTATTGATACGAAGAGAAATTTTTTATCTATTGAAATCTTAAGTCACCTAATGATTTGCAATTTTATGGGATGTTGCTAGAAGCATTTGATGGGATTCCCTTACCAAATCATGGCTAAGGCAAGATTATATATAGTAATGTGTGTGTGTGTGTGTGTTTGATAAGTATACATATATTTAGCTGTGTCAATCAAGAAATCACACCAACAATTTCTAAATGAAATAAAATTAAATAAATTAAAAATGAGTTGAACTTCAACTTACGTTCTTTGCACATAACTTAAAGAAATGTGAACCTATGGATAGATCATTTTGATGATTACTCTGAGAATTAAAAAATAATATTTAAAAACTTGATGCAGCTCGGCGGCTGTAAAGCTTGCGAGGTCCAGCCGGCCAGGGACGTCGGATCCATTGTCCTCAGCGCTGCGACCCTTGCCTGAAGGCTCCCAATAAAACAGATTGTTCCTACAAAAAAACAACAACAAAAAAACAAAAACTTGATGCATACTCTGACAGGGTAGCTTAGTGGTTAGAATGTCGTCCGGATACACCAAGCTTGTGGGTTCGATCCCTGGTCAGGGCACATATAGGAATCAACCAATGAATGCACAAATAAGTGGAGCAACAAACTGATGTTTCTCTCCTCCCCCTTCACCTCTCCCTCAAAAAAAAAAATCAATAAATAAAAGAATAAATACATAAAAACAAAAAATTATGCATATATTGATATATACATAAATTCATATTACCATACTAGCTACAAAATATTTTGAACATCACCTGCACTTCATGAATGTCCAAGGGACACTTGAGGACAGTATGTGAACTCTGGCCGGGGCAGCTGAGCTGGTTAAAATGTCATCCCAATACACCAAGGTTTCTGGTTTGATACCCGGTCAGGGCACATACAAGAATCAACCAGTGAGCCCTGACTGTTTTGACTCAGTGGACAGAGCATCGGCCTGCAGACTGAAGGGTCCCAGGTTCAATTCCAGTCAAGGGCATGTGCCTTGGTTGCAGGCACATCCCCAGCAGGGGGCAGCTGATCGATGTTTCTAACTCTCTGTCCCTGTCCCTTTCTCTCTGTAAAAAAAAAAAAAACCAACAAAATATATCTTTTAAAAAAATGAATCAACCAGTGAATGCATAAATAAATGGAACAACAGATTGATGTTTCTTTCTCTCTCCCTTCTTCTCTCTAAAATTAATAAACACACATTTGAAGACGGTACGTGACCAGGGACATTTTCCATGGTGTGCAGGTGCCCTGCGTGTAGGACATCCTCCACCCCTTGGGCTGTGTCTTCCAAGGGCCAAGAGCACCGCCCAACCACAGGTAACCGCCAAATCACCACCCCGTTTCCAGAATGCTCCGTGGATGGGAACCCAGCTGTTTCTTGGTGAGCTGCTTGTATGTTGAGAGGCTGAAGTCAGAGGCTGCGTTCTAAGAAGCCAGGCGTTGACATCTGAGCCTGGGGAGCCTGGGCCAAATTGGCATTTGTCTCTTCTTGCTGGTGTGGGAAGCCTCCCTCCGTAAGGACCCCGCTCCCCTGATCTACAGGGTCAGGGGCAGGGACTTGCCTAAGGTCACAGAGACAGCTGTTGGCCACACCAGGATCCAAACCCAGCCCTGACCCCTAACCCTTTCACCCATCAGCTGCCTCCCTGCACCCCTGAGGGGTGAGCATGCTCACCGCCCCCATTCCCCAGGGGCCAAGCAGAGGTGAGAGGCAGAGTCTCGGAGACCCTGGTTCCCAGCGGGAGGAAGCTGCAGCGCTGGGGTTTGAACCCAAAACTCCCCCTTCAGAGGCTGTGGTTTCAAAAGCTAGGTGCACACACCCAGAGGGTGTGCGGACCACGTGGTTGGGATGAGGCAAGTCAACAAAACTTCTTTATTGATTTTGAAAATGAAATAATTTAAGCCTTATGACTAACATACAGGATGGTAGTAGCACCTGATATCATTGATAAATGCACATGCCAGGTCGCATGCCCAAAAAGCATTTACTCTCAGATGCGTGACCACAAAGGAAGGCAGCCATCACTGTCCCTGCTACGCGACAAGGGGGGGCCTCTTGGGGACCAGCAGTTGAGCGGAGCACACGGGTCCCTTCCGGGTGGGCTCCAGGCGACAGCCTGGGTTCGAGGCCCCACTCTGCCACCTGCCAAGCTGTCTGGCCTTTGCCAAGCGGCTTCACCATTCTGGCCTCAGTGTCCTTGTCCGTCAGGAGAAAATCAAAGCAGCTCTCGCTTGGGAGGGCTGAGGAGAGGGACGAATCAGTTAATCCACGTGCAACACTGTGCAACACCGAGAACAATGCCTGACACACAGTCAGTGCGTAGCACATGTGAGCTACGGTTACCGTTTCCCTGCCTTGCGAGCAGGCAAACAGGTGCAGAAAGCTCAAATAACGAGGTAACGGTTAAGAAGGATCCAGAACCCCACCCTTAACCACAGCCGGTCGCCCCTCAGCGCTCTGAGCCTGTTTCCTCCTTCCAGATGGGCTTGAGGGCGGCATGCACCCCGCAGGGCTTTCCCGGGAGGGGAGGGAGCCGCATTCTGGAAGGAGGGGAGATGGCCATTCTGTCTGGCCAGGCTCAGAAGCGGTTCAACACATGTCAAAGCTACGAACACAAAGTCCTGGGCCCGGTGATAGGACGCAGGCGCCCCCTGGTGGTAGAAGCAGCCCCAGCAGCCAAGTGTCCAGGGGGCTCATCATGTGCGGAGACAGCGAGTGCTCCTGGAATCCTGCAAAGAACCGAGGAGCAGAGGAAGCGGGACACGGGCCCAGGGCCACTACACAGGATTTGAACCACCACGGTCTGGCCTCAGAGACAATACTCTTCCTCTTTCCAAAGCTGTCCCAGCTCTGGGGCCCAGGGCACGGCTCCGACGGTCCTCTAGGCCCCTTTGCAAGGCAGTGCGGTCCCCGAGGCCCGTCCACCAAAGGCCGGGAGTCATCAAAACAGAGGGCGGCTCCCCTGATCCCCCCCCCCAGGCGTGGGAGTCGAGGGGGGCTTCAGCTGCTTCCCGCCAAGCTCAGGAGGGCCGGGTTGGGGTACTCGGGGTTCTCGATGACGCCGGGGCCGAACTTGAGCTCCAGGAAGCGGCGGTAGTTGTTGGGCGCCTGCGCCACGAAGCCGGCGAAGCGCAGGGGCACGAGCGGCCGCAGGAAGTGCTCGGGGAACTCCACGTCCTGCCGGTGGTCCAGCCACGTGTCCTTGGTCATGACGCCGTCGCGCGGGTAGAAGGGCCACAGGTCCACGTGCAGGTGGTTGCTCTCGCTGAACTGCACGCGGAAGAAGTCGCCCTCCACGGCCTTCTCCCACACGAAGCCGCGCTCGTCCACCACGGAGCCCGCCTCGGCGCCCCGCAGCTGCTCGCAGTTGCCCACGTCCTCCAGGTAGATGCCCAGGTCCACGTCGTAGTCCCAGGGGATGATGTCGCCGTGGCGGGCCGCGCCCAGCAGCGAGCCGCCCTCCAGCCAGTAGCGCACGCCCGCCGCCTCCAGCACGCCCACCACGTGGCGCGCCGTCTCGCGCAGCGCGCGCAGGCAGCAGGGCGGCGTCCAGCGGCCCTCGTACAGGTAGGACGGCGTGTCGCCCGCCACCGTCCCGAAGCAGCGCGGCGTGTCCTTGCCGCAGCCGAACCACTCGAGGCGCCCGCCGCCCCAGCTCACCAGGCGGATGCCCAGCGCCCGCAGCAGCGCCGCCCGCCGCGCGCGGCCCTCGCGCTCCGCCTTCCAGCGCGCGTGCGCCGTGGCGAGCGGGGGCTGGCGCGCCGCCGGGAAGGTCACGTCCAGCAGCAGCCGCACCGCCCAGCCGCGCAGCGCCGCCTGCAGGAAGAGGCCGGTGCCCACGGGCCGGGCCAGCGGCGCCGACAGGTTGAAGAGGTCGCGGGCCCGGAGGAGCACCACCGCGTCCCCGTCCAGGGCGTCGCAGCGCGGCGGCGCGGAGGGGGGCGCGGGCCCGTAGCGCGCCGTCCACTCCCGCAGGCTGACGTTCAGCGCCAGGCAGCGCGCCGGGGTGGCCGAGGCCACCGGGGCGGCCACCAGGCGGGCACCCCCCGGCCGCAGCGCCTCGGCCCGCAGCGCCTCCGCCATGCGCTCCAGCCGGCCCGGGCCCTCGGCCCTCGCCCCGTCGGGCACCAGCGCCACGAACTCGGTGGCCACGTAGGTCTCGGGGCGCGAGGCGGCGGCGGGCCGGTCCAGGGCGGGCTGCAGCAGCGCCAGGCGCACGTTGGGCAGGCGGGGCAGGGCCAGCGGCGGGTAGGGCAGCGCGTCCGCGGCCACCACCACGGGCTGGGCCGGGTCCTGCTGCAGGAAGGAGTCCACCAGCTCGGGCACCGCGTGGTCGAAGGCCTCGAACTCGCGCACCAGGACGGTGACCTGGGGGCCGGCGGCGGCGGCGGCTCCGCGGCGGGGGCCCCGGGTCCGGGCGCTCCGGGGCTGTTGCTGCAGCCACGAGACGTAGAAGAGGACCAGGAGGTTGGCGGTGATGGCGGCCGCCAGGGCGGCCTGGCAGCGGGTGAGCCGCATGGGGCTGAGGTCAGGCCTTAGCGGGGCCTCGGCGACATCCTGCGGAGGCGGGAAGGAAAGGGGAGGCTGGAGCTGGCTGTCGGCAACTCCTGCAGCCCGAGCCTGGCCCTTCCTCCCAGCCTTTCTCTCATTTGGTTGCAGCTCTGACCTCCCGCCTCCAGGAAGCCCTCCCTCCCTTCGGCGCCCCGCCCCCCCGCCTTCCCCCCCCCCAACCCCCCATTCTAAGCCATTGCCATACAGAAACCCATCCTGTCCTCCCGCATGTGAGACCCTGTCTGGGTCACTGCTGGGTCCCCAAGACCACTGGGCACAGAGCCAGGTACCCGTTAGATACTGAGTTTTTATCAAAGGAGTTGCCTTCCCTTCTCTTCCTGTTCGATCCCGCCCTTCTACTCATTGCTAACTTCTCGTTCATGTTTGGGTTCAGTTATAAACACCCCAGACCCCATCCCCAAGCCCAGCTTGTATTTTTCTGCTCTACCGTCCCTTCCTCCAGGAAGCCACCCCTGATCTCCCGTCCCTTCCATACCCCACCCCTGGCTCCAGGGCGAGGCCGATGCCCTCAGCCTGGCCCTCAAGCCAGTCCCCGGCTGCCCCTTCTCACTTCCTCAAGTCCTGCCAACCGGTCATCTCCTTCTGGATGGTCAGCCAGCTTGTTTTGGTTTTACGAGAAACGTTAGAAATGTTTTCTTTCTTTTTTTTTTTAAATATATTTTATTGATTTTGTACAGAGAGGAAGGGAGAGAGAGAGAGAGTTAGAAACATCGATGAGAGTCATCGATCAGCTGCCTCTTGCACACCCCCTACTGGGGATATGCCCGCAACCAAGGTACATGCCTTTGACCGGAATCGAACCCGGGACCCTTCAGTCCCCAAGCCGACGCTCTATTCATTGAGCCAAACCAGTCTTGGCAGAAATGTTTTCTTAAGTCAGAATTATCCCAATTTGTAGGTTGGCCACTAGTTGTCTTTTTTTTTTTTTTTTTTTTTTTAATAGAAATGAGAAGTAGGTCCCAGGTCCGATTCTGATCAAGGGCATGTACCAATAGGGGGTGTGCAGGAGGCAATTGATGTTTCTCTCTCATTGATGTTTCTAACTCTCTATCCCTCTCCCTTCCTCTCTGTAAAAATCAATAAAATATATACATTAAAAAAAAAAAGGTAAGTAGAATGGTGGCTGTTAGGGGCAGAAGGGGGAACTGGAGAGTTGTTTAATGGTTTAGAGTTGCAGTTTTGCAAGATAAAATACCGTGTTTCCCCGAAAATAAGACATCCTCCGAAAATAAGACCTAGTTTATGGAAAGATAAGACGTCCTATGAAAATAAGACCTAGCGCAACTTTGGGAGAAAAAATTAATATAAGACACTGTCTTATTTTCGGGGAAACAGGGTAGTTCTGGAGATTGTTTGCCCAAAATGCGAATATACTTAATATTACTGAACCATATGCTTACAAACTGCTAGGATGATGAGTTTTATGTGTGTTTTATCGCAATAAAAATGTTTTTGTTTTGCCTTGGCCGCTTTGGCTCAGTGGATAGAGCCTCAGCCTGCTGACTGAAGGGTCCCAGTCAAGGGCATGTACCTTGGTTGCGGGCACATCCCCAGTGGGGAGGGTGTAGGAGGCAGCTGATGGATGTTTCTCTCTCATCAATATTTCTAACTCTCTATCTCTCTCCCTTCCTCTCTGTAAAAAATCAATAATATATATATTTTTTTAATGTTTTTGTTTTAAATGGAATGGGCTGCATTGAAAGAGGCTGCCCGTCTTAGGACTCCCCATTCATTGGCCACACTCCTAAGCAACCCCCAGATGGCGCTGTCTCCCTGGCCCCAGGCTGACTGGAAGCTTTGGCTGGTCTCCAGCAGCGGAGGTGTAACTAACTCTGGGTTCTCAGCAGTTACTTAAAAAAAAGTCCCCATGGATTTTTATAGCTTTCTCCTCCTCCCAGGGAGGGAGGCATCGGCAACCCAGCTGATCGGCTGATCTTCCTGGCTCCTCAACACTTCTGTTCCTCCCCCATCCCCTCAATCCCCCCTCAGCTAGGGGCCACCCAGATCCCCCTTCAGTCTCCGGACCAAGTCCCCTCCTTGTGGCAGCCAGAGAGGTTTTTTAAAAGCACAAATGTGCCCCCCCCCCCCCCCCCGCCCTGCTCGGAGGCTCCTCACCGTCCTAGAGAGAAAGTTTGCCTTTCTTACAACATCCCACAAGGCCTCCTGGGACCTGGCCCTGCCTCCCCCCCACCCAACCCCTCACACCTCACACCTCACTCCCCGTTCTAGCACCACCTCTGACCACGCCCTCTCAAACCCTGTGCCTGAGCCACCTGGGGCTTTCCTTCAAAGAGGTCTTTTTCCTAAGCCTTTTCCTATTCTGTTCCTTCTGCCCAGGAGAGTCTCCTCTCTAACACCCCTTTCCCTGTGCCCAGTTTTCTGCTGGAGAACTCCTACTCATGCCTCAGGGCACAGCTCCAATGGCCCCTCCTCCAGGAAGCCCTCCCTGAACCCCAGCCTGGCTCAGACGTCCCCTCCTCCCCTCGGGCTCCCCCAGCCCTGCCCTGCCTGTTCCGGTTCAGCACTGTCTGGGGCTGAGTCTGTGTGCCCCACTGGACCCAGGAGGGTAGGGCCAGGGCGGTCTCCATGACAACTGGGTTCCTGGCACACAGCCGGGCATGAGGTGAGAAAGTGATGAAAATGCACGAGGCGAGAAAATGATGGCCAGGGTCAGGGTTGGAGTCTGCCAAGCTCCTTCAGGTCCCTGGAGCCAAACCCTGCACAGGGGCCCGGCGCCCAGGGCCCTGCACTGGTCTTCCCGTCTCTCCTGCCAGGAACGTCCTCCCACCCCCTCCACCCCTCCCAGACCTGCTTGCCCTTTCCTGACCCGACTTAGGTGTTCCCTAAGAATCGGAGCTGCACTTTAAGAGTGACTTCTTCAACTTTAGGATCTTGGCATTCCCTCTGGACCTGAGGCGGATCCCTCCTTCCCTCAGCCCTTCAGCAGCGGCTTGCGGAACCCCTACCACATGCCCAGAGCTCAGCTCAGTGACTGGCACAGAGCAAGTGCTCATTAAACAGGGGTGCGATGATCAAGTGACTCCACCTGTTCAGACAGGGAATCTGTGGCTCCGAGGCTTAAAGGATGCAGGGACCAGAACTCGGTTTTCCACCGTCCATGCTCTCTGGCTGCTTCTGGGCCAGGAAGCACCCAGCAGAACAGAGGACAGAAACTGGGTCCTCAGATGCAGAAACCGGTTTGGCTCAATGGATAGAGCATCGGCTTGGGGACTGAAGGGACCCAGGTTCGATTCCAGTCAAGGGCATGTACCTTGGTTGCAGGCATGTCCCCGGTAGCGGGTGTGCAAGAGGCAGCTGATTGATGACTCTCCCTCATCGATGTTTCTAACTCTCTATCTCTCTCCCTTCCTCTCTGTACAAAATCAATAATATATATATATATATATAGAAACTGGGTCCTCGGAGACCAGAGGGTAGGATGGCTTGATGAGGAGGTACCACCTAATGGGTGAGGGGACCAAAGAGGAAGGAGAAAGGAATCCTCTGGTACCTTCGTAAGATCAAGTCTCGGCTTCTTGAACTGTGAGGGTTCAAAACCCCTTCATTGAGGCAAGGTGGATGAAATTCTGACTTTTGCAGGTCTGAATGTTCTAGATGCTCCGGATGTGACAGACCCTATTCTAAGTACTTCACACATATGAACTTGCTTACTCTTTAAGTTATGATCACACTTAAAGATGAAGAAACGGAGGCACAGAGAGGTGGAGTCGCTTGCTCAAGGTCACACAGCTGGAAAGTGATGGACCCTGAATTTGACCCAAGAAGCTGGCTCCAGCCTGGCCTGCATGGCTCAGTGGTTGAGCGTCGACCTATGAGCCAGGAGGTCACAGTTCAATTGCCGGTCAGGGCACATACCTGGGTTTTAGGCTCGAACCCCAGTGTGGGGTATGCAGGAGGCAGCCGATCAATGATTCTCTTTCCTCATTGATGTTTTTACCTCTCTCTCCATCTCCCTTCCTCTCTGAAATCAATAATAAAAATATGTTTTGTTTTGTTTTTAAAAGAAGCTGGCTCCAGAGTTGTGCTTTGTTTTATTTTTTAAATATATTATATTGATTTTTTATAGGGAGAGAGTTAGAAACACCGATGAGAGAGAAAAATCGATCAGCTGCCTCCTGCACACCCCCTACTGGGGATGTGCCCACAACCAAGGTACATGCCCTTGACAGGAATCGAACCTGGGAGCCTTGAGTCCGCCGGCAGACGCTCTATCTACTGACCCAAACTGGTTAGGGCTAGAGTTGTGCTTTAATGAAATCAATTCTGCCTTTCTTGGGCCTACCTTCCATGAGCCTCGCTGGCTCTAACCTGACCAGAGCTTTCAAATATGGCGCATTAATGAAGGCAACTCACTGCCTCAACAATGCTGCTTACTGAGCGTCCTCTGTGCCAGGCCTTGTGCTTCAGGGCCAGGGGGTGAACTGGGCAGTCACTGAGCAGGCCCCCAGGGGTAAGGCAGGAAAACAGTATCCCAAAGAGGAGGGAAACCAGCAGGGCCGCGGCAGAGAAATACAGAGGCTTGCTATAGAAAAAGTAGCCAGGGAAGGAGAAGACAAGATGAGACTCTGTCTCTCATTCCCCACAAAACAGTGTAAGTGGAGCACTTCAGGCCTGGGCTCACCCAGTCTGAGCTCTGACCTGGCCTGAGCCTCAGTTGCTGCATCTGTGGAATGGGTATGCAATGGGTAAAGAGGATATGTGGGAACAAGGAAAGGGCAGTGTGCACATGAGTACGGGTGCTACTGAGAGACTTCTTACCTCCTACGTTGCAGGCTGGGGGAGCTTCAGGGGGGCGGTTTCAGCCTTGCTCAGCTGCGCTGCTGAGGGATGGAGAACCAGAAAATACCAAATCAGCCAATTTTGCACAGTAGAGCACAATTTCACCTTACCTATAAAAATGGCAATGAGGCCAGGGAATCATCTTTCTTGAAGTCCTAATAAGTTCAGACACGACCTGGAGCATCTCAGGAATGGGTGGGAAAAATGCCAGTTATTATAGCAACCTATAACCATCTCTGTCTCAGGACTGTGTCCAGGAAGGTAGGGCTGGGAGTGATAGAAGCCGTTACTATGACACCCACTTCCCTAGACACACTCCATCCTGAGACAATCCTAAAAAACGTCTACCTTCCCGGGTCTGGTTCCTGGGGTCCCTCCAAGGGAGGCTGTCTCTGTTACCATAGTAACCAGGGCTTAGCCTTGCCTGTCTTGCCTCCCTGGGGAGGGTCAGGCCCTGTAACCATAGCAACTACTCCTCAGCCGAGCATCTTCTCCTCTCAATAAAAATACCTGGTTGGTGTGGTCCATGGACCTCCCACCTTGGGAAAGGAGGGGAGCTGGTTACCATGGTAATGCCAACTGGGTGGATGGAGGGGGTGGGGTTGGGAAAGAGGTGTTTCCCTCAGTAATTAATCAGTGTCCTTGGGGCTGAGGTCCTTTCTACCTGAGTGCTAGTTGAGGTTGCCGTAATAACCAACCAGGATAGGGGCAGGAGGACCACCAGGGACTTAGGTTACCTTGGCAACCTCCTCCCGGTGTAGGGACAGGAGAGGTCTGGGGCCCCATAACCACAAAAGAGGAGGAGAGGAGAAGCTGTTTTGTGTGCTAGGCTGGGGAGGAGTTACCAAGGCAACCCACCTGGGCCGGCAGGATCCCTGAGGATGGGGCCCCGGCGGAACCCGCCCGGGGTGGTCGCCCGTCCTCACGGAGGAGAGTGACAAGCGGCCCGGAGAGGTGTAAGCGGGAGGAGGGGGCCCGAGAGCGGCTCCTCCCCAAAGAGCCCGCTCCCCCTCCTCGGGGCGCGCGCCCCCTGCCCGCCCACCCGAGGCGCGCGCCCGGCCGCGCGCCCGGCCCCGCCCCCCGCCTCCGGCGGGCGCGCGCGCGGGGGGGGTTGGCGCGGCCGCGCAGGCGCGCGAGGCACAGCGGCGCGCGGGCCGGCCCGGGGCCTCCATGATGGAGGAGCGAGCGGCCGCCGCCGTCGCCGCCGCCGCCTCCCCCTGCCGCCCGCTCGGCTCCGGCGCGGGCCCCGGCCCGACGGGCGCCGTCCCGGCCTCCGCCCCCGCTCCCGGCCCCGGCCCCGGCCCGGCCGCTAAGGGGGGCGGCGGCGGCGGGGGCAGCCCGGGGCCCGCCGCGGCGGGGCCGGAGCCCCTGAGCCTGCCGGGCATCCTGCACTTTATCCAGCATGAGTGGGCGCGCTTCGAGGCGGAGAAGGCCCGCTGGGAGGCCGAGCGCGCCGAGCTGCAGGTGAGCGCCCCCGGACCCCCGCCCCCCGCCCGGCCCGGCCCGGCCTCACCCGCCGCCGCCGCCGCCGCCATCTTGGAGCAATGGCCGCCGGGACGGCCGGGGGGGGGGTGGGGGCGCGGCGGGCGGGGACGGCGACCGGCCCGCGGCGGGAGTGGGGGGCCGTCCGAGAGGGTCCGGGGGCTCCGAGGCTCCGCGGGGTGGGCGTGGGCCCCGGGGCGGGGGGCGGCCGCGGCGGGGAAGGGGCGCCGGGACCGGACCCGCTGGAGGGGCCGCGGGCGGGAGCGGACGGCGGCGGGGCCCGGAGGGAGAACTCGGCCGCGGTGCCGGGAGGGGCTGCTGGAGGGGCTCTGTGCCCGGGTGCGAGCAGGAGCTCCGGGCGCCGGGGGACGCCCACCCCGTCCGGGCCGGGGCGGGTGGGAGGCGGAGCGGGCCGGGCTGCGGGCGGGAGATGGGGCGTCGGGGGGCCCGGGGGGCCCGCGGAGGGCGAGGGCGCCCGGGGCGATCGGGCCGGGATGGGGAGAGGAAGTCGCGGAGCCCGGGACGCGGGGCGTCTCGGAGGGTTCGGACGGAGGGAACGGAAAGAAGGCTGTGGGAGGACTCCCGGGATCACGGGGCGGGGAGGGGAGGGTGGTCTGGAGGGGTTCCAGGATGATGGTGTTTGCCCTCCTCATTGGGGAAGAAACTTGGGGAGCCCCGGCAGGTGTGGCTGTGGAGTGTAGGGAAGTTGTCCCAAAGTTGTAATGTCAGTGTCTGTGTGGAGGAGCTTGAGAGCAGAAACCCCAGGCGGCGGGTGTGGGGGGGAGGGGTGGCCCGGAGATGGGAGAACCCTGACCTGGAGTGGGGGGGGCAGGCATGATGCCCATCCTGGAGCTTAGGGGACCTGGGAAGGGGAGAGTGAGGGGGAATCCGGGGTCCCCCCCCTCCCCTCGGGATGGTAAGGGAGCGTTTTGTAGAGCAGGGAGGCAGCGGGAAGAAGCATCTCAGAAGGATCCCGAGGGGAGCCGTGTTTGTGGGCGCTATGGGAAAGGACCCCGTGGTGTGTGGAGTAGCTGGCAGAGGAATGTGCCCTGAGATGGTGTTTGGAAGTCTGAGGAGCTGGGCTGGATTTTGTGGCTGAGAAGTGTGGGTCCACTTGCAGAGGGTCCCCAGGAGCCCGGGCATCGGGGTTGTGAGGGTCTGAAGGGGTCCAGTGATGAGCTGAGGGGAGTCTGGGGTTCCTCAGCTGGGGTGTTATTAGCAGAAGTCATATCTTCTTCCAGCGAGCGCCCATCTTTCTCCTTCTGATGTGCCGTTTCCCATCTGTGTGAGGCGGGGACCCAAATTAATAACTGATTGGAGTCTGGCCGGTGTGGTTCAGTGGTTGATCTTCGATCTGTGAACCAGAGGGTCATGGTTTGATTCCTGGTCAGGGCACATGCTGGGGTTGCAGGCTCAGTCCCCAGTGTGGGGCGTGCAGGAGGCAGCCAATCAATGATTCTCTCTCATCATCGATATTTCAACCTCTCTCTCCCTCTCCCTTCCTCTCTGAAATCAATAAAAAATACTTTACAAGAAAACTGATGCGAATTTTGTCCATAGGATGACTATGGACAGCAACCCACAGTTCTCCCCCACTAGGGATCTTAGCTGTTTGGTAGCCGAGGCTTTGGGTGGGAGAGGAATCCTTATGTAAGTGCCCCTCACTCTTGTGTCCCACTCTCTTCCGCGCCCTTTCCCAGCATGCAGCTCACTAGATCATGCATACACACATTCTTAGGCAGAGCCCGCGTCCTTGCCCTCCCTCAGCAGTAATGTAGCAGCTGCTGTTTGCTGAGCACATGTTATGTACCAGGCGATGTATTGAACCATTTATATATGTATGATGTCATTTGATTCCTGCAACCTCCTCGCCCACTTTTGAAATAATAAGTGGAAACGAGACTAAGAGGGTCCATGATTAATCTAGGATCACAGCCTGTGGGGGGCAGGGTTGGTCAGTCTGTTTTCAAGCCCATGTTCCCTTCCTATCTGCCGTCCAGTACAAATGGGCAAGCTCATCGAAGCTGGTTTGGCTCAGTGGTAAGAACGTCGGTCTGCGGACAAAAAGGTCCCAGGTTCGATTCCGGTAAGGGCATGTACATTGGCTGTGGGCATATCCCTGGTAGGGGGTGTACAAGAGGCAGCTGGTCGATGTTTCTCTCTCATCAACGTTTCTAGCTCTCTATCTCTCTCCCTTCCTCTCTGTAAAAAATCAATAAAATATATATATATTTAAAAACAAATGGGCAAGCTCAGTGGCCTCCCAGGGTCATCCAGTCACAGCAGAGTGGGGCTTGAACCTTGGTCTCTGGGACGCCATGCCGTCTTCACCTGCTCATCTTCGAGACCAACGAGAGGAAAGCTGTGCTTATTCCCTCACCTGGTGGCCTTCTGGCAGTTGGAGGGGGATGTGTGGGAAGCGCCCAGTTCTGCTGTCCGGGTCTTGGCTCCAGCACCACTTTGTACTTTCGTGCTGGTACATTAGTAAAATTCAGAGATCCTACAAGTGTGTGTACATACTGTGTGAATGAACGGGGAAAGTCCCCTTTGTCCCTCTCCCCCTCTCCTCCCCAGCTATTATTGCTATAAAAAGAACCACTTTATATGTATCATTTTATGACTTTTTTTTTTTCCACACACTCATGCCTTGGTGTTCCTTTCATATCAGCACAGAGAGCTCTTTATTGTTTTTGATAACTGTGGTCCATTGGATGCTTGCACCATAGCTCATTTAGTTAACCCTGCTGATGGACTTTTAGCTTGGTTCCGATTTTTCCCTGGGAGCAGTGGCTGCAGCGGATGTGCATATGGCCCTGTATGAATGTATTATAAGTGGAATGGATGGAGAAACAGCAGAATAGATGTGTTTATAAAGTGGTGATTAGTCCTGCCAAGTTGCCCCACGTTCCCACTCCCATCTGCAGTCTCTGTAAGTGGTAAGTGACCTGTTTTTACACACCTTTGATCAGGTCACTTATCACTTACAGAGGTGTGTCTTCTGTGAGATCTCTCTCTCACACACACACACACACACACATACACGCGCGCGCGCGCACACATATTCTATTGATTTCAGATAGGAAAGGAGAGGGGAGAGAGATAGAATCAATGATGAGAATCATTAATCAGCTGCCTCCTGCACGCCCCCTACTGGGGATTGAGCCCGCAACCCAGGCATGTGCCCTTGACTGGAATCGAACCTGGGACCCCTTCAGTCCCCATGCCAACATTGTATCTACTGAGCAAGACCGGCTAGGGCCTCCTGTGAGATTTTTTAAGGCTTAGACGGAGTTCATTTTTCTAGTGAACTCTGAGTACCTTTTCTCTGAATGACAGACAGTTCAGCAGCTCTTGGCACAGGGCCTGCTGTGTAGCCAGGGCTCAGGGTGTGTGGATTGGCAGAAAAGGCAGCCGGTCATGAGGTCCTCCCAAGAGACCCCCAAAGACTGGAGCAGGGAGGCAGTGCAGATTGGGTCTGAGAATAAGCAGGAGGGCAGTTCCAGAAGTAGGTAGTGTGGTTTCTGCCCTTCAGGGACTCACAGGCTAACAGGAGGCTAGTTGCACAGGAGGCTACAGGGATCTGTGGCACTTGTAAAAGGGAGCCAAGTCCTTGCGGACAGAGGTTCTCCTCATGGGGGAATCTGAGATGGACATTCATGTGGGAGCAGCGGCAGAGAGATGTGACTGTGGCAGCATCTGACCCCTCCCCACTGCTAGCCTCACCAGGAGCTTTGAGGGATCCGTGGGTACTCATCCCGGAGCTTGGGAAGGAGGAGATGTGGGGGTAGATGAGACCATCTGGGAACCTCTGCCTGGGGGCGGGGACAGAAAGGTCAGCAGAGGGATAGAGAGGCTCGGTTCCTGGGAGGACTAAGAGGCTAGGGCTCCTTGGGAAGCCTTTTAGATGTTGCCTGGCTGAGGGAACAGCTGGAGCAGAGGCGGCCGCCATGGCTCAGAACTGTTCTGGGCTTTGTATTAACACAGTCTGGCCAGAGGAAGCGGCAGTGGGTGGATCTGCTGAGTAGAGAGCTGCCAGATTCCAGACTTACCTGGCAGCCGCCATGGCCCTGGTGGCTGCTGGCGTTTACGGACTGGCCACCAGCACTTCCCCTTCCGTGGGATTCCGCTGCCTCTGGATACTTCGACCACATGTTTCTGGTTCTTTCTCCCTCCTTCCCCAGGACTGGGAAGGGGACCCAGCAGAGGGGTGACTGAGATTCTCCACTTTCTTCACCCACAGACAAAAGTTACTGGGTAGTGTCAGTCTCTCCTCATTACCTGAAATCCCCCCTCTCCTCCCTGCCCCAGTCCCGATCTTAGTCTGGCTCCTGGGATTTCTGGGTCTGCCTCCTTGTGTGACTGGTCTCTCTGCCTTTAGCTTCGCGATCCCCCACCTCCACCCCCTTCCCCAGCCATCTGTTCTCCACATTATAGCTGGAATTACCTTTGTAACATTTTCATGTGGCCACACTGGCCTTTTTATTTTTCTTCATGATTTCTTCTATATGCTCCTTTAAAGGAATGTTTTATTGAATTTATTGGGTAATACCATTATATAGGTTTCGGGTATACAAGTCTGTACTACATCATCCATATATTGTGTTATGTGTTCACCACTGTAAGTCAAGTCTCCTTCCATCACCATTTGTCCTCCCTTTACTGTCTTCTGCCTCCCCTATTCCCCTTTCTCTGGTGATCACCATACTGAAGTCTGTGTTTCTGAGCGTGTTTCTTTTCTTGGCATAATCTCTTCACCTTTTCACCCAGCGCTGCAACCCCTCTCCCCTCTGACAGCTGTCAGTCTGATCTCTGTCTGGGAGTCTGTTTCTGTTGTTTGGTAGATTCCACATATAAGTGAAATCATAGGTAGCTGTCTTCTCTGACTGGCTTATTTCACTTGGCATAGTGCTCCCCAGGTCCATCCATACTGCTGCAAAAATTAAGATTTCCTTTTCCATGGCTGAGTAGTATCCCATTGAGTAAATGTGCATAGCTTTTTTATCCACCTATCTACTGATGGACACTCGGGCTGCTTTCAGATCTTGGTAATTGTAAATAACTAGAGGCCTGATGCACAAAATTTGTGCGAGGGGCTCATCCCCCACCGCCCTGGCAGCTGCCTCAGCCCCCGCCCGCCCTGGTTTTGTCTGGAATGACGTCCGGTCTAATTAGCATGTTACGCTTTTATTATTTTAAATGCTGCATGAACATAGGGGTGCACACACTGGCCCTTTTAGAGTTCCTGAAGTTCACCATGACCTTTAGTCTGTCCTCTGCCAGCAGCACACCCACTGCCCTGGCTACTTCTGGTGAGCTATCATGCTGCTCAGCTCCAGATGTGGATCAGGTGTCCGCTTCCCCGTAACATCCTTGGTGGCCCTAGTCACAGGCGTGTCGCTGCTTTCGCCTGTCTTCTGCATTGGTCGGAGAACTCTGTGGGGACAGGAACCACCGTCTTCTCCATTATTCCTCCAGTGCTCACACGGTCCCGGGCTTGCTATAGGCAGTGGCTGGAGTTGATGTTGGATGAATGTAAGCTCTCAGCAGGCTTTCCTGGCGCTGGGAAGCGGAATGCTCTCTAAGGAAGCCCAGGAGGGCAAGAAGGATAGTGAGGAAGAACCTCGGGGCTTGCGTTTGGTGATCAGCCTCTTCTTCACCTCTATCCCCTCCTCCTCCTCCTCCTCCTCCTTTAAAAAAAAATATATTTTGTTGATTTTTTACAGAGAGGAAGGGAGAGGGATAAAGGGTTAGAAACATCGATGAGAGAGAAACATCTATCAACTGCCTCCTGCACACTCCCTACTGGGGATGTGCCCACCACCAAGGTACATGCGCTTTACCAGAACCGAACCCGGGACCCTTGAGTCCGCAGGCGACACTCTATCCTCTGAGCCAAACCAGCTAGGGCATCTACTCCCCCTTCTAAAATGACTCGTGGACAGGTAGGTTTGGGGGACTGAGAAGATACATAAAGGATGGAAATTCAGCCCTGGCCAATTTGGCTCAGTGGCTAGAGCGTTCTGTGGAATGAAGGGTCCCGGGTTCAATTCCAGTCAGGGGCACAAGCCTGGATTTTGTGGGCTCAGTCCCCAGCGGGGGGCATGCAGGAGGCAGCTGATCAATGATTCTCATCATTGATGTTTCTCTCTCTCTCCCTCTCCCTTCCTCTCTGAAATCAATAAAAATGTGTATTTTTAAAAAAGGATGGAAATTTAAACTTAGAAGATGTTGATCACTGTGAGTCTATCTGTCTGGCTGTAACGTGTATATGTATGTATGTATGTATGTATGTATGTATGATTGCATATATGTAGGTGTTGACTTAAACTGCAGAGAGAAAAAAGTGTTAAGGAGGGGGAAGAAGTTCCATCCTCACAATGGACAGAGAGGATTCTTTTCCCTGGCACACCTGGTGACACGTATTTATTCGTTCATTGTTTGCCCCACATCCCCTCTAGAATGTCAGTCTTGTTTAGCACTGCATCTTCTGTCTACACTGTACCTGGTACATACTAGTAGTTGGGGCTCAATTAATATTTGGGGTGTGGCTCTGTCAGTTGGGCATTGTCCTGGGCACCGAAGGTTACCAACTCAATTCCCTGTCAAGCCCAGACTGTGGGCTTGATCCCCAATAGATGTTGTGCAGGAGGCAGCCAATCAATATTTTGTTCACACTGATGTTTTTTCTCTTTCCCTGCCTCTCTCTCTTTTAAAAAAATTTTTTTTATTCATTTATTTTTTAAAATATTTTTTAATTAAATTATTTTCTGTGTACATATTTTATCATTGCCCCCCCACACACATACCCTCTCTCCCCAGAGTTTTGTGTCCATTGGTTGTACTTATATGCATGTATACAAGTCCTTTGGTTGACCTCTTATCTCCCCCAGATCTCCCTATCCTCCCGGCTGAAATTTGACAGTCTGCTTGTTGCTTTACTGTCTCTATATCTATCTTTTGGTTCATCAGTTTATAATGTTCTTTAATATCCATAAATGAGTGAGGTCATGTGGTATTTCTCTTTCATTGACTGGCTTGTTTCACTCAGCATGATGTTCTCTAGTTCTATCCAGGTTGCTGTAAATGATGAGAATTCTTTCTTTTTTATGGCAGCATAGTATTCCATTGTGTAGATGTAACATAGTTTTTGATTCAATCATCTGCTGACGGGCACCTAGGCTGTTTCCAAATTCTAGCTATTGTAGATTGTGCTGCTATGAACATAGGGGTGCATATATCCTTTCTGATTGGTGTTTCTAGTTTCTTGGGATATATTCCTAGGAGTGGGATTACTGGGTCAAATGGGAGTTCCATTCTCAGTTTTTTGAGGAAACTCCATACTGTTCTCCACAGCGGCTGCACCAGTCTGCATTCCCACCAGCAGTGCACGAGGGTTCCTTTTTCTCTGCAACCTCGCCAGCACTTGTCGTTTATTGATTTGTTGATGTTGGCTATTCTGACAGGTGTGAGATGGTACCACATTGTTTTGATTTGCATCTCACAGATATCTTCCTGCCTCTCTTAAAAAAAAAAAATCAATAAAAATATTTTTAAAATAAAATAAATATTTGGGGGTAGGAGAATGAATGAATGATACTTTTGTCACATATTAATGCATGTGTATCCCTGTTTATTTTTTCAAAAGGAACATACCACTGCCATTATGCCTGAAGGATAAGTTCCTACAAGTACAATAAGTTCCCATCATTCCTAGAAGTGGAACTGCTAGGACAAAAGGAATGTGCATTTAAAATTTTTATAGATCTTGCTGAGACCGGTTTGGCTCAATGGATAGAGCGTTGGCTTGGGGACTGAAGGGTCCCAGGTTCGATTCCGGTCAAGGGCATGTATCTTGGTTGCGGGCATATCAGTTGCAAGAGGCAACTGATCGATGACTCTCTCTCATCGATGTTTCTAACTCTCTCTCTTCCTTCCTCTCTGTACAAAATCAATAAAAAATATATTAAATAAACAAACAAAAAAAACCTAAACACACACACGTCATTGGATGAGGATTTAAAAAAATAAAATAAAATTTTTATAGATCTGGCCAGATTGCCCTCTAGCGAGTGCATCAGTTTATGACCCCAGCGAAGGGGAATGTGGAGACCTGGTCCCTGGAGCAGGGCAGAGGCCATAGCAGGCTGTGCTTCACTCCACATGCGCAGGCCGGATAGGTCAGGGACGGGGGCAGTGCCAGTGGGCACCTGAGAGGCTGCCGGAACTGGCCGTCCTGGAGCGAGGCTTTGAGAATGGGCTCGGCCTAGAAAAGGTGTCCGGGCCAGACTGCGGCTTCCGGGGGAGGCACTGAAGTTCTTTTCTGCGAGCACCTGGTGTGCGGGGATTGGCCGCAGCAGACGCAGCTGTGCTGTACGTGGTGGCAGGAGGCCTGCAAGCCACAGACATCCCTGCTGATGGGTTTAGGGTCTCAGAGGGACCGTAGCTCCCACAAAGAATGGGGCCCGAGTCAGCATTGTGGAAGGATGGACAGGGAGAATAAAAAGAATGAGAGGCAGGAGTTGCATTTATTGGCCCGTCTTCGGTGCTAGGTCTTGGACTGAGGCGAACTTAGCACGAGGGCAGCACTCTCAGAAGCCCCGTTTTATGGAAGGGAAAGGAGGCTCAGAGGAAGCCTGCCACCTCCCTGAACTCATGCCACAGGTGGGAGGTGAGGGGCTGGAGCTGAGGCTGCCCGGCCCAGAGCAGTGGCCATTAGGGGAGAAGCCAGGACACGTCCTGCTCTGGGCTTTGGCACGGGGCTCCGCACCGTGGCCAGGGGCCAGGAGCCTGCCTCGCAGGTCGTTGGCCGAGTGTCTCCAGATGACCTGTTGACAGACCCGAGCAGCCTGGGGCAGCCCGTGCCAGCAGACGATGTCAAGTGGTTGGCGGGGGCCCATGTGGCACGGTTCCCTCATTCTGGGCAGACTCCAGCAGGACGATGGTCCCCACAGGGGTAAAGCTTTGCATGGGAGCGGGAGCTGAGCCAAGCCACCCACTCCTGTCCCTAAACTCCAGAAGTAGCTGCCTACGCTCCCAGAGATAGATGCTCTGGAGGAATAGGGAGCCGCCTCCGCCAGCAGTCTCAGGGACAGCACCTGCCTCTGGGTGGGGGGGGGGGGCAGGACTATTAGCGCCTGCCTCCCCACCTTCACCCCCACGCCGACTTCTCCCCAAAAGGCAGGGATAGCTACGCCCAAGCTGGCCCCGCTCTCAGTATTTCAGGGGTTAGGGTCTCCTCTCCAGCTCTTTCACTGAGGGGACAGGGCAGGGACTCCGGCCTTCTCACTCGCCAGTTGGCCCTGGCCCCGGGCCTTCATGCCCCAGGAGTGGCTGCTGCCTGTCATTGTGGGGGCAGGAGCTGGTGCCGATTGCCCTGAGGGCGGAGGGACACACATCAGTGAGCCTAAGCCCCTCTGTCTTCCTGTTCCTCTGTCCCCAGGCTCAGGTGGCTTTCCTCCAGGGAGAACGGAAAGGGCAAGAGAATCTCAAGACGGACCTGGTGCGGCGGATCAAGATGCTAGAATACGCGCTGAAGCAGGAGAGGTGAGCCTGCTGCCAGGCCTGCCTCTGAGAAGTCAGTCCCCAGCAGAGCCTGCCACCGAGGGAGAGTGGGATCAGGCGTTCTCCCAGCACCGGCACTCTGCGGGTCTAGGAGGGGATAGAACAAGACAGAGCAGGTGGACTCCGGTTAGACACCGGTGACAGTGTTCCTGATGATGGTGGCCAAACACCATCTGTCCATGTCGCCTCTCTCCCACTGCCCGGTGGGCACAGTGGCTCTGGAGAGTGAGGACTTCCTTCAGGACTCCTGGGGCTGGGATCGCAGCCCAGCCTGCCAGGCTCTGAGAGTGGGCTCTTCACAGCGCTATGCCCCCTCCCCCCCCCAGGCTGCTTTATACTGTGGGCAGGTTGGGGGAGCTCAGCCTCAAAGGTAGGAGAGGATTGGGGGGGCCTGGGGATTTGGAATTCCTGATGCGAGTGCTGTCCTGTCTACTCTTCTGTCTCATTTGTTACTCATTTGTTCTTTCAGGGCTAAATATCATAAACTGAAGTTTGGGACAGACCCGAACCAGGGCGAGAAGAAACCAGAACTGTCAGAACAAGGTACCCACCCTCTGAACTCCCCGCTTGCTCCTCCACAAAACCGAAGCCGCCTCTTCTTCCTTTGCTCCATAGGAGGCACATTGGCGGGGGCTGGGGAGGGCTTGACTCGCCCTCAGGACCCCCCCCCCATCGGCTGCCCTGACAGGCACTGGGCACTGGGCACGGGCTGGACCCCTGGGGAGAGGCAGGGTGGGCAGTGGTGAAGAAGCCCAGTCCTGCCTGCTGTTCTGTGTGAAGCAGAGACAGACACACAAGGTCCCATCAATGTTTGATAAATACAATGAACAGATGGTCTCATGTAATCCACACCACAGTCTCAAAAGGTGTAGTTACTGCTCCCATTAGCTTTATTTCTCAGAAGAGGAAACTGAGGCTCAAATAGGTAAACTGACCAGCTCAAGGTCACACCTGGGAAGAGGCAGAGCTGGACTTGAACCCATTTGAGTCTGCCCTTTTTCTCAGAATTGGGCCAGCTTCCTGTGTGGGAAAATAGCATAACTAGAGCTGAGTCTGAAGATAGTCTGGGGTGGTTTGGGGAATGACCCGCCAGGAGAACAGAGATAAGGAACATGGAGGGAAGAGTAGGTTTAGACACTCAGAAAGTGGCTCTGCAGAACCGTGACAGTGACCACTTTGGGTTGAGGGTGAGGAAGGTGGCGGGTGGTGATGGGTGTGTGTGGTACCCTCACTAAAACAGCCGTCTCCTTCCTCTCCATCCCCCAGTCTCCAATGGGCCTGTGGAGTCGGTCACCCTGGAGAACAGCCCGCTGGTGTGGAAGGAGGGGCGGCAACTGCTTCGACAGTGAGTGTGCAGAGGGACGGGCACGGGGCGGGGCAAGGAGACGAAGGCCATGCCTGGCCCCGTTGGGGGCACTGAACTAGCAGGCCCCCTGCTGGACACAGCTGACATGGCCTGTCACCCTGTAGGGGCGCCCTCCTGGGGAGAGGGCGGGAAGGTTTGGTGCAGGAGGCAGACGGGGAAGACCCCCACTCTTGGAAGGCAACCCCAATGCCTGTTGTTTTTCTTTTTTGGGGGGTAATGTTAAATTATTTTTTATTACTAAAGAGATTTGTGTATTTCAGTAAATTTGGAAAATATAGGGAAACACATGCACACACACAAATAGAAATCACTCATAATTCCACCACCCAAGGAACTTCATAACCAGAACATTTTGGCATGTGTGCCATCAGTCTCTTCATGGCTGTGCAAAGCTAGTTAGGTTGCATCGTTTGAAGAACTGTGTCTGTGACATGAACACCTTAACTTGCCATAGCAAATCCCTTAAGTATCGCAAACAGTAACAACAACATGATTGCAATAGGTAATACTTGCCAACTACCGAGTCTACGCCTGGCACTGCTAACCATCTGGCACACACCGCTTCCTCACATGAGTCCCCGTAGGGCATAACTGCCCATTCCCTCATTTTCACAGACGGAAACCCAGGTGCAGAGAGGGATCTGCTTGCATAAAGTCACACAGCTAACCTAAGCAGAGGGTCCGAGGGGTGATCTCGGGCATGCTGCGCCCAGAGCCCACCTTCTTCACCCCCTGCTCCCCCCTCCCATGGTGGAGGGGACGCTCATACACACGCAGGACACAAGATGAGACAGCAGGGAAGGAGGCCTCTACTGTGCGAGGGGCAGGGTCCCCAGGGACGGCACGGTAAACAAAAGGTTTTCAGGGAGCCTCCTGAGGACCAGCAGGGACTCTCCTCACATCTTTTAAAGCCACCGATAATTGATTCCCCTTATCACCCCCGTTTTTAGACCAGTCTCAGTTGGCTTCATTTTTTTAATTGCGAAATTAGCCTGGCTGTGGGGCTCAGTTGCTTAGAGTGTTGTCCTGTGCACCAAGAGATTGCTGGTTCGATCCCCAGTCGGAGTGCATATAGGAGACAATTGATCAAGTGTTATCAGTCTTCCTCTCTCTCTCTTTCTCTCTCATCAGTAAACATACCTTGAGTAAGAATTAAATAAATTAATTAAATAAATCACAGAATAAATGCTCATTTTAATTTTTTTATTTTTAAAATATATTTTATTGATTTTTTTTTTACAGATAGGAAGAGAGGGATAGAGAGTTAGAAACATCAATGAGAGAGAATCATCGATCAGCTGCCTCTTGCACACCTCCTACTGGGGATGTGCCCACAACCAAGGTACATGCCCTTGACCAGAATCGAACCCGGGACCTTTCAGTCCGCAGGCAGACGCTCTACCACTGAGCCAAACCGGTTTCGGCATAAATGCTCATTTTTAGAGTAAACAGAGTAAGTTCCAAAATTCCTCATGCCCCTAATCCCATTCCTCAGAGGTCACTGACTGCTCTTAAGTTTAGTGTGTATCTCTCTTGGCCTTGTGGGGGCATGCTACAAATGTGTGCGTGTGCGTGTGTGTGTGTGTGTGTGTGCTATCTATATACATAAAAGCCTAAGCAACCATTACAACAGAACAACTGGAAGAAAAAAAAAACACAACCGAACAACTGGTATGACCATTCGACTGAACGCTGTGATGTGCACTGACCACCAGGGGGCAGACCCTCAACACAGGAGCTGTCCCCTGGTAGTCAGTGTGTTCCCACAATGGGAGCGGCAGGCACAGCGGGGCAGGGTGAGTGGCAGCAGAACTGCGCCCAGCCCTGGCTGCAGTTCCTCCCCGGCCGCCTGCCACTTGGACACTGCTACCTCCCCAAGGGGGCCCGGATTGAGAGAGGGCACAGGCCAGGCTGAGGGACCCCACCTGTGCACGAATCTGTACACTGGGTCCTTAGTACTTATAAATTTATTAATGCTTTCTTCTATTTTTACTTTCAATCCTTAACTGAGGATATTTCCATTGATTTAGAGATTTGGAGGGGAAAATACAGGGAGGGAGAGAGAGAAAAACACCCACATGAGAGAGACACATTGATTGGTTGCCTTCTGCACCGTCCTGACCTGGATAGGGATCAAACCTGCAAACCCAGGGACATGTCCTTGACCAGGAAACGAACCTGCAACCCTTTGGTGTGCAGGCCAACACTCTAACCACTGAACCACACAGCCCAGGGCTTTTAAACTTTATTATTATTTTAATCATTAGCACTCTTTTTTAAAACAAACTCTTTAATTATATGGAACATATAATTAAATTTTTGTTAAGCCGTTTACCGTGGCCAGCTTCCTGTGGCACTCTTCCTCGTTTAGTTTCTGCCTCATGTCCCCATGGGTAATTGCTGCCACAGTCCACGTCGGTAGATGTGTATGTCGGCCCCTGCATTGTGGCCTCCTGCACAGCATCGCAGTGAGCACCCGTGCGACAGCACTGGGATGTAAAGCCACCGCTGCACTGAAAGTGAAACAGCGGGGTCAGGGCATGCTTATTTAAATTTTTGGTGTTTAATCTTAAGTTGCTTGTCCACAAGGGCAGTCCCAATGTACTGTCCTTTCCATAAGCCCTCAGCACAAAGGCTCGGGGCGCTGACCCTCCTGCTTCTGCTCCCGCGCAGGTACCTGGAAGAGGTGGGCTACACGGACACCATCCTGGACATGCGGTCCAAGCGTGTGCGATCTCTCCTGGGACGCTCGTTGGAGCTCAACGGGACGGTGGAGCCCAGCGAAGGGGGCCCCAGGGCCACACCAGGCCCCGGGGGGCTCAGCGGTGGGGAGTCACTGCTGGTGAAACAGATCGAGGAACAGATCAAGAGGTGAGCCCCCGGGCCCGACGGGTCCATCCCTCTGTGCCTCCTGCCTCCCGCGAAGCCAGGGTCGGAAAAGCGAGCCGGGCCCCAGGGCTCACTTCCTTCTGAGAACACGTTGTGGGCTCGCTTGCTCCAGAACCCTCTGTCTCTTCATTGTGGGGTCCCCAATTTTGTACTGGGTCCCCTGCGCATGCGCTCCCACGGTCCTCCCTCAGTGCTCATCTCCAGCCTGGCCCCTCCCTCTCCTGAGGCGCAGGCCCATGCGCCCTCAGCATACACTGAGCACCCGCTGAAGTGGACCCCAGGCCACTTGCCAGGGCCTGATGGGGACAAAGCACACGGACACCCCCTTTGGGGAGCTCTTACTTGTTCGCTCTCTCAGCCATGACTGTTATCCATGAGTCAGTGAGGTGACGTTCGGTGCTGTGAGAAGGAAAGCAGTGAAGAGTGATGGGAAGAGTGCCGCTGTGGGTGGGTGGTGGGACCTCTTGGTGGAGGTGCTGTTGGGCAGAGCAGTACAGGAAAGGGAGGGTGAGCCACGTAAGCAGTTGGAACAGGAATGGATGTCCTGGCAGAGGGGAAGCACGTGTAAAGGTCTGAGGCGGCGGAGACTTGGCAGTTCCGGAAGCAGCAGCAGGGCAGCGAGGCGGCAGCGGGGCTTGTGGTCTGTGGTGAGGCTGAAATCTCAGGAGTCGGATCGAACGGCCTCGCTGGCTGAGATAAGGAGTTTGGATTCTGTTCTAGGCTTATGGGGAGCCGTGTTCCAGCGGGCGCGATGTGCTCTGATGCCGCCGTCCGCTTCGGCGGCACGGCTGTAGAGGCAGGAGTGGGCAGGGAAACCAGACGGGAGACTGCGGTGCCCAGGCAGTGATGGCAGGCGTTAGGGGGAGACTGCGGTGCCCAGGCAGTGATGGCAGGCGTTAGGGGCAGACTGCGGTGCCCAGGCAGTGATGGCAGGCTTTAGGGGGAGACTGCGGTGCCCAGGCAGTGATGGCAGGCGTTAGGGGGAGACTGCGGTGCCCAGGCAGTGATGGCAGGCGTTAGGGGCAGACTGCGGTGCCCAGGCAGTGATGGCAGGCTTTAGGGGCAGACTGCGGTGCCCAGGCAGTGATGGCAGGCTTTAGGAGCAGACTGCGGTGCCCAGGCAGTGATGGCAGGCTTTAGGGGCAGACTGCGGTGCCCAGGCAGTCATGGCAGGCTTTAGGGGGAGACAGTGGTGCCCAGGCAGTGATGGCAGGCGTTAGGGGGAGACTGCGGTGCCCAGGCAGTCATGGCAGGCTTTAGGGGCAGACTGCGGTGCCCAGGCAGTCATGGCAGGCTTTAGGGGGAGACAGTGGTGCCCAGGCAGTGATGGCAGGCGTTAGGGGTAGACTGCGGTGCCCAGGCAGTGATGGCAGGCGTTAGGGGTAGACTGCGGTGCCCAGGCAGTGATGGCAGGCGTTAGGTGGAAGGGTGAGAAGTGGTCAGCTTCTGATGGGTTTTCAGGATAAGTCTGCACGGTTTAAAGGATTGTATGTTGGGGAGAAGGACGAAGTGAGAGCTGGCTCCAGGGTTGGTCTGAGCAGCTGGCAGCAGCACTGAGGGAGATGGGGGAGGTGAGGAGCAGCACACCAAGAGGCGTTTAGGGTGGGTGGGGTTCAGGGTGCCTGGTGGCCCAGTGCAGGTCGTGAATAGCCAGCCTGGAGCTGGGGCTGGTGCTTGATTCCTGAATTTACCTGTTTGCCAGCACGCAGCGGTGTTTGCAGGCTCTGAAGGAGCGTGTAGCTGGCAGCACAGACGGAGGTCAGGACTGAGCCCTGGGCGCTGTGTCTAGAGCCGGAGGAAGAAGCGGTGGGAGGCGGCAGCAGAGGAGGCTGAGCTTCAGCTGTGGGAGGAGGCCGGGACTGGTGTCCCAGCAGCTGGCAGAGATGTTCTGCTGGAGGATACGCATGGGGCCGGGGAGCGAGTGGCGGGTTTGCTGCCGGGAGGAAGGCTCTCCACGGGCCAGAACCATAAACTGACCAGCTCTCTAGAGCGGGGGTGGAAGGTCTGCCCGAGGGCCAGATGAGGCCTGTGCAATCATTTGGTCTGGCCCTGCCAAGGCATTAGCGGTGAGTTAATTAAACGTTTGACCAATATAGCAGGCTAATTTTTAAGTTGATGATTTTATATGGCTCTCGAATGATGTTATAAATGTCCAAATGGCCCCTGGCAGGAAAAAGGCTCCTCACCCCTGCAGGCTTGGCGGTAGGGCGTGAGCATTGGTAGTGGCCAGTTCCATTCCTCCAGGACGCGCCTCTGTCCCTCACCTGGCCTGTGCTTGTGGTTTGACCGGGGCCGTGGGAACGGGGCTGCTGAGTCAGAGGCATTTTCTCATCCAGCTCTCCTGACTCGGCACACGTGGGGAGACCTGTGTCAGGGTTGGGGGCTAGTCCCCTGGAACTCGAGGTCTGAGCTCAGTGGGGAGTTGGCCCAGTCTGTGGTCCACATGGGGTTTGAGTCGGGTGAGCATCTGTTAGGCAGACCCTGATTGAAGCCCTGTGTCTGATCACAATCAAGGCTCCCTGTGCTCATGGTGGTCAGCCCCTGAGAGCTGGTACAGGCTCCAGCTACCAAGCCTCACCCTGGCACCTGAGCTTTGTCACATGGCAGGACTAATGCCCCCTTTGCCCCCTGTTGTGGGCAGGAATGCAGCGGGCAAAGACGGCAAAGAGCGCCTGGGCGGCTCGGTGCTGGAGCAGATCCCCTTCCTGCAGAACTGTGAGGACGAAGACAGCGACGAGGACGACGAGCTGGACAGCGTGCAGCACAAGAAGCAGCGGGTGAAGGTGCGTGTGCGAGCCGAGGAGGCTCCTCCGGCGATCCCCCTGCTTTGTTTGTACACCAGGACCAGGTGCCGCTGTGGATGCTCAGGGCTCCCTCCGAGGCTGTGTGGGCTGACCACATCCCAGAGTCCCCGGCGCCTCAGCAACCTTTACTGTCGGCGCCGCCTCCGCCCCACCTGCACCCTGGGCTCTCAGCCTCCCTTCTTCGGCTCGTCTTCTCTGAACGCCAGACCAGGCCGCCCCAGCTGCCTCTGACAGTGCTCTCCTTCCGGCTCACTCGTCAGTCACACTCAGATATGTTTTTGGTGTGACCGTGGCTCTTTGTCTCCCACAGTAGATTTTGAGCCTTTTCACTGCTCTCTCTCCAGCTCCCTGACTGGGCGGCTGGGCCCAGGGTTCAGCCTGAGCCAGGCTGGAGTGCTTCGTGGGCTTCCAGGCTGCTGTCGATGTCAGGATTCAGCTTCAGGGCTCTGCCCACAGGGTAGTCCAGGTCCCCTCAGCTGGACCTCGAGCTCTGGCTCCCAGCACATCCACCCTCATGACAGCGCTACCCTTAGGCGTGGCGTCTCTCATCTGTCCGGTGAACATCAGCGTGGGCCTTTGTGGGCCAGCTCTGTGCTGGCAGCTGGGGTGTGGAGACATAGTTGCTGACGTGGAGGAGCTTGTGGCAGCGGCAGGATTGTAAGCAGCCATCCTTACAATCTGAGGGATGTGCACAGTGGGGTCAGGAGCATATACATGTGAGGTGGGACCAGGGGACTGCAGAGACTGCCTTCCATTCACCCAGCCTTTCATCAGACTCCTTCCTTCTTTAAACTCACCTCAGGCACACCCCTCCTCCAGGAAGTCTTCCCTGATTTACCCTTACTCCCCTTCCCTCCACAGGCTCAGGATCCTCTTGGAGGTCCCTGTCCCACCTGAACCGCTCTGGGTTCCCCTTGTAACCCTCCTGCCCCATCCTTGTGAGGGGCCAGGTCTGTCCTGCCCCCACATTCTCAGTGTGGCTCAGCCCAGACGAGGTGCTCAGGGAATTCACTGCGTGGGAGGGAGTCCACAGAGCCAGGCCCTAGAGCTGGGTTTACAGGAGAACAGCATGTCTCTGAGCGCTTGCTCTCCAGCATCGTTCCCGGTCCCTCCTGCCCCCACTAGGGTTTTCACTGCTGGGCTGGTCTTACCTCAGAGACCTTCCCACTGCTCTCTGCTCCTCCTGCAGAGAAAGATTGATGGCTTTCACATTTCCTTAGGCATTGGCATCTGCCACTGCCCCTCCTGGGGGTGGCTCATTGCCTAGGGCATCACACCTCCCCATGCCCGCACAGCAGGCCTTCCGTGCCCAGACTGGTATGAAAGACCCGCCCATGGCCCCAGGCTGGCTCCGGCCTCGCTGTGGAACGTTGGTATCTGATGCTCTTTGTCTTAACTGTCTCTGGATTCTGAGGATTAACTAAATGAGTGAACTATAGGAATCCGTGGCTGCTGCACGGAATGCTCAGTGGTGGCATTGGTGGGCTCCGCAGTGAGAGCCACAGGCACAGGCAGGGTGGCTTTTCGGGGCCCCATACAGTCCCACGGTCCGTGACGCTGACTCCCGCCAGTGCCTCTCCGGCACGCTGTCTGCCCTCGGCACTACGTCTTCTGGGAAGGAAAAGAGGGCGCCGCCCATGGGCCCGCCCTCTGGTCCTCTCACAGGCCAGAGGCTGGCCAGCTCCCAATGTGTACCCTCCAAACCCAGCTTGGGGTGCTGAGCCTGGGGGAGGGATTCAGCCATGCCCGTGGGGAGTCCAAGGCTGGCTCCCTGGGACCACTTAGGAAGGAGGAGAGGAGCTGGTTGAGTCTAGTGGTCTTCAGAATCCTGGTACTGGTTGGGGTGTGTTCTTTTTTTTTTTTTTTTTTTTTAATATATTTTATTGGTTTTTTACAGCGAGGAAGAGAGAGGGATAGAGTTAGAAACATCGATGAGAGAGAAACATCGATCAGTTGCCTCTTGTATACTCCCTACTGGGGATGCGCCTGCAACCAAGGTACATGCCTTTGACCGGAATCGAACCCGCAACCGACGCTCTATCACTCAGCCAAACCGGTTTTGGCTGGGGTGTGTTCTTAAGGCAGCACTTAAAACAGAACTCAGGCCAGGACTGGTTTGGCTCAGTGGATAGAGCGTCGGCCTGCGGACTGAAAGGTCCCGGGTTCCATTCCGGTCAAGGGCATGTACATTGGTTGCGGGCACATCTCCCATAGGGGGTGTGCAAGAGGCAGCTGGTCAATGTTTCTCTCTCATCGACATTTCTAGCTCTCTATCTCTCTCCCTTCCTCTCTGTAAAAAAATCAATAAAATATAGATTTAAGCCGAAACCGGTTTGGCTCAGTGGATAGAGCGTCGGCCTGCGGACTGAAAGGTCCCAGGTTCGATTCCGGTCAAGGGCATGTACCTTGGTTGCAGACACATCCCCAGTAGGGGGTGTGCAAGAGGCAGCTGATCGATGATTCTCTCTCATCGATGTTTCTAACTCTCTATCCCTCTCTCTTCCTCTCTGCGAAAAATCAATAAAAAATATTTAAAAAATAAATAAATAAAACAGAACTCAGATAACAAAATTGTCTGGAAAATTCTGGAAGTCCCGTCAGCCTCAGGTGCAGTGTTTGAGGTCCCGAGTGCACACCCTGGGTGGTTCTCTGTGTAACGGTCATGATGCTAGACGTCATCTCATCAGGCTGTGTCTAAAGGTGTCCTGTGGGCCCCGGCTGCTCTTGCATTCACAGGTCTGGGATGGGGTTGTAGATGGAGGGAACCTGATGGCTTGGTTCCTGCCCTCGGTTAAGACGGGCTGTGGGAAACTTGGCAGACTCATGCGCTTGCCCAGCATTCAGCTCTGAGTGGAGGAGCTGTGCTGTTTTTTCCCATTCTAAAAGTAGCTGGTTACTGAGGATTTTGTTTCTTATGTAACCAGCATGTCTCCGAGCACGGCTCTCCAGCATGGTTCCCGGGCCCAGAACGCCTGGTCCCTCCTGCTCCCCACCAGGATTTTCGCTACTGGGCAGCTCTTACCTCAGCCTCCTCTGGTTACATAAGAAAACAAAACCTCAGCCAGCCTAGAGTTTTCAGGAAGACCTGGAGAACCTGGGCACTTTGCTCAGCTCATTTCTCCGTGTGTAATAATGAGACAATAAGTGCAGTGATGGTAACCAATCCTGTTGTGAGATGTGAAATCATAGGTTTGAGTCTTATTCAGTGCACTGAATAATGCAGAGGCCAGCAGTGTTGATGAGGATTTGTTATTATTACATGTTACGTTCCTGGGTCTGTTCTCACTTTTATTATTTTCTTTTTGTTAATCCTCACTCCAAGGGTGTTTTTCCCATTGATTTTTAGAGAGTGGGAGGGAGGGAAAGAAGGATGGGAGAGAGAGAAAGAGAAACATCAATGTGAGAGAGACACATCGATTGGTTGCCTCCTGTACATGCCCTGACCAAGGCCGACCCAGAGATTGAACCTGCAACTAGGTATATGATCTTGACTGTGAATTGAACCCGAGACCCTTTGGTGTGCAGGCCGTCACTCTAACCACTGAGGAACACCAGCCAGGGCACTGTTCTCACTTTGATCGTGCACCTCTGTACACTCATAGACAAACATATCGCCCCTCTCCCTGAAGCAGGCTGTCATTGACTTTTCTTCATGAGAAATACTGTGTTGGGGGGGCAGGGATTGGAGGAGTGGGAACAGCCTGAGCAAAAACCAGGAGGAGGGCGGAGGAGGGAGGTCTGTAAACTCAGGCTGGGGCTCCAGGAGGAGCAGCCTCTGAGGATTCCCAGCAGGGGGCGCACAGCCCCAGAGGAAGGCCTGCGGCGGAGCCTTGCTGCCCTGGCTGCCTGCTCTTGGAGGCTCGGGGGCTTGGCTGTGGCACGAGCTCCCTAACTGTCTGATGTCTCCATGCCCAGCTGCCGGCCAAGACCCTGGTCCCTGAAATGGAGGATGAAGATGAGGAGGACGACTCGGAGGACGCCATCAACGAGTTCCATTTCCTGGGCTCAGGAGAGGACGGGGAGGGCTCTCCGGACCCTCGGCGATGCGCTGGAGAGGGGGCCCACCACGAGCTGGGTGAGTGGAGGGTTTTCTGGCAGAAGGGACACTCGCAGCTGCTTCCTGCCCCAGGGTCTCCACCGGATGGACATACTTCCTGAGAGGAGGGGGGCCAGAGGAGGGCAGGAGGTCCGCACCACAGTAGCCAGGCCTGCACCCTTCCCTGGAAAAGCCCCATGGGACACAGGGGGCTGCCAGCCTGTGCACGCTGTGGGCCTCGGGGAGGAACCAGGATGGGACCACGGGAGAGGCAGGCAGGGCCTCAATGTGCCTCCGGCCCTGGCACTCCGAGCTGCGAGGCCCTGGGGGTCACGGAACGTGGCTGGAGACCGAGGTTTCTGCAAGGGTGGTCCGTGGAGGGTCCCCACTCAGTCTCCTGTCCATCCCCACCCACTGCGAGCCCGGTGCACTCTGGTGGGGAAGGAGGCGCCTGGCCTGGCTGGGCTGAGCTGCTGGTGATCTGCCTGGTGCCTCACCCTGCAGAAAGCCGGCGGGTCAAACTCCAGGGCATTTTGGCCGACCTTCGGGATGTGGATGGACTGCCCCCCAAAGTGACAGGACCGCCTCCTGGCACACCCCAGCCCCGGCCACACGAAGGTAAGAGGCCCTCACCCTGGCCCGGCCCACGGGACCCCAGCACCTACGGCAGAGGGAGGCTGCAGAGCTAAGCCCAGGGCTTCTGTGTCCTCGGTCCAGGCCCGGCCCCTAGTTTGCAGCCTCCCTGTCCCAAACGTTCGTCTGTCTGTCTCTGTCTCCCCTCTTTTTGTCTGTCCTGCCCTGCCTGCCTGTCTGTCTCTCCCTGTCTCTTTCTTTCCAGCTGTGATTCTTGATCTTGTCTCTACCTCTCCCTCACACCTCACCTCTCTCTCCGCCTCTCTGTCTCCTCCTCTCTCCCGGCCCCTCTCTGCCCCTTCCCTCCCCTCCCCCCACCAGGTTCCTTTGGCTTCTCCTCAGACGTTTTCATCATGGACACTATCGGGGGCGGGGAGGTGAGCCTGGGGGACTTGGCAGATCTCACCGTCACCAATGACAACGACCTCAGCTGCGACGTAAGTTCTCAGGGTGCCCACCCCCTCGACCCCCAGTGTGCATTCTGCGTAGTGGCAGCATCTGCTGAGCGCTGGCTGTGCGCGGCTTGTGCTCAGTCCCTTGCACGCGAGGACCACGTGAGCCCGTCCAACGGCTCAGCCGTTTGGCATAGGGGGCCTGTGTCTTACTCACGGTGCCAGCTACTTCTCCGGGGCGCCCCTCCCAGGCCGGCTCACGTATGTGCACCGCAAGTCCAGGACCACCTGCTGGGGCAGGGCGAGGGGGGTGGAAGCTAGATACAGCATCAGAGGAGGACGGGGCTCGCTGGCAGCAGTGCGGGTAAGACACTGCAGAGAGTTGGACTTGAGCAGACCTTTGAAGGGGAGGTGGCCTCCAGCCCACAACCAAAACATCAGGCCAGTCTGGTGCGCATGGGGCTGGTGGCGGGAAAGAAAGGAAACTGAGGGCCGAAACCGGTTTGGCTCAGTGGTAGAGCGTCGGTCTGCAGACTGAAAGGTCCCAGGTTCGATTCCGGTCAAGGGTATGTACCTTGGTTGCAGGCACATCCCCGGTGGGGGGTGTGCAAGAGGCTAGCTGGTCAATGTTTCTCTCTCATCGACGTTTCTAGCTCTCTAGCTCTCTCCTTTCCTCTCTGTAAAAAATTAATTTAAAAAAATATATTTAAAAAAAAAAAGAAAGGAAGGAAACTGAGGGCCAGTGCTCTTAGCCGGAGGCCCGCGGGCGGACCCTGCCGTCTGGGATGTGGAGTCGGGTGCGTGTGCCTTGTCCTGCGCCGGTGGCAGGACCCTCCTGAGCTTTTAGCAGGATCTCAGGGTTGCTGATCCCAGCGGAGCGGGCACAGCTGTGGGAGGCTGGGAAAGGGGCCAGGGCCGAGCTCTGAGCAGAGTTGCTGCCCCGCACAGATCCTTCCTGGGGAGTGTGTGAGTGAGGAGGTCACCCAAGCAGAGCCTCTGGCCCTAAAGAATGTGGCAAAGTGGCAGCTGGGGCAGGGGCCTTGGGACAAGCCTGGATGAAAGGGTTTGTCAGGTGTGAACTCCCTCTTGGGGCAGGGCACTGAGGTTTGCTATTTTTCTGCAAGGTCCCTCACTCAGAGAGCGACACCCCCACCCTGCAGGGCATGTGCAGTGTTTCTGGGATTTGCTCCCCAGTCTCTCCCATCGTGTGGACTTGTCGCCATTCCCACACCGCAGCCGCCCTCCCCCATTGCTCTCTGCGCCCAGGCCTCCTCTCAGGCCCGGACCCATCCTCGCTGCCTCCTCCTCAGGGACTTTGCACGTGAAATGTCTTCCCGAAGGCCCTTCCCCTTATCTGGTTAAGTCTATTTATTTGTCACTTGCTCAGAGGCAGTCAGGCTGCTGGGTGCCTCCTCCCAGGGTTTTTTATTTTTTAATATGTTTTTATTGATTTCAGAGAGGAAGGGAGAGGGAGAAAGAGATAGAAACATCAATGATGAAGGAGAATTCTCGGCTGCCTCCTGCACATCCCCTAAAAGAGACTGAGCCTGCAACCTGGGCATGTGCCCTGACCAGGAATCGAACTGTCATCTCCTGGCTTACAGGTCAATGCTCAACCACTGAGCCACGCTGGCCGGGCCTCCCAGTGCATTTTCATCCATAACAGCTGTGCACGGGTGGGATGGTCTGAGTGTCTCCCCAGCCCCCGCCCCTGCCCCCTGTGAACTGCGAAATCCCAAGGTTCCGGGCCCACCTTGGTCCCTTCCGAGCCCGGCACAGCCCGCACACAGTGAGAGCTGGATGAGGGGGTGCTGCAGGGCCAGGAAGAAGAGGAGCCTCGGGGCTGGAGGCCGGGCTGTGGGTGCTTCACGGGGGTGTCTGGAGGCACGAGTCCTTGGGGTCCTGGCTGCGAACTGCGGCTGCTGGGGGGAGGAGCCTGAGGCAGTCCCCCCCCCCCCCCAGCTGTCTGACAGCAAAGACGCCTTTAAGAAGACGTGGAACCCCAAGTTCACCCTCCGGTCACACTACGACGGCATCCGCTCCCTGGCTTTCCACCACGGCCAGTCGGCTCTGCTCACCGCGTCCGAGGACGGCACGCTCAAGCTCTGGAACCTGCAGAAGGCCGGCACCGCCAAGAAGTGAGGGCGCGGCCCCAAGGGTGGGGGAGGGCGCCGGGGCCCGGGACAGGTGAGGAGGCTCTCGGCGGCTCTGTCTCCCACAGGAACGCTGCGCAGGACGTGGAGCCTATCCATGCCTTCCGGGCTCACAGGTAGGGGGTGCCCCACAGGTGGGGGTGGCGGTGGCAGGCAGCCGGAGGTCGGAGTCCCTGGGCCCTCTGCCCGCACCCCTGGCCCGGGTGTAGCGCTTGCAGTGCCCCCACCGCTGGTGGCCCGCACAGCCGCTGGAGGAGGAAGCAGACACGGGGAGGGGAAGGCAGAGGACAGGCCACAGAAGCTCCAGAATCTGAATTCCTCTGGCTGCCCCTGAAAAGTGCCAGGAGAGAGAGAATGGCAAGGTCCTGGGAGGGGCGAGCTTTGAGTTTTTCGTTTCCCCCTACTTTGTATCCCCCAGGGGCCCCGTGTTGGCAGTAGCCATGGGCAGCAACAGTGAATACTGTTACAGCGGTGGGGCGGATGCCCGCATCCACAGCTGGAAGATTCCAGACCTCAACATGGACCCCTACGATGGTTACGGTGAGAGCTCTTGCCCTTCCTCCCCCACCGTCATCTCCGGGGGCCTCTGTCCCCCGCACATGTGGCTAGCATCTGCCCGTGCCTGACACGGCAGGCACTGGGGGCTGCTCAGCCTGCTGAGCGTGGAGCAGCGTGACTCAGCACGTGGCAGCCAGACGAGATGGCTGAGCTGACAGCCTCAGCGTGGGGCCAGGCGCACATGTGAGGCTCGGGGCGCTGGCAGCACTCTGTCTCTGACTGAGCGGGCCGGCAGGTGGCAGGGAGAATCAGCGGGGCCGCTCGCAGGCGTTTGTGCTTCCTTCTTGGGGCACTTTTAAGAGTTAAATGGAGAAGTGACCTCTGTTCAGGGTCTGTCCCTGCCCTCTGACCCCTGTTATGATAAATGACCACACACGGCTCCGTGCAGCTTCCTGTGGTGGTGGCGTTCAGAGCTCTGTGCTCCCTCCCCGTTTTCCTGAGAGCAGTCCTGCCCTGGGAAAGGTCAGGGGTCAGTCCCTGGCAGTGTGTGCTCTGGGCCAAACACCCATTGGGCATCAGCATGGCCCGACCAGACACCCCTGTGTTGACACAAGTGGCCAGAGGCAGTGGTGGGACTGACCACAGGGCTCTGGCGTGACGGCCAGGCTGGTGCACGGGGGCAGAAAGGACTGCAGGGCCCGGGTGGGGCCAGCCCTAGGGCCCAGGCTTTGAAGAAAGGTCTGGGGCCAGAGTCATGATTGTTCCTTCTCCTGTAGCTGAGTTTTAAAAGGTACGTATCCGGCCGAATCCAGTTTGGCTCAGTGGATAGAGCGTCTGCCTGTGGACTGAGGAGTCCCAGGTTCGATTCCGGTCAAGGGCATGTACCTTGGTTGCGGGCACATCCCCAGTAGGGAGTGTGCAAGAGGCAGCTGATCGATGATTCTCTCTCATCAATGCTTCTAACTCTCTATCCCTCTCTCTTCCTCTTCCTCTCTGTAAAAATTCAATAAAGTATATTAAAAAAAAAAAAAAAGTACGTATCGAGTGCCCACTGTGAGCACTGTTAGGGCCCCAGGGGACAGCAGGGAACAGACATCCCTGCCCCCTGGAGCTTCCATGTCCTAAACTCTTCCCAGTGAGCGGCCAGGGGGTGAGCGGCCGCTGGGGTATATGGCGGCGGTGACCGGTTCGAGGTCCTGGCGCTTGGGGTGAGGCGGGGTGAGTGTGGCAGAGCTCGGGCTCCAGGCCGCCCACCGTGGCGCTGGCGGCCCTGACCCAGCCATCTCCCCTCTCCCGGTGGGTCCAGACCCGAGTGTGCTGAGCCACGTCCTGGAGGGCCACGGGGACGCTGTGTGGGGCCTGGCCTTCAGCCCCACCTCCCAGCGCCTCGCCTCCTGCTCCGCTGATGGCACCATCCGCATCTGGGACCCCAGCAGCAGCAGCCCGGCCTGCCTCTGTACCTTCCCCACAGCCGGCGGTGAGTGAGGGGCGGGGCAGTGGGGACGTGTAGAGCGGGAGGCCCTGCAGGAGGGTGACGCCTGCACCCCAGTCCCGGGGCAGGCCCGTCTGTTAGGCAACCGTCCGTCCCCTCCGCCCTCAGATCACAGGATCCCCACCTCCGTGGCCTTCACCAGCACCGAGCCTGCCCACATCGTGGCCTCCTTCCGCTCCGGCGACACTGTCCTGTATGACCTGGAGGCTGGCAGTGCCCTCCTCACGCTGGAGTCCCAGGGGAGCAGCGGTAAGGGCCCCGGGCTGGGTCTGAATGGCTCCCAGGCTGCGGGCTCCTGTGGCGCTGGGGACGGGCTCGGTCAGCTGCAGGTGGGGGCTCTGAGTGGGAGGCCAGGAGGCCTCAGCCACTGCCCTGATGGACAGCCCGAGTCTGGTTGGGGGGTGCCTAGGTGCAGGGAGAGTGTCAGACTTGCCTGTTGGCCCACTTGGTGGCATGGAAGAGCCGTCTCAATGCCCGTCACCCTCCTGTCCCCTCCAAGGTGCTGGCCTGAGGAGGGCGTGGCCTGGGCGCCCCGCCCTCGGTATTTAGGCAGAGGCAGGGATGTGGCAGAATGGTGCTCTTGCCTTTGTCCTTGTCCCCCAACCTCCCCGATGTCCCTCCTCCCTGCTTTTCCTTCCAGGCCCAACCCAGATCAATCAGGTGGTGAGTCACCCAAACCAGCCCCTCACCATCACCGCCCACGACGACAGAGGCATCCGCTTCCTGGACAACCGGACAGGTGGGCCCCGCCTCCCGCTCCCCGCTCCCCGCTCCCCGCTCTCTGTGCTGTGGAGGCGGTGACCAGCTCAGACCGGAGCCCCTGGTGTCCACTGGGAGGCTCTAAGCGGCCTTCCTAGGCCCACCTTCCCCGGTGAGGCCCGAACTGGCGCAGTGACTGCCCCTCTGCCCTCAGGGAAGTGCGTGCACTCCATGGTGGCCCACCTGGATGCTGTCACCTGCCTGGCCGTGGACCCCAATGGCGTGTTCCTGATGTCAGGAAGTAAGTCCTTCCCCAGCCACTGGGCACTGGCCCCGGGGGAGAAGGGGGGGCTGGGCGGGGAGCCTTAGGCAGCGGGAAGAGGTGTCATGGCGGTGACAGCAAAACGCTGTGCGCAGAGCCCAGCCTAGGCACTTCCCGCGTCGTCTCGTTTCCTCGGAACAACCGACGCTGTTGGGACTTTGCCCCCATTACACAGAAGTGGAAGCTTGCGTAACTGGCACGGCCCAGTGGGTAGCAGGCATTGAAGTTCTGGTCTACTTGACTCGGTCCCCACAGCTTTTATAGCGTTTGTTGCCGCCCTGCTCTCTGTGGTTAAGGGCCGAAGCTCCCCAGGGGGCGATGGGTGTGTGCTGGTGGGAACTGGGGCTGCATTTGCCTCTGCTCCGCTGTGGGATCTCCGTGGGTGTGAGCGAGTGACTGCACAGAAGGGTGGGGGAGTATGAGGGAGGGTGGGGGAGGGTTTGCATGGGCCTGGGATCCTCTGTCCTGCTCTCTGTCTCCCATGATGGCAACAGCAGCCTCTGAGGAGGTGGACGAGGGTGAGGTCAGGGAGATGTAGCTATGACAGAGAGGATCCATACAGGGGCCCCCACCCAGATCAGCCCCTGGTCCTTCTGACACCTCAGTCAGCCACCTCTCTCCGGTGGCTCATGGCCCCCAAGGCCCGGCCCAGCTCTGACCCCCCTTTTCTCCCCACTGCTGCTCAGGCTCTCGCAGCCCACATGCTTCCTGTCGGTCCTCAGGGCCTCCCCCGGCCATGCCCGCTGTTTGGAAGGCTTTTCTCCCTGACTCCCTCCTGGCCAGTCTGTCCCCACACTGACCGACTCATGCCCACAGCACTCGAGACCACCTGGCATTGCTTATCCTGTTTTCTTGTTTACTGTCTCTCCCGCAGCAGGAGGGAGGTTTGCCTGCTTTGTTTACAGTAGTTGTTCAGTAAACACTGTGGCTGGATGGAGGGGGTCAGGCGGGATGTCAGGAGGGGACTGGGCAGAGGGAGGCAGGAGGAGAACTGAGCCTCCACCTGGCTCTGAGGCCTTGAGAGAGGCCAGCCAAGGGCTTGGGGTCGGATCTGAGCGAGGAACTGTGGGTCCGGAGCTGCCGGGTGACCGCTCGCTCTGCCCGCACCTGCGCAGGCCACGACTGCTCCCTGCGACTGTGGAGCCTGGACAACAAAACGTGTGTGCAGGAGATCACGGCCCACCGCAAGAAGCACGAGGAGGCCATCCACGCTGTCGCCTGCCACCCCAGCAAGGCCCTCATCGCCAGTGCAGGCGCCGATGCCCTGGCCAAGGTCTTCGTATGATGCCCACCTGGCCCCGCCCTGGCCGGGGAGCGAGGCTGGGCAGGTGGGACTGAGGTGAGGAGCTGGGCCAAGAGGGAGGCTTGGCCCGGGAGGGCAGGGCCCTTGTGTCCTCACCCACCCTCCTTTGCCTGGCCCTTCCTGGGGACGCAAGCCCTGCAGTCACAGGTGGGGCATCCTGTGTAACCCTTGGGCATTCAGAGGGGGGCTGAGGTCTGGAGGGACGCAGAGCTGCCTTCCTCTTGTGCCTGGAGGTCATGGTTCAGTCTCCCCTCCCTTCTGTCTCCCCCAGGTGACAGCCTCAGTCCGGAGGCCCGGAGGCCCGGCCTCTTCCTGCCTGCCTTGAGTCTGGTGGTGCTAAAGGCCCTTTCTGCAGGAGGCCCTCCCCCATGGCCTGCCCTCCCCTCCCCAGCACTCAGCCTGGGGAAGGGCCTCCTTCAGGAATCACCCTCCAAGACGGCCTCCAGGAGTCTCATCTCTGCCCGGACGCCCACTCCTGGTCTCCTAGCTGCCTTCCGGGGCAGCACAACCAGGGCTGGGTGTCCTTGGGGATCAGCTTTTCCAAGATACCAGAAGGTGCCAGGTTCTCTCTCTGAACCCCCATTCCTCCTCTCCACCCTTCCAGACCGGGGTGGGAGCTGTGCTGGGAGGAACCCCAGATGCCCCTGCTCTCGGTCCACCAGGAGCCACGGAGCCATGGACCCAGCTGTCCTCATGGGAGTGCTGGGCCTTGCCCACCGGGAAGCACACCCAGCCCCCACCCCCTTCCAGTTCCCTCAGCACAGCTTTCCAGACACTACCCAGCGCCTCCAGGGCCAGCAGCTGCCCGGGAGCAGGCAGTGCCCTGTGGGGAGGCACCCGCCCCTACCTCCCTCCACACTCCTCCAAGGGCAGTCCCCTACCCCTCAGGGTCACCCCTGGGGCATGGAGGATGGAGTGGGGTCCCCAGGGCCCCCATAACTCCCTGTATATCTGTATAAATAAATGGGATTTTAATGGAGCCCCCGCCCCCATGTCGTTATCACTGTGTGATAGTCTGTCAGTCTCCTCTCCTGGCCCTCCACTCTCTCCCTCTATTTATTTCACTCTTTTTTGGATTCCACCCTGAGTCCTCAGGATCCCTTCCAGTTTCCTGTTTATAAACCCTGTCCCTCTGTCCTGGACTTGTATGTGAAACTTGCCTCAATAAACCCTTTGGAGTAAGATGGGTGGTGGTGCTGACTGTTGGGGGAGACACACTTTGGGAGGAGTGACTGGCTCTGTCTGCAGTGGGTGAGGCTTGGAGAGGGGATATGGTGATGGGTTGGGGTTTTGTGGTAGGGCAACCGGGGCTAGAGCCTGGGCAGAGTGGGTGCAGGAACGGAAGTCAAGGCACAGGACCGAATCTCCCCTGTGGCCCCTCCTGCCCCTACGCGCTCTCCCCAGGGGCCACAAGCACAAAGTATGATTGACGGTGTAACTCGAGACTCCTCCCCTCACCCCACCACCGTCACCCCCGGGCTGTGTGATGGGATGGTGAGGCCCACACCCGGGCTGACAAGGAGCAGGTAGAACCTGGGAGCTGCCTGACAGAACAGCCGCCATGCTGGGAGCTGTGGGAGGAGTGGGGTCCGTGTCGGCTGTACACGCAGGCACCAGACCAGTGTGAGCAGTGCCATTTCACTGGTCCCACAACTTCCAAAGGCAGGGAGCTCTAGGAATGCTTTACGGAGAAAGGTGGAGGGTGGGGCGGAGGAGGCTCACGGCCTCCAGCAGGGACCAGAATTTGTATCCTGTCCCTTGTCACTCCCTCTGCTTACGCAGCCCTCCGCCTACCAGCAGAGTGTGCTTGGGCAAGTCCCGGCACCTCCCGCTGTCAGGGCTGCACCCCGTGTCCCCATAGGGCCGGGCCCTGTGAGCACCTCAGGATGAAGTCCTGCACACATGGGACGTGCTAGCACTTCCAGGAGAGGGTGCAGGTAGGCAGCTGGCCATCAGGTGACACTGACAGGCGCCTGCTGTGGGCTCCGTGTGGCCTCGCTCCCCCCGCATCCTGGGCTCTGAGCAGCTTCACCAGGTGGTGGTTTGGGTTTTCGCTCCAGCCTCAGACTTCCTTCCCCAGCCCAGCCAGCGCGTGTGCGTGCTCACACACACACACACACACACCCCGCCCGGATGTGGTGACAGAAACACTACCGTATCAACTCAGTTGCCCCCAACAACCAGGAAGGGGGGCTCACCTTGCGGCCCCCATCCCCACCATCCCTCTGGGCTGGAACCCAGTCGGGAATAGGCCACCTCTGCTAGGGTGCCCCCAGAGCTCCAGCCACACCTGACCTCTGGGTGAATGGGGTGGGTGGTAGCAACTGGCTTGATCTTGGACAAGTCCTTTTGCCCCTGAGGGTTCAGCTTCCTGTATGTAAATTAAATAGTAGCCACTCTTATTATCTGGGGAGGAGAAATCAAGTATGAATTTCTTCTGAAGGAACTGAAAGGCGTTTTATTAACAGACTGTCCATCGATGTTGGATGACTTAGCGCTTGAGGTGCCCACCCCTGTATCCCTGCAAATTATAGTGACAGCCACCATGTACTGAACTGCTGTGTTTCAGGCACCATTATACAATCTCAATCCCCACAAAGGCCCTCTGAGGTCATATATTAACAGATGGAGAAATAGGCTCGGGGAGGGGAAGTCATACCTAAAGTCACACAAAGACACGCACATTTCCCCAGAACAACCTGCTTTCCATCAATGAAACCGTGTGGCTGTGTTGTCCTCTACCGTGTCGCTATGGCCCTTCCAGGGACCCCAAGCCCCTGGCTCTTCACCTTCCTGAGGACTGGGGTGGAGTGGGAAGCTGAAGGAAGGGAACTACACCCCCACCGCCTTCTGCCTGCCTCCTGAACAGTGACCCAGGCCTGGTTCACTCCGTGCACCTCGCCCAAGGTTGCTGGAGACAAACCTCTGCCCATCTGGATGCTTCGGTCTTCCCACCTACGGAATGGACTGGGGGTACTCGGCAACACCCCTTCTGCTGGGTGGTGGAGGGGATAAAGGGAGGCGGAGCCCGGAGAGCCAACCCGACCTGACACCCAGTTTCCCACCCTTTCCCCTTGCGGTGGGCGCCGGATGCAGGCCGGGCCGCAGGGCCCCCCTCCTTAAAGGGCCAGGCACACACGCGCCCGCCCTCGCGACTTGTGGCGGCGGTGAGGGTGGCTCGCTCCTCCCTCTCCAGCTCAAGGAAAAGTTAACTTTCCAGACTCGGTGTGTTGTTCGGCGTGTGTGTGTGTGCGTGCGTGTGGGTGGGTGTGTGTGTCGGTCCTACGCCCCTGCCCCGCATCTCCCACCACCGGCCCCCGGATCGGTCCGGAGAGGTGCCGCCCCCAACTCCAAGGTGCCGGGCCCGCCCTCCCCTTCCGCCCCCTCTTGTGCCCCGCCCCTTATGACGTCACCGAGGCCGGCGCCGATTGGCCAGCCGCGCCGTCGCTCGGGACACTTCCTCCTGGGCCGCGGCCGCGGAGCTAAACTTTGGCGAAGGGAAAAGAGCCACCGGCGCGGCGACCCTCCCGGCCCCACCTCCGCGGCGGCCGGTAACGCCCCCTTCTCCGCGGGCCCCCGGCCGGACTTTTTTCCAACTTCCGAGCTCCGAGAGATTCCCTCCTGAGCACCGGCCCTCGGGATCCCTCTGCCCATCCCCGGGCCCGGTGGATCCCGGGATCCACTCGATCCCCGACTCCGAGACTCCCGCCCTCCACCCCTAAGGCTTGGTAAGCCCCCCCCACCCCCCTCATTAGATCCCCTTCTTAGAGCCACTGGATTCTGGGGTCCCCCCTGCTCCCTTTCGATCCTTTTTCTTCCCGAGGGGCCTTTGGGTCCTGGGTCTGCTGATCTCTGCGACCCCGACCTTCTAGATTTCCTCCTTTGATTTCTTGGGAACTCTATCAATCGCTGGGCCCCCCAAAAACATTTCTTTTATCTTTTGTAGTCTGTGATCCCTTGATTCCCGGGCGGCTAGTCCACTAGGTTTTCTTTCCTCTGATTCCCCCAGGATCCCGCCATCATCAAGTCCCCGAAAACCTGCCCGATTTCTCTTCCCGGCCCCCGGGGTTCCGCGCCCCCGCTCCCCCCGCTCCCCCCGGCGAGTTCCCGGCGACCCGGCGTGCTCCCCGCGCTCCTCCCGCCGGACCCCAGGCGGGCGCCGGGCGGCCGCTCCCGGGCCTTCCATGGCCGCCGCCCCCGCCCACCCCGCGGGGCTCCCGGGCTCCCCGGGGCCGGGGTCCCCTTCGCCCGCCGCCGGCCTGGACCTGCCGTCGCCGCCGCCGCCGCTGCTGCCGCAGGCCTCGGTCCCGGCGCCGGGCCCCGGCGTCTCCTTCCACATCCAGATCGGGCTGACCCGCGAGTTCGTGCTGCTGCCCGCCGCCTCGGAGCTGGCCCACGTGAAGCAGCTGGCCTGCTCCATCGTGGACCAGAAGGTGAGGCGCCGGCTCCCCAGCCCGGCTCGGGGAGGGGTCCCGGGGGAGCGTGCGCCCACCGAGGCCGCCCGGAGCCTGGCACAGGGCAGGGGGAGGAAGGGGCTCTAATTCCTGGGAGAAGGAGGGGTGGGGCATTGGCCCTAGGTGCCCCTTCACCCCACTACCCGACCGAGGGAGGCCTGGGCAGGGGTGGGGTGCCACAGAGGCCCTCCCCACATTGCGAGTCCTTGCATGTTGTTTTCTGCAGCCGGCAGGGAGGAAGGGAGGGGCCCGCCAGGTGTGGAGGGAGGGAGGGAGAGAGGGAGGGAGGAGGAAGGGGCAGGTGGGGGCATCAGATGGGGGTGAGGGAACACCTCCCCGCCCAGGCCCATCCCTCACCTCCCATTTGGTGGAAAATAGAAATTGAAGCCAGGCTGGCCAAGGCGATCGGATGACACGTGTGGGTGTGGGTGCTTGCACCGGCTGCCAGGGGCAAGTGAGGTCTCCGAGCCTAATCCCTGCCCTCCCCCAGGCCCGAGGGGTGTGTGGAGGGACAGGCGCCTCTTCCCAGGGTTCAGAGGCTCTGGGGACTCCACCTCCCTCTCCCCCTCGCCCCCCAACACACACACACACACACACACACACACACACACACACACACACACGCCAATGCTGGCCTATTCAAACCGGCCTTCCCCAACCCCACCCACTCTTAGCTTTGGGCGCCAGGGTCACGGGTGGGGGGTTAGGGGGCTGGGGGTCATGGCCAAAGGGAATCAGGTGGAACTTCATGCTGCCTGAGCCCTAGAACATGAAAAGTCAGAATAGCGGGCTTCTCTGTTGTTCGAATTCTAGTGTAAGATGGTACTGCATTGTTGTTTTGATTTGCATCTCTCTTTTTTTTTTTTTTTAAATATATATTTTATTGATTTTATACAGAGAGGAAGGGAGAGAGATAGAGAGTTAGAAACATCGATGAGAGAGAGTCATCGATCAGCTGCCTCTTGCACACCCCCTACTGGGGATATACCCGCAACTAAGGTACATGCCCTTGGCTGGAATCGAACCCGGGTCCCTTCAGTCCCCAAGCCGACGCTCTATCCATTGAGCCACACCGGTCCCGGCTGATTTGCATCTCTCTGATGATTAGTGACGTCGAGCATGTTTTCGTATGTCCCTTGGCCTTCCTTCTGTCTTCTTTCGAAAAGTGCCTCTTTAGCTCAGTTGCCCATTTTTTTGATTGGGTTGTTTATCTTCTTCTGGTTGAGTTGTATGAGTTCCCTATTAATTTTTGAGATGAAGCCCTTATCATTGATATTGCTGGCAAGTAGGGTTCTCCCATGTAGTGGGGTGGCTGTGTCAGTTCTAGACTGCCGACACGTCAGCGCGTTACCGAATGCTAGACGGGAATTTGCCACTGAAGGGGACTGACTTCCCCGGATAGGAAGCATCCAGACGTTAGAACCCTAGCTCGCTGGAACATTAGCATCCTGGGTTGTTGGGATCCTTCGATGCTAAGATGTTCAGCTACTCCAGCCCTGGTTTGTCAGACTCTGAGGACAGTAAAATGCTAGCCCACTGGTCATCGAGGTTGTTGAGAATCCTGAAAGCGAGAAGGGAGGCCAGTGAGAACCCTCACACCTCCAGATGTCAGAATCCCCTGGCTCCTGGAAATGAGTTCTCTGGGCTTCAGAGAGACCTTTGTGCTGGGCCCCGTCCCCCATTTTACAGACAAGAGCTTAGAGAGACTTCCCGGGCTGGTCCCCGTGGACCCTCTCCCAGGGGGGCAAGAGCAGATAGGACTTCCTTTGCCCTCGCCCCCTCTACCCGCCGCGCCCCCTTCCCCCCAAAAAAACTAGCAGCCCCAGCTCCACGCCCAGCTGAGCCTGCTCTTTGGGAACCGGGCTGGGGGAGGACAGGCTGCTATGGGGTGGATGCTGTGAGCAGTGCTCAGGGCTTCATTCACCCCACTCCCCCAGGCCTCGCCCCAGTTTATTTTCTGCCTTCCCCGTCCAGGTGTGGGAGGGCCCCTCTCCTTCCTTCCAGCCGCCCCACCTGGCTCGTTTCACTTTCTGTTCCACCGGCTTTCATTTCCTGCCCCCCCCTTTCCCAAAACTGGGGACCAGGACACCTGGGGCCTTTGGCCTCTGGGTGGGGAGCGTCCTCCACCTTCAGCTCCCTGAAGCCCTGGCCATCCTCCCCCCACCCCCCCCACCCCCCCACCCCCAGGAGTCCTCCCGCCCCTCCTCTCAGCGCGCCCTGCCCAGCCGCTGGGCCTGGAGCCAGGTAACAGGACAATGGGTCCAGGAAGGAAGCTGGGGGGGAGGGGGAGGTTGAGGGGGAAGCGGCCTAAGGAAAGGGGTGCTCCCCACCCCGATCTCCAGGAAAGTCTAGGTGCCTTCCCACCCCGGGGCGCCCATCCCGCCGCCACCCTCTGGCCCGCGCGCTCCCCGCGCACCTGGGCCCGGCACCCGCCGGCCGGGCCGGGCCGGGCCGGGCCGGGCCGGGAGGGGAGGGAGCGGCAGGAAGCCAGGGCTGCGGGGTCCCCGCGTTTCCGGGGGAAACGGGCCGGCCCTGCCCCTGGGAGGGTCCCAGGCCGCTGCTTTCCTGACGCGCCCCCTGCCCGTCCCGCCTCCCAGTTCCCCGAGTGCGGCTTCTACGGCCTCTACGACAAGATCCTGCTGTTCAAACATGACCCCGCGTCCGCCAACCTCCTGCAGCTGGTGCGCTCGGCCGGCGACATCCAGGAAGGCGACCTGGTGGAGGTGGTGCTGTCCGGTGAGGGCCCCTGAGGGTGTGGAGGGGAGGTGGGCCCCGAACACTGGCTCTTTATTTTATTTTATTTTATTTATTTATTTTTGAGACAAATTAGAATGATTTCATTTAAAATACATTGCATCTCGCCGAAACCGGTTTGGCTCAATGGATAGAGCGTTGGCTTGGGGACTGAAAGGTCCCGGGTTCGATTCTGGTCAAGGGCATGTACCTTGGTTGCGGGTACATCCCCGGTAGGGAGTGTGCAAGAGGCAACTGATCGATGACTCTCTCTCATCAATGTTTCTAACTCTCTATCCCTCTTCCTTCCTCTCTGTACAAAATCAAATATATTTTTAAAAAAATAAAATAAAAATAAAGTACATTGCATCTCACACGCCAGGAATCTATTGAAAACTTGCTCTTTAAAAGTTCGGAGCCCGCCGAAACCGGTTTGCCTCAGTGGATAGAGCGTCGGTCTGCGGACTGAAGGGTCCCAGGTTCGATTCCGGTCAAGGGCATGTACCTTGGTTGCGGGCACATCCCCAGTGGGGGTTGTGCAGGAGGCAGCTGGTCGATGATTCACTCTCGTCGATGTTTCTAACTCTCTATCCTATCCCTCTTCCTTCCTCTCTGTAAAAAAATCAATAAAATATATTTATAAATTTATAAATAAATAAATAAATAAAAGTTCGGAGCCCGTGGTTCTCAGCTTCTGCTCCAGAATGGGTCCGTAATATTTTTTTAGAAAATTAATATAATTTTTTAAATGATATATTTTATTGATTTTTTTCACAGAGAGGAAAGGAGAGGGATAGTTAGAAACATCCATCAGCTGCCTCCTGCATGCCTCCTACCGGGGATGTGCCCGCCACCAAGGTACATGGCCTTGACCGGAATCGAACCCGAGACCCCTTCAGTCTGCAGGCTGTCGCTCTATCCACTGAGCCACACCGGTTTGGGAAGGGGTCCATGTATTGTTGTGCACTTGCACTGTGGAGTTCGCTGAACATAAACCATCCACAGCCACACGGATGCTTTCCCCATACCCAATGCGGAGAGAGAAGCCAGACACCGGCCCCCATTCTGTGTATTATAATTCCGTTAGCGGAGCGCAGAGGCTGCCACCATGCTCTGGTATTAAAAGCCAAGAGGCAGGGCGCCTCTAGGGAAGAGAGAGTTGGGGGTGGGGGGCACGAGGGAGCTTCCTGGGGACTGGGGAAGATTCCATCGACCCCCCCTCCCCGGGGTGGGGGGGCTGGTGACACTGTGTGTCCGGTTTGGCCGGAAGCTAGAGGTGGACGTGAAGTTCAAAGTGTCTTGATGCCCATGCCTTCTTCCCAGGGAAATGCTAAATGCAGCCAGATTCTGCAAGGCCGTGAGGTGCCCCTGGCACCTGCATTTTCAGCCAGAATCGAGTCCACCCCCTGGCATCCCCACGCCACTGATGGGCAAACTGTCTGAGACAGTTAGTGACCCTTGGTTCTTTCAGGAAGAGGGGTGGTGGCGATATCTGTCTTATTCATGGCTGCATTCCCCCCCCCCCCCCCCCCCCCCCGTCAACCCTCCTCCACACACACACTGCCCCTTGCGTACTGCAGTGCTCAGTGCAATTTGGATTTAATTCCCTTACAACCTTATTCAGGTTTAACTGCCCTCATAGAGACTAGCACCTCTTAGATTTTTAAAAAACATGTTTTTTTTTATTGATTTCAGAGAGGAAGGGAGAGGGAGAGATAGGAAACATCAATGATGAGAGAATCATCGATCCGTTGCCTCCTGCATGCCACCCACCGGGAGTGTGCCTGCAACCAAGGTACATGCTCTTGACGGGAATCGAACCTGGGACCTTCCAGTCCACAGGCCGACGCTCTATCTGCTGAGCCAAACCGGCCAGGGCCATGAATTCATCTCTTCACACTGCCCTTACTCTCTTTGTCCCAGCCAAGCTTGCCTGCCCCTGTCCCTGGAACAAACCCAAACGCCCTCCTACCACAGGGCCTTTGCACGTGCTGCTCTCAATGCCTGGAATGCTGCCCCATCTCACCTTCTCCTCGTTATTTGGAGCTCAGCTTAAATGCCATTTCCTCCCTTGTCTGAAATTTCCTCATTTACGTGTATGTTTACATTTCGTGTCTGTCTCCCCAAAAGAATGTCAGCTCCTTGAGAGCAGGGTGTAAATCTCTCTTGTTTATAATTTTATCTTGAATGTGTAAATAGTGCTTGACTCACAGAAGACAGTCCCCTTTCTGTTGCAATCACACAAAGAAAAATAGTTGGCTGGGACTTGGGGGGTGGAGAGGGCAAATGAGACTTAGTCCCAAAATGAAACCTCTGAGATAACAGCTAACTAACCTCCATGGAGCACTTCCTTTGTGCCAGGCGCTGTTTTAAGAGCTTTCCGTATATTCCTTTCATTCTTCAAGAACCTATAAGGAGATACCGTTATGATTCTAGAATGTTCTTTCCTAGACACCTGCGTAGCTCATATCCTACCTCCTTCAGGCCTTCACCTTCACGTTAGTCACCTTGCAGAGGCCTTGCCTGACCACCCATTTCAATTTGTACCTCTTGCACCTTCCCTCCCTCCCTTCCCTGCTTAATTTTTCTCCTAAGCACTTACTGACGTCTAACCAACTATATATTTTATTACTTAAGGTTTTCAGAGAGGCAGAGAGTCTGGTGCTAAAAGCATGAACTCTGGCCGGGACTGGTTTGGCTCAGTGGATAGAGCGTCGGCCTGGGGACTGAAAGGTCCCGGGTTCGATTCCGGTCAGGGGCATGTACCTTGGTTGTGGGCGCAACCCCAGTAGGGGGTGTGCAAGAGGCAGCTGATCGATGATTCTCTCTCATCGATGTTTCTAACTCTCTATCCCTCTCTCTTCCTCTCTGTGAAAAATCAATAAAATATATTTAAAAAAAAATAAAATAAAAAAAAAAATAAAAATAAAAGCATGAACTCTGGCCGAAACGGTTTGGCTCAGTGGTAGAGCGTCGGTCTGCGGACTGAGAGGTCCCGGGTTCAATTCCGGTCAGGGGCATATGCCTTGGTTGCGGGCGCATCCCCGGTGGGGGGTGTGCAGGAGTCGGCTGGTCGATGTTTCTCTCTCATCGACGTTTCTAGCTATCTCTCTCCCTTCTTCTCTGTAGAAAATCAATAAAATATATATTTTTAAAAATAATAAATAAATAAATAAATAAATAAATAAATAAAAGCATGAACTCTGGAGCCACACTGGCCTGGGTTTGACCGTGAATTCTGCCACTTGCTAGCTGTGTGACTTTAGACAAGTTGCCTAACCTTTCTGCGCTCCAGCCTCCTCAAACAGGGAATGGGGACCGTGACAGGATGTACCTGACAGCCCTGAGAAGCCTAAATTCATTAGAGGTGATTTTGTGGTTGTTTTTTTTTTAATTATTATTATTTATTTTGATTAATTTGAGAAAGAGGGAGACACAGAGAGAGAGAAAGAGATAGAGAGACAGAAACAAAGCTCTAAGCAACTAAGCCACACCCGCCAAGGCTAAAATCATTCTATTTATTTATTTATTTCAAATATATTTTATTGATTTTTTTTACAGAGGGAAAGGGAGAGAGAGTTAGAAACATCGATGAGAGAGAAACATCACTTAACTGCCTCCTGCACCCCCCCTACTGGGGATGTGCCCGCAACCAAGGTACATGCCCTTGACCGGAATCGAACCTGGGACCCTTAAGTCAGGGCTTCATTCGCTTTTGAAAGTACTTAGTGCAGTGCCTGGCATAGAGTCACCGCTGGGCTGGGTGGCTGTTTCCTTTATTTACGTTGCCTGCTGCCCTCACTAGAGGCTAGGCAGGGATTTTGTCTGAGGTGGTATCCCTACTGCTTTGGCATTTTAAAGATGAAAAAACTGAGGTACACAGGTGTTTGTTTTTAACTCTTGATGATCAGGCTCTACCCCAGACCAAACAGATCAGAAACTCTGAGGGTGGGGCCCAGGCATCTTTATCTTTTTATTTAAAATTTTTAATTGTGGTGAAATATGCATAAAGTAATATGCACCATCATAACCATTTAAAATTTTTTGTTGTTGTTGTTAATCCTCTCACTAGGACACTTTCCCACTGATTTTTAGAGAGTGGGAGGAAGGGGGAGAGACAGAGAGAGAGAGAAACATCGATGTGAGAGAGACACATGGATGGATTGCCTCCTGCATGTGGCCCCCGAGGGTGCCTTGGATCAGCTTGCAAACCGAGGTACGTGCCCTTGACCAGAATCAAACTGGGACCCTTCAGTCCGCAGGCCAACACTCTATCCACTGAGCCCAACTGGCCAGGGCCATATAAGCATTTTTCAGTCTACCTTTCAGTAGTGTTAATTACATTCACATTCTTGTGCAACCAATCCCCAGAACTGTTTTCATCTTGCAAAACTGGAATCCTATACCCATTCATCAACTCCCTCCCCCTGTTCCCAGTCCCTGACATAAGCACACAGCTGCCTTGCCCAGTGGTGGAGCTGGGATATGAATCCAGGTAGAATATAATACGTGAGTAAATGAACGAAGGAAGGAACAATTAAACCTTGCAGCTGGGCCCAGCCGGTGTGGATCAGTGGTTGAACCAGAAGGTCACGGAGATCCCAGGTCATGGCACAAACCCTGGTTGCAGGTTCCACCTCTAGTGGGGGGCATGCTGGAGGCAGACGATCAATTTCTCTCTCGTCATTGGTGTTTCTATCTCTCTCTCCCTCTTCCTTCTTCTCTGCAATCAATAAAAATATATTTTGAAAAGATCCTAAAAACAAAAAATCTTGCCCTGTAAGGGGAGGACTGTAAGAAGCCCGGGAATGCGGGGGCTGACATGGCTCCGCTGGCCCCGGCTCAACCATCGCCCTCCTGCCGCCCGCAGCCTCGGCCACCTTCGAGGACTTCCAGATCCGCCCGCACGCGCTCACGGTGCACTCCTACCGCGCGCCCGCCTTCTGCGACCACTGCGGGGAGATGCTCTTCGGGCTGGTGCGGCAGGGCCTCAAGTGTGACGGTGAGAGGCGGGGCTGGGGTGAGGCCAGGGGCGGGGCGCAGGCCAGGGGGCGGGGCCTGCTCAGAGTGCAGGTCTGGGGCGGAGCCTGAGGTGGGAGCGAGGGTCAGGGGCGGGGCCTGGGGTGGGGCGCAAGCCAGGGGGCGGGGCCTGCTCAGAGTGCAAGCCTGGGGGCGGGGCCTGAGTTGGGGAGCGCGGGTCAGGGGGCGGGTCCCGGGCGGAACGCAGGACTGGGGTGGGGGGCGGGGCGGGGCGGGGTCTGAGGTGGGGAGCGCGGGTCAGGGGGCGGGGCCTGAGGCGGGGCGGGGCCGGGGCGGAGTGCAGGCCCGGGCGGGGCCTGGGGTAGGGGGCGGGGCCTGAGGCGGGGGCGCGGGTCAGGGGGCGGGGTCTAGGGCGGAGCACAGGCCAGGGGCGGGGCCGGGGGCGGAGCGCAGGTCGGGGGCGGGGCCAGGGGCGGAGCGCAGGTCGGGGGCGCAGGTCGGAGGGAGAGGTCTGGGCTCCAGACGGAGCTGGGGGAGGAGCTGGGGATGGGGCCAAGCGGTGGGTCTTGAGCGGAGGGTGGGCCTCGGCTGGGCTGGGGAATAAAAAGAGGCGTTCACAGGGAAAAGGCGGAGCCTGTATCCTAGAGGGATCGACTGGAATGGAAAACGGCCGGTAGGGACTTTTGGAAGGAAGGAGTTTTAGCCAACTCCTAATCCGCAGGGCAGCCCGGGTCAGCAAGGGCAGCTGGAACGCAGGCAGAAGCTAACGCTGCCAGCCACAGGCAGAAGCCCTTCCTCTGGGAAGGCTCAACTCTGCTTTTTAAACCTTTCAGCCCAGATGAGCTACCAGGTTAGTGGTCGGCAAACTCATCGGTCCACAGAGCCAAATGCCAACAGTACAACGACTGAAACTTCTTTTGAGAGCCACATTTTTTAAACTCAAACTCCTTCTAACGCCACTTCTTCAAAATAGAATGGCCCAGGCCATTGTGTGGAAGAGCCACACTCAAGGGGACAAAGAGCTACATGTGGCTCTCGAGCTGCAGTTTGCCGACCGCAGCACTAGGGTAATCTTTCTCACTTAAAAGTCCGCTGATTGTGGACCTGAATCACATCTTTTTTTTTTTTTTTTTTAATATATTTTATTGATTTTTTTACAGAGAGGAAGGGAGAGGGATAGAGAGTTAGAAACATCAATGAGGGAGAATCATTGATCAGCTGCCTCCTGCACACCCCCTACTGGGGATGTGCCTGCAACCAACGTACATGCCCTTGACCGGAATCGAACCTGGGACCTTCCAGTCCGCAGGCCGACGCTCTATCCACTGAGCCAAACCGGCTTCGGCCTGAATCACATCTTATAAAATACGACACAGCAACACCTCGAAGAGTGTTTGAATAATGGGGGTGCTGACCGCCGGAGTCCGCCCCGTCCCCGTGGCACCTCAGTCTGCTAGGGCTGCCATAACAGAATACCTCTGCTGGTGGCTTAAGCAGCAGACTCGTGTTTCTCACGGCTCCAGAGCTGGAAAGTGTAAGATCCAGGTTCCCACGGGGCTTGTTTCCTGGGAGGACGCTTCTTAGCTTGCAGATGGCTACCATCTCACCGCGCGCTCGCTAAGCGTGTGAGGAGGGGGGAGTTCTGAAGTGTCTCCCTTTATATAAGGACCCATCTCATCGAATCAGGGCCCCACCCTAGGACCCCATTTCACCTTAAGGTCCCATCTCCAGATGCGGTTACGGTGCAGGTTAGGGCTTCACCGCAGATATTCCGTCTGCAGCCAGCACCCATACACATCTCCTTAAACCAGTGGCCGGCAAACTGCGGCTCGCGAGCCACACGCGGCTCTGTGGCCCCTTGAGTGTGTAGCAAGGGCCAGCTGAGGAGTACCCTAATTACGTTAACAACAAGGTGCCTACCTCTAGAGTTTAAGTTTAAAGAATGGGGCTCTCAAAAGAAATTTCAATCCTTGTACTATTGATATTTGGCTCTGTTGGGCTAATGAGTTTGCCGACCACTGCCTTAAACCATACATACTTAAAAAAAAAAAAAAAAAAGGAACACCATGTTCCTTTAGCCAAGATGTCTTAAGGTTACGCCCAAATGTCCCTTCCCTCTCGGATGCTTCTGAGTGAGAATGTGGAGATCTCGCCCTTTTGCATCTGAAGCCCACCTCGCCAGCCTTGGCTATGCTCCACACGGAAGGCGGGGACCGTCCACTCTGCGCTGACCACCTGCTGCTCCGTCAGCGTGCCGGCTTCGTGGTTGCCGTGCTCACATGGAAACCCGGAGTCTCTGATAACCTGTGCTCCAGGGGGCCAGCAGCATCGACCACAATTGTTATCATGCAGCCCTGAGTACGTGGCGGCGTTATGGAAGGGCTTGGACCAATAGCCGCAGCAGGCCTGCAGAAAATGGACTCCGTGCCTTCAAAGCTGCTGTCAAGATGGCCGTCATCCACACATCACATCTAACTCTTCCTGCCTTGGCATATGTAACCTTCCTCATGGCACAACCTGGCATCACCAGATTCTGTGGGAGAAGGGACGGGGGGAGCGGGCTGTTATTTTGTTTTGTCATCAGTTTATAATGGGCAATCCTGGCATGGACTTCCGTGACCCAGCTGCACAGATGGTGGCCCAAGTTCATATGGTTCCAAAAGAGGCCAAATGACTGTACTAAATGCCTCTGACACCTTCCCGCTGCATTTGGGAGTCTGGTTGTACCGTGGCATTCATACTGAGAGTCATGGGTGAGATTCTGAGATTCCATTCGGCGTTCGCAAGGCCCAACCCGGAAAGTGGTTCCTGTAGGCGAAGGCCCTTTGCCATCCTCAAGCTCTCCTCCACCGGCAGACAATGTTCCTCCAGTGCACATGCGCCTGTGCAGCGAGTCCCAGGCAGTTCCTGCCCAGATGGGGAGCCGCCTGCCTGGATGGGGAGTCTCCTGCCTGGATGGGGAGCTGCTGAGCTGGCAGGTCCGCCAGGCAGCCACCCAGAAGACAGGCTTCACGGAGCCCCTGCGAGGCACTGCCAGGGGCTGCAGGGACACCCTTCAGAACAGCCAGCCGTCCGGAATCACGTGGGATCACCGGAGACGGAGGGGAGCGAGGGCTCAGGAAGCCCGGTGGAAACCACACGCTGGGTCTGATGCTTTCATGAACGACGATTTAAAAACAATTTTTTTTGAGAGAGAAAGCAATAACAAAGTTCTACTTCCACCTGATCGGATACAACCGTCTGTGTACAGCTGAAAACATGCTAACGCTTTCTCCCCGGAAGACAGTGTGTGTGCTTGAGGCCCGTGGTGTGCACGCCACGATGCACAGCTAGTTACCACCCGCATCTTATGTTAGGTGACAAGGGGGTAGGAGAGGGAGAAACACAAGCATTTGATGCACACACACACACACACACACACATCCATCAGAGGAGGAGGAAATGGCTAGCGATTCTAGCCCCCGTTTCTGCAGGGGGTCCCTTCTGCCCCCCAATCCGCTCGCTCTCTGCCTCCGCCAGCACCTCCCCTGCTCAAGATGCTTTGCCTGGTGGAATGGCCCACACCTTCATTTCTGAAAGTTCTGGGGCTGTCCTGCCTGAATTTTTTATTTTTTTATTAGATTTCCATAGACTTTAATTACACACTAGGTGTCCTGAGGGATGTTCAGTGCTCCAGATATAAAGAAAAGGAGAAGGAGGGGTTGGGAGGGGAGTTGAGAGCCAGGGCAGTGCAGGCCGCGTCTCTGACCCTCTGGCGCCCCCCGCAGGCTGCGGACTGAACTACCACAAGCGCTGCGCCTTCAGCATCCCCAACAACTGCAGCGGGGCCCGCAAGCGGCGCCTGTCCTCCACGTCCCTGGCCAGCGGCCACTCGCTGCGCCTCAGCACCTCGGACTCTCTGCCCTGCACGGCGGATGAGCTGGTGAGGGGCACGGGGTGGGCAGGGGTGTCGTTGGGGGTGACAAGGCTCGGGCGTAGAGCCACGCACTGAGGTGTCGCTGCCGCCCTCACTGACCCCTAGAGCCGCAGCACCACGGAGCTCCTGCCTCGCCGCCCGCCCTCGTCCTCCTCCTCGTCCACCTCCTCCTACACCGGCCGCCCCATCGAGCTGGACAAGATGCTGCTCTCCAAGGTCAAGGTGCCGCATACCTTCCTCATCCACAGCTACACGCGGCCCACGGTCTGCCAGGCCTGCAAGAAGCTTCTCAAGGGGCTCTTCCGCCAGGGCCTGCAGTGCAAAGGTCAGGGGGTAGAGGGTTAGGGGCATGGGGGGCGCGGGCACAGACAGGGTGGCAATCCTCGCCCCACACGCTCTCAGAAGCTTAGGATCTCCGTTGGGCTTGTGGCATTCTGGAACCCTGGAATCTGAGAACCCTAGGACCTTAGAAAGCTAGACTCACAAGGCAGCATGGCACTCTGAAAACTGTAGAACGAAAGAATTCTAGAATCAGGACCGTAGACACATAGGATTCAAGAATTCTGGATCGTAGGATTCAGCTAAAAGAACCACGGGCTTTTAGATAGATCCTAGAACTGCCAAATCGTAGATTCTCAAAAATGTTAGAACTTTAGAACCATGGGATTTGAGAGTCATAGAGGCCGACAACCATCACATTTGAGTCGTAGAAGTAAAACCATGGAGTCTTAGGGTTCTAGAACTCCGTAATGTTGAATTCAAATTCTAGAACACCAGAGATCTAGACAGGTAAAAACGTAGAGCCACGCAATTTTAAAATTCACTGGAACAATCAAGTGCTAGAATCTCGGATGTTGAGAGCCAAAGAGCAGTAGTAACATTAAGTTCTAGAATCTTGGATGCACAGAAACCTTGGAACCACCCGCTTCTGGAGGCTTAGAACTCGGGTCACTGTCAAACCTTGGCCATCAAGGAGTCTCAGTAATCTAGAGCCAGAGATGTGTGTTGAGGTCTAAAAACTTGGACATTGAACTCGGGGGGTGGGGGGTGGGGATATCTTGAAAATCTGGAACACAGAACCTTAGAAAATAGGTGTTTTACCAAATTCTAGAACCTCCAGTATATAGTGCCCTAGAGCCTTATACTAATCACATTCTAGATCAGTGGTTCTCCACCTTCCTCATGCCACGACCCTTTAATATAGTCTCTCATGTTGTGGTGACCCCCAACCATACAATTATTATTATTTTAAATATATATTTTATTGATTTTTTACAGAGAGGAAGAGAGAGAGATAGTTAGAAACATCGATGAGAGAGAATCATCGATCTGCTGCCTCTTGCACACCCCCTACTGGGGATGTGCCCGTAACCAAGGTATATGCCCTTGACCAGAATCGAACCTGGGACCTTTCAGTCCGCTGGCCGACACTCTATCCACTGAGCCAAACGGGTTTCAGCCATGAAATTATTTTTGTTGCTACTTCGTGGCTGTAATTTTGCTACTGTTAATGAATCGGGATGTAAATATCTGTGTTTTCCGAGGTTCTTAGGCGACCCTGCTAGCGACCCACAGGTTGAGAACCGCTGCTCTAGAGCAATGGTGCTCCACCAAGGACACTGTTACACACACACACACACACACACACACACACACACACACACACCCCGGGATGTTGAGAGACATTTTGCTTATCATACAGGGATAGTGCAACCGTTTTCTAGTGGGGAGAAGCCAGGGGTGTGCTAAACATCCTATGGTGCACCGGACAGCTCCCCACCCCCACCCCCCAACAAGAAATGAGCCAGCCCCAAATGTTCATGGTGCCAAAGGCTGAGAAACCCTGCCTCGAGTGTTCCAAGTCTAGAATCCCGGAATGCTAGATCCTGCTACATTCCAGGGTAACGGGCAGCTCTGGCTTCTTTCGGGAATTTTTTCCTTTGCATTTGAACTATTTTTTTTTTTAGTTTCAATATCATATACGTTGTTTGAACATCGGATGCTCAGAACATCGGATGCTCAGAGCCACTTGGTCTGCTCTGAGCATCCGATGGTTTACTCCCATCTCTCCATCGTTGGAGAGACTCTCTCCAAAGGGGGACAGCCACGGATGGAAGGGGCAGCCAGTCTCCTGCCCAAGCAGCAAGAGTAGCCTCTCCGAGACTGGCGGTTAGGGGTCCGAGTCAGCCCTTCAGGTGGCCTCTCTTCCCTCTCCCTCCCCCCAGACTGCAAGTTCAACTGCCACAAGCGCTGTGCCACCCGCGTCCCCAACGACTGCCTGGGAGAGGTGCTCATCAACGGAGGTAAGGGGCTGCGGGCTGAGCCGCAGGAGCTGGGCCAGACCGGGGCGGGGGCGGGGGGGAGGAGGCCCCTCTGATGCCCTGTCCCCCTCAGATGTGCCGATGGAGGAGGCCACGGACTTCAGCGAGGCCGACAAGAGCATGGATGAGTCCGACGACTCCGGCATCATCCCAGGCTCCCACTCGGAAAACGCCCTTCACCCCAGCGAGGAGGAGGAAGCCGAGGGGGGCAAGGCCCAGAGGTACCCAGGGGACCCCCTGGGGATGCCCCTCCCCATCTCTACAATGGGGTACCCTCACCGCTACCCGAAAATTACCCAGGTTCCCGAGGCAGAGCTTCTTCAGTGCCCACACTTCACTTCCCAACTTCACGCTTTTTCCTCATTTACATTTTTATTTATTTATTTATTTATTTATTTTTTAAATATATTTTATTGATTTTGTACAGAGAGGAAGGGAGAGAGATAGAGAGTTAGAAACATCGATGAGAGAGAGTCATCGATCAGCTGCCTCTTGCACACCCCCTACTGGAGATGTGCCCGCAACCAAGGTACATGCCCTTGACCGGAATCGAACCCGGGACCCTTTGGTCCCCAAGCCAACGCTCTATCCATTGAGCCAAACCGGTCCCAACTCATTTACATTTTTAAAAAATATTATTTATTTATTATTTTTTATTTTTTTTAATTTTTCAAGTGATTTTTTAATTTTTTTTATTTTTTGAAAATATTATTTATTTTTTAGATATATATTTTTTTTACTTCGGAGAGGAAGGAAGAGGGAGAGAGAGAGACACAGAAACATCAATGATGAGAGAGAATCATCGATCGGCTGCCTCTCTCACGCCCGACACTGGGGATCCAGCCCGCAACCCGGGCCTGCGCCCTGACTGGGAATCAAACCGTGACCTCTTGGTTCATAGGTCAACACACTCAACCACTGAGCCACGCTGGCTGGGCCTGATGTACGTTTTTAACACGTTTTCTTAGAAGCATGTTGTACTTTACGTTGTATTTGTTTAGGAACTGGTAACACAGCCATTGAAATCCCCCCACTCCCTGCCTCCCGCACACCTGGCTGCGGGATCCCTGGACTCGGTGGGAATTAGCACCGCAAGGCCCACCGTGGGCCAAGCACGGGGCGCAGCCCCTTAGAGAGGTTTCCACGCCTCGGCACCCCTTTGGGGGGAGAAAGGGAGGCATGCAGAGCTGGGTTACTTACCAGGCAGTAAGTAACCCAGCCTTTCAATATGAGCCTCCTTCCTCATTATGGGGAATCTACAAAACAGGGGGGAACGTGTGCCCTCCCCCAAAACAACTCCCAAGCTGCCCAGAGATGCCCCTTGGGGAAGGTGACCAGACGTCCCGCTTCTGGCGGGACAGTCCCGATTTTTAACAATTTGTCCCGCGTCCCGCAGCGTTTTAAAAAAGTCCCGATATAGCCGAAACCGGTTTGGCTCAGTGATAGAGCGTCGGCTTGCGGACTGAAAGGTCCCGGGTTCGATTCCGGTCAAGGGCATGTACCTTGGTTGCGGGCACATCGCCAGTAGGAGGTGTGCAGGAGGCAGCTGGTCGATGTATCTCTCTCATCGATGTTTCTAGCTCTCTATCCCTCTTCCTTCCTCTCTGTGAAAAATCAATAAATTAAAAAAAAATTTTTTTAAAACGCTGTGGGACGCAGGACAAATTGTTAAAAATTGGGACTTCTGGTCACCTCACCCTTGTAGTAACCTCCCACCCCTTCTCCGCCCCCCTCAGCTCCCTGGGGTACATCCCCCTCATGAGGGTGGTGCAGTCAGTGCGACACACCACACGGAAATCCAGCAGCACCCTGCACGAAGGCTGGGTGGTTCATTACAGCAACAAGGACACCCTGGTGAGTGGGCGGGCCAGCGGCGGTCCGAGCAAGATCCTCAGGGGGCGGGGCTTTGGGTGGGCGGGGCCGTGCTGGAGCCCAGGGGCGGGAGTCAGGGGGCGGGGCTAAGGCTGAGTTCAGGGGCGGGGCAGGCATCAGGGGGCAGGGCTTAGGCTGGGTTCAGGGGCAGGGAGAGGCTTGGGGGCGGGGTGGGAGTCAGGGGGCGGGGCTAAGGCTGGGTTCAGGGGCGGGGCAGAAGTCAGGGGCGTGGCTTAGGCTGGGTTCAGGGGCGGGAGTCAGGGGGCGGGGCTAAGGCTTGGTTCAGGGACGGGGAGAGGCTTGGGGGCGGGGCGAGAGTCAGGGGCGTGGCTAAGGCTGGTTCGGGGGCGGGGAGTGGCTTGGGGGTGGGTGGGAGTCAGGGGGTGTGGCTAAGGCTGGGTTCGGGGCGGGGAGAGGCTTGGGGGCGGGGCGAGAGTCAGGGGCGTGGCTAAGGCTGGGCTCAGGGGCGGGGAGAGGCTTGGGGGTGGGGTGGGAGTCAGGGGGCGTGGCTAAGGCTGGGTTCGGGGCGGGGAGAGGCTTGGGGGCGGGGCGAGAGTCAGGGGCGTGGCTAAGGCTGGGCTCAGGGGCGGGGAGAGGCTTGGGGGCGGGGAGAGGCTTGGGGGCGGGGCCTGGCTGGTGGCAGGTAGGTACCCTCACCAGGGGAGACACCCTCACCTCCAACACCTCTCCCAACAGAGGAAGCGGCACTACTGGCGCCTGGACAGCAAGTGCATCACCCTCTTCCAGAACAACACAACCAACAGATACTACAAGGTGGGTCTTGGGCTCCCAGCCGCCTCAGGCTTCACTTCTTTGCCCACCACCTTCTTGATTCCTGGCCCAACCGCTCCAGCCCAACACCCACGGACCGTACCCTCTCCCCGCACACACTGCGGACGGCCCATCGGCAAGCGGCCCCATCGCCTTCCAGCCCAGCTCACCTGTGTGCGCTCACCCGTAAAAGGCCCCAAAGAGTAGCCGTCCCCTCGGGACCGTGGCCAGAATTCAGAGATGGGGTGCCCACAAGGAGCAGTTAGCTTGGGGCCAGGCATGGGCTAAGCTCCCAGTAATTATAAAATTTGTGATCGTTATTACTTTGTAATTCACTTATGGAATTATTTGTTTTTGTTTGTTTTTAAATATATTTTACTGATTTTTTTACAGAGAGGAAGGGAGAGGGATAGAGAGTTAGAAACATCAATGAGAGAGAAACATCGATCAGCTGCCTCCTGCACAACCCCTACTGGGGATGTGCCCGCAACCAAGGTACATGCCCTGGACCGGAATCGAACCTGGGACCCTTCAGTCCGCAGGCTGATGCTCTATCCACTGAGCCAAACGGGTTAGGGCAACTTATGGAATTATTTGTATTCATCACCACCTCCCCTGTCAGCACTGTGTTCCAGCCCCGCCTCCTCTCTCCCTCCCCTGGCCGATGTGGCCGTGTTCTCGCTGGCCCCTCTCTGCCTTCACCTCAGTCTTTCCTCACAGAGCAGCCTGAGGAGTCGGTTAAAACCTCAGAACCCTCTGATGGATCCTGTGTCTTTAGAGTAAAACCCAGAGGCCTGTTGCACCCGCCCCAGGCTGGTCCCCTCTCACTCTCCCCGCCTGCTCACACCGTGCCCCCTGACTGCCTTCGCCTCTAAACGCTCTCCTGCCATCACCTCTGCTCCTGGCTCTGTTGGCTGCGTGGGTCTGTCCTTCTTTCGCTGTCTTCCCCCTCCTTCCTTCCTTTCTCTTTCAGCACTTTCCACGGACCTGCCCTTTCCCTCCCACCCTGGCCAGCCGACCTCCTTCTCGGCCTCCTCTCATTCCGTTTCTCTCCCACCCACTCTTTTCACAACTTATTTGTTATTTTTTATTTATTGATTTTGGGGGGGGGGGGGGAGCCTTTTTTTAAAACAATTCTTACCCGAGGATATTTTTCCATTGATTTTTATTTCTATGTATTTGTTCATTTTTAAAATACTTTTATTGATTTCAGAGAGGAAGGGAGAGGGGGAGAGAGAGAGAGATAGAATCATCAGTGATGGGAAAGAATCATTGATCAGCTGCCTCCTGCACACCCCACACAGGGATGGAGCCTGCAATCCGGGCATGTGCCCTGACAGGGAATTGAACCATGACCTCCTGGCTCTTAGGTGGATGCTCAACCACTGAGCCATGCCAGCTGATTTTTAGAGAGAAGAGAAAAGAGGGTAAAAGGGAGGGAGGAGGGGAGAGAGAGAGAAAGAGAAGAGAGAGAGAGAGAGAGAGAGAGAGAGAGAGAGAGAGAGAAAACATCGATGTGAGAGAGACACATTCATTGGTTGCCTCCCAACCCAGGCTGGGGATTGAGCCTGCAGCCAAGGCACATGTCCTTGACTGGGAAGCGAATCCATGACCCTTCAGTCTGCAGGCTGGTGCTCTAACCACTGAGCAACCCAGCTAGGGCTCCCAACCCCTCTTGACACAGCCAAAGAGGTAGCTCTACACCCTTCCATGGCTCCCGGGGCCCTGGAGACAGAGTCTGGCTCCTCCCTGGCCCAGGAGGCCCTGTATGGCCTGGCCCTCACCTCATTTCCCTCATTTATTCATCAAACATGACATCCCCACTGCGTGCCAGGCACCGTCCGTGTGACCGGGATGTGGCCTTTCCCACCTCAGGCTGCCGGCCTCTTGGCTCCGCTCTGGTCTCTGCTTCGGTGTCAGTGCCACCAGGCGCCTGTCCTGGCCGCTCCCTTCCAGCCGCTCCACCGCTGACGCCGGCTTCTGTGCCGAGCGCGGGAGCTCCGGGCCTGCTGGGTGCTCACGGCGCTGGCTCTGTGTCCCGCCAGGAGATCCCGCTGTCCGAGATCCTGACCGTGGAGCCCGCCCAGAACTTCAGCCTGGTGCCCCCGGGCACCAACCCGCACTGCTTCGAGATCGTCACCGCCAACGCCACCTACTTCGTGGGCGAGACGCCGGGCGGGGCCCCCGGCGGGCCCAGCGGACAGGGGGCCGAGGCCGCCCGGGGCTGGGAGACGGCCATCCGCCAGGCCCTGATGCCCGTCATCCTCCAGGACGCGCCCAGCGCCCCGGGCCACGTGCCCCACAGTAAGTCCCCCGTCTGGGAGCAGAGGATGGTGGGGGGGGGGGGGGCAATGGCACAGTGACAGCCGTGGCTTCTGGACAAAATTCATGAAGGCCTGGCCTCAATGGGTGGCTCTGGGCATGTCTCTCTCTTTCTGAATTACATATATATTTTTGATTTTTCACAGAGAGGAAAGGAGAGGGATAGAGAGCTAGAAACATCGATGGGAGAGAAACATCGACCAGCTGCCTCCTGCACCCCCCCTACTGGGGATGTGCTCACAACCAAGGTACATGCCCTTGACCGCAATCGAACCTGGGACTTTTCAGTCCGCAGACTGACGCTCTATCCACGGAGCCAAACCGGTTCGGCTGAGTTTTTGTTTTGTTTGTTTTACATTGTACTAGGATAGACTGAACCGCCTCAGGAGCTTCTGAGGCTAATACGTTTCTATCACCACAATTACGTTAGCAAACCTGGTTCCCTTCACCTCTGCAGCATCATGCAGAGTGAGGGATCGCGTTTGCACTCTTTCTGAGTTTTGCCGGGTGAGTTTAGAGTTTTGGATTCATGCAGTTACTGCCTGCCCCTCTGCCTGCCGCTGCCGGATGGTGTGGGGCACACAGCTGTGGCCCGCCCGCTCGGGGAGATGGAGCTGTCCTTAGGGGTGATGCTGGGACATGGGTACCAGGGGGCTGCAGAGGGCCAGCGAAGGGGCCGGCCCAGACTGCGTATCCAGAAGGGCTTCCTGGAGGAGGCAGCACCTGGGCTGAGGCCTGGAAGCTGAGGAGGGGCGAGGTAGGGAAAGCGAATGGGAAATGGTGTCGGGCAGAGGCGAAGGATGAGCGGAGAGTGCCAGGTGGCCAGCCTTCTGGAGCTTGTAATCCAGTGTGGGTGGCAGACATGAGCCAGATCATCCGGCAGTGACAGCTGAGACACAGAGCACACGCCAGAGTCATCTGACAGGCCCCAGGAGTGAGACTGCGATGGAAAGAGGAGGAGGATTTTTTTTTTTTAATATATTTTATTGATTTTGTACAGAGAGGAAGGGAGAGAGATAGAGTTAGAAACATCGATGAGAGAGAGTCATCGATCAGCTGCCTCTTGCACACCCCCTACTGGGGATATGCTTGCAACCAAGGTACTACATGCCCTTGACCGGAATTGAACCCGGGACCTTTCAGTCCCCAAGCCGACGCTCTATCCATTGAGCCAAACTGGTTTCAGCGAGGAGGAGGATTTTTAAAAATGTGTTTAGCCCTGGCCGCTCTATCCATTGAGCCAAACTGGTTTCAGCGAGGAGGAGGATTTTTAAAAATGTGTTTAGCCCTGGCCGGTTTGGCTCAGTGGATAGAGCATTGGCCTGCAGACTGAAGGGTCCCGGGTTCGATTCTGGCCTAGGGCACGTGCCAGGGTTGTGAGCTCAATCCCCAGTAGGGGGCATGTAGGAGGCAGCCGATCAATGATTCTCATCATTGATGCTTCTATCTCCCTCTCCTTCTCTGAAATCAATAAAAATATTTTAAATATATATATTTCTGTCGTTCCCTCTCTCTAAAAATCAATGGGGGTGTGTGCAGGAGGCAGCTGATCAATGAGGATTTAAAGTTTTTATCAATTTTAGAAAGAATGGAAGAGGGAGGGAGAGGGAGAGAGAGAAAAACATTGGTCGGTTGCCTCCCGTGTGCACCCTGATCAGGGATCGAACCCGTAACCTGGTTGTGTGCCCGGATTAATAATCAAACCAGTGACCTTTTGGTTCATGGATGGTGCTTAACCAACTGAGCCACACCGGCCAGAGCATGAAGAGGATTTTAAATTAAGTCCATGACAGGGAAAGAGGACATTCCTGCAGAGGGAACAGCACAAGCGAAGGCAGGAGACAGGAGAGAACTTGCTGTGTCTGAGGCCCAGCAAGGAGCCCAGTGTGGCGGGGACACACACATAGTAGGGCTTCAAGTCAAAGAGGTAGATGAGGGGCCAGACCCTGCCTGGAAGGCCATGAAAGGAGCTTGGGCTTCCTCCTGGGGGCACTGGGGAGCCAGGGCAGGTTCCCAGCAGGGGACGGACAGGGTCAGGTGTGTGCGTCAGCAGATCCCTCTGGCCTCCCCAGGGAGGGTGAACCGGAGAGGGCGGGAGATGAGGAAAGGGGACATGCGTTGATGTCTCCGTGGAGACGGGAGAGACATTGAAAAATGGCAGAAGGGCCAGGACTTTGGAAGTGTCGGGTCTCGTTGGGCGTGTCACTTGTTGGCGGGGGATCGAGTTCAGGGGAAGATGCTGGAGTCAGTCTGGACTTTCCCCCAGCCTCAGTTTCCTCCTCTGTAAAACGGGGTCGGCAGGCCTTGCTGGGCGCTGAGGTCACCGGGTGGAATACTCAGCGACATCATTCCTGACAGCACCTCTCCCCCAGCCGCTCAGCACCTGGCATGTGCCCGCCTCTCTGGCCCTGAGAGGGGGCCCTCATAGAGTCCCATCCTCCGGATGAGGAGACTGAGGTTCGCAGCAGACAAGGCGGTCGCCTGACAATGCGCCTCGGACGCCTGGCTCCGGACTCAGGGTGTCTGGCTCCGGAGGAATGGAACCCTGAGCCTGGGGTCCCCTCACTCCGCCTCTCCCCTCCCCTCCCCCAGGACAAGCGTCTCTGAGCATCTCCGTGTCTAACAGTCAGATCCAAGAGAATGTGGTGAGACCCCTGCCCACACCCCCGGCCCCCCCCCCAAGGATGTCTCCCCTGTTTCACTCTCCCCCAGTTCTCCCCCCTCCCCCGTCTCCTCCTCCCCCGTCTCCATGGGCAGCCCTGACCCTCCCCGCCTCCTCGCAGGACATCGCCACCGTCTACCAGATCTTCCCGGACGAGGTGCTGGGCTCGGGGCAGTTCGGAGTGGTCTACGGCGGTAAGGACACCTCCCTGCTTCCGGGGGCGTGGGGGGAGGGTTCTGGGCTCCAGACCTTCCCTTCCTGTGGGCCACATGTCACCTCCTGCTCTGGTTGATTAGAAAGCTAGATTCTCGCCGAAACTGGTTTGGCTCAGTGGATAGAGCATCGGCCTGAGGACTGAAAGGTCCCGGGTTCGATTCCGGTCAAAGGCATGTATCTTGGTTACAGGCCCATCCCCGGTGGGGTGTGTGCAGGAGGCAGCTGATCAGTGTTTCTCTCTCTCATCGATATTTCTAGCTCTCTGTCCCTCTCCCTTCCTCTCTGTAAAAAATCAATAAAATATATTTTAAAAATCTGGGGACAGAGTGTCAGGGTCTCCTGGTCCAATCGGGGAAGGCCGTCCTGCTAGCGCCGAGATTGTACACCGATGGCTGTCTGCCTCTGGCTACCCTCTCCTGGGACCAACCTCCACACCGGGCGTGGGCCCGGCCGGGACCCCATAGACTGGCAACCTCCTGGTGCACCATCCTGCTACCAGCGGAGCCTCGCGGGCCAGGGCGACAGCCTGGGTGCTGATGGGTTGTCAATTGAGTTTTCTTTCTTTTTGATATATTTTTATTGATGTCAGAGAGGAAGGGAGAAGGAGAGAGAGAGAGAGAGAAACATCAATGATGAGAGAATCATGGATCGGCTGCCTCCTGCACGCCCCTACTGGGGATCGAGCCCACACCCAGGCATGTGCCCTTGGCCGGGAATCGAACCCAGGACCGTTCAGTCTGCAGAATGACGTTCTGTTCATGGAGCCAAACCCTCCGGGGCGTCAGCGAGTTTCCCATGTAGTCAAGTCCCCTTCTCGGAGCCGCCTTCACCTCCCTTCATTCACGTTTATTCCGGGGCCCCGGCCCTGCCATCTCTCCTGGGGGCCCCTCAGAGCCACCCCATGGCCTTCCGTCCCTTCGCCCCGTGCTGGGGGGTGTCTGTGGGTGGGCGGAGTCCCTCCAGCCAGGCCTGCCAGGCCCTGCCCCCCTCATCCCGCCTCCCTCCCCCGCCCAGGAAAGCACCGGAAGACGGGCCGGGACGTGGCGGTCAAGGTCATCGACAAGCTGCGCTTCCCCACCAAGCAGGAGAGCCAGCTCCGGAACGAAGTGGCCATCCTGCAGGTGACCCGGGGCCGGGGTCCACGCTTCCCCCCAGGAAGGCCCCCCCTCCTCACGCCCTCCTTTCAGGGCCCGCGGCCGCCTGGGGGACCAGACCCCGCCTGAGAGGCCTGAGCGGTGCCTGGGCTGCTCCTGGGGGCGCCGGGGAGCCAGGCAGGCTCCCAGCAGGGGGTGGACAGGGTCAGGGGTGTGTGTCCGTCCTTCCCGGGGAGGGGGAAGCGGAGAGGGCGGGCCTGGGGCAGGAGGGCTTCTCGGAGGAGGACGCGTGCCTGCTGAGAGTGAGGCTGGGCCGATGTCCGCGCGCAGGCCTGGCGGTGAGAGGGAGCGTGCCACCGTCCAGGCAGGCCACGGCGCCGGGGTCAGGGGTTTGGGGGGTGGGCGGTGAGGCCGGGAGGCAGCTGGGGTCACACTGCAGCTGCTCCTGAGGGACCCGGGGAGCCATGGAAGCGTCTTCAGCAAGGACGGGCAGAGGCAGGTCTGCACTTCAGAAGGTCCTTCAGCCGCCTTTGGAGAGGGCGGAAAGGGGTGGGACTGGAGCCCAAGGCGGAGGCTGGGTGGGGACCTGGGTGGGGGTGTTGGGGTCAGGCCAGGCCAGAGCAGGGGGAAGAGGGAGAAGGTGCAGATTTTTTTTTTTTTTAAATCAATCTTTATTGTTCATATTATTACAAAGGTTCCTCATTTCTTCCCCCCTCCACCAGGTTCCCACCCCACCCTCTGCCCCCTCCCCATCCCCCATTGTCCTCATCCATAGGTGCAGTTTATGTTCAGTCTCTTCTTCCCTCAATTTCCCCGATAGTAAATCCCTTTTCAGATAGTAAATCAGTTACTTAGCATTTTCTCATATCAATAATACCTCCACATGCCCAATGATACACTTCACACAAAAGACATTTCCCAATAGGTCCACCAGCCTCATCTAGGTCCCACCCAAGGCACTCACAGATCAACACCCCAGCCCTATACTAACTCAACACATCCAGATCTAAGCCTTCATCACTTGATTCAGCAGACCCTCAAGTTCCCACGAAAGTTTCCAGCCATGTCTGAGAGGCAGCCATGGGGCAGGGGCAGGCGAGGAGTGAGCTGTTCCGGGCCTGGCTGCTCAGGGCCTGGCCTCTGTTGCTCTGGTTCGTTCCACAACCAGCTGCTCCGGGTCTGGTCACTGCCGCTCCCGACCTAGTTGCTCTGGACTTGGCTGCTGCTGCTCCGGGCCTGGCCGCTCCCAGCCTGGCAGCCGCTGCTCCGGGCCTGGCCGCACCCGACCCGCCTGCTCCCCCGGGCCTGGCCGCTCCCAGCCTGGCAGCCGCTGCTCCGGGCCTGGCCGCACCCGACCCGCCTGCTCCCCCGGGCCTGGCCGCTCCCAGCCTGGCAGCCGCTGCTCCGGGCCTGGCCGCACCCGACCTGGCTGCTCCCCTGGGCCTGGCCACTCCCAGCCTGGCAGCCGCTGCTCCGGGCCTGGCCGCACCCGACCCGCCTAGGTGCAGATTTTTTTAATTTTTTATATTTTATTTAGTTTTTACAGAGAGAGAGGGAGAGAGAATTAGAAACATCGATGAGAGAGAAACATCCATCAGCTGCCTCCTACACACCTCCTACTGGGGATGTGCCCGCAACCAAGGTACATGCCCTTGACTGGAATCGAACCTTCAGTCCGCAGGCCGATGCTCTATCCACTGAGCCAAACCAGTTAGGACTGTATATCTGACTTTTAAATCTGCACCTTACACGGAAACCGGTTTGGCTCAGTGGATAGAGTATCGGCCTGCGGACTGAAGGTTCGATTCCAGTCAAGGGCATGTACCTTGGTTGCGGGCACATCCCCAGTAGGAGGTGTGCAAGAGGCAGCTGATGGATGTTTCTCTCTCATCGATGTTTCTAACTCTCTAGCCCTCTCCCTTCCTCTCTGTAAGAAATTAATAAGATATATATATATATTTTTAAAAGACAGACATACAGAGATTCTCCCCATTTCCCCCACACTCCGCCTGCCTCCCTCCCGCCACCCCGGCCTTCCCCGGAATCGGGTGATGTAAAGTCCGTCCTTCCGGACACCTGGGGGCGCAGAACGGCCGCTCGGACTGGGCCTGCAGGAAGCCCCTGCCCCAGGGCCGGCCCCAGGGCCGAGCTGCTGTCCAGGGACACCCTTCCTTCTGTCACCCCGTCCCCGTGCCTGTCCTCTGGGGGCCCAGGTCAGCCCTGACCCCCTCGCCCTCCCTCCCGCTGCAGAGCCTGCGGCACCCGGGGATCGTGAACCTGGAGTGCATGTTCGAGACGCCGGAGAAGGTGTTCGTGGTGATGGAGAAGCTGCACGGGGACATGCTCGAGATGATCCTGTCCAGCGAGAAGGGCCGGCTGCCCGAGCGCCTCACCAAGTTCCTCATCACCCAGGTGCGCCCGCCCGCCCCGCCCGCCCGCCCCCGTCCTGCCCGCTCCGCCACCACCCCCCTGCCCGCCCCCGCCCCCGCCCTGCCCGCCCCCGCCCTGCCCCCGCCACCCAGCCCGCTCCCGCCACCCCCCTGCCCGCCCCCGCCCCCGCCCTGCCCCCACCACCCCCCTGCCCGCCCCCGCCACCCCCCTGCCCGCCCCCGCCCCCGCCCTGCCCGCTCCCGCCCCTGGGCAGCCGCCCCGTCGGAGTGGCCCCCTGTGCCGGGAGGTCAGGCAGACTCTGGGCGGGAGTCACAAGAGTTGGGTAATAGAAAACTATAATAGGCTAATCGTAACAACAGGAAGAATAATGGAAATAATAATCCTATATCATAAAACCCTAATATGCAAATCGACTGAAGGGGGGGACCGACCAGTTGCTATGACGCACACTGACCACCAGGGAGCAGACGCTCAGTGCAGGAGCTGCCCCCTGGTGGCCAGTGCGCTCCCATGGGGAGCGCCACTCAGCCAGCAGCGGGCTCACGGCTGGCGAGCGCAGTGGTGGTGGCTGTAGGTAGTCTCCAGCCTCCATGACAGCACTAAGGACCCCTCGGGGGATGTCCGCCTGCCTGCCTAGGCCCCTGAGGGGTCCTGGACTGCGAGAGGGAGCAGGCCGGGAAGGAACACTCCCTCCAGTGCACAGATGTTGTGCACTGGGCCTCTAGTTGTAAAAAAATAGAGTAAAATCAGAACAGACCATCAAGCAATCAGAAACGTAATAGGAAATAAGTAGAAAATAATGGGCATCATAATAGTTATTACTGCAGTCATGCCCCACAGAGCGACCTGTCAGTCATCAGTGGACCACATGCACGACCCTGGTCCCCTCACATGGCAAGGGGGCTGCAAAGGCGCTGCTGCCGAGTGACATCGCAGCCTCATGAGGTCGTAGCGTGATGCGTTACCCTCGTGAGTGGACAGTCAGTCATATACAGGCACAGCAATGCAATCATGTATATGACAGAAGGCGATACGTGTTCCTGGTTCGTGCGCTTACTATACTGCACTTTTCTTTTCTTTGTTTTAAAAAATATATTTTATTGATTTATTTTTATTTTTTTTTTTTTACAGAGAGGAAGAGAGAGGGATAGAGAGTTAGAAACATCGATGAGAGAGAGTCATCGATCAGCTGCCTCTTGCACACCCCCTACTGGGGATGTGCCCGCAACCAAGGTACATGCCCTTGACCGGAACCGAACCTGGGACCTTTCAGTCCGCAGGCCGACGCTCTATCCACTGAGCCACACCGGTTTTGGCTATACCACACTTTTCATCCTCATTTTAGAGTGCTCTCTTTCCTCTTTTGACTTATTATACAAAAAAAGTGTGCTGTCAATCAGGCCGCCACGTTCCCCGGGCAACAGCCTCAGACCTCTCACGTTTACCGCGTCTTCTCGGCCTGTCGTTTTGTCTGGTGTGTGGTTTACTCTCGGGGGTTTTGTTCAGTCACGTGCTGGGGAGCTGTGTAGCCTGGGAGCCTGGGGGCAGCCTTGGCGTGCGGGGGGCTGTGCCACCTGGTTTGGGGAGGTCACTCTGCGATGGTCCCACAGCCTCGATACCGCCTCGCCACGCGTTCCTGAGAACACATCCCTGGCATCAAGCGGAGCGGGACTGTATTCTAGTGCAGTGCGCAGCTAGCGCAGAAATGCCTCTTTCTCCAAACTGTATTCCATGATGGATATCACCAAATCCCCAATTGTTGAGCTTGTCACTTGATTTTTTTTTTTTTTTAAATATGCTTTCATTGGTTTCAGAGAGAGAGAGAGAGAGAAACATCAACGATGAGAGAGAATCATTGATTGGCTGCCTCCTACACGCACCCCATTGGGGATCAAGCCTGCAAACCGGGCACGTGCACTTGACCAGAATTGAACCCAGGACCCTTCAGTCCAAAGGCCGACGCTCTATCCACCGAGCCATACCCGCCAGAGCCATGTCGCTGTTTGTACTTTCCCCCTATTAGGAGCGATATTCTGTGAACACCCATCCGCAGACATTGCGGGTTCTGGCGGGAGGATTTCAGTAGAAAACACTCAAAACAGTCAACTTCTGAGTCCAGGGGGATGCGCCTTCCATTTCCTTAATCGTGCTGTCCTGTTCTCCTCTAAGACCCCTTTCCATCTTCGCCGAGACCGGCAGAGCTTGCAGGAGTCTGTTTCCTCGCTCCTTCCTAAACCCAGCCAGTGGGTGGGGAAATAGTACCCCGTGTGGCTTCGTTTCGCAGTTTAAAAATCAGGAGTGAGCCTGGCCATGTTTTCATGTGTTTTTTTTTTGTTTGTTTGTTTTTGTTTTTAAATATATTTTATTGATTTTGTACAGAGAGGAAGGGAGAGAGATAGAGAGTTAGAAACATCGATGAGAGAGTCATCAATCAGCTGCCTCTTGCACACCCCCTACTGCGGATATGCCCGCAACCAAGGTACATGCCCTTGACCGGAATCGAACCCGGGTCCCTTCAGTCCCCAAGCCGACGATCTATCCATTGAGCCAAACCAGTCTTGGCTGTTTTCATGTTTATTGACAACCTGGGTATGTGCCCTGACCAGAACTTGTACCTTTTTTTTTTTTTTCCAATTGGATTATTCTTATTGAATTGTAAACACTCTTTGTATATGAGGGATGGATCCTTGTCATGGTGTTCGATTCCTTTTTTTTTTTTTTTAATATATTTTATTGATTTATTTACAGAGAGGAAGGGAGAGAGATAGAGAGTTAGAAACATCGATGAGAGAGAGTCATCGATCAGCTGCCTCTTGCACACCCCCTACTGCAGATATGCCAGCAACCAAGGTACATGCCCTTGACCGGAATCGAACCTGGGACCCATCAGTCCCCAAGCCGACGCTCCATCCATTGAGCCAAACCGGTTTCGGCAGTGTTCGATTCTTTTATCCCAGATTTGTTTTCCTCTTCATTTCTTCCATGACGTGTATGTGCCGTAGAGAGTGTGACTCGTGCGATGTTAAATGTTGCCTTTCGTGGCTTCACGGCCTTCCTAGAAAGGCCTTCCCAGCTGGCTGGTCGCTCACCTGATCATGGGACGCGCTGTCTGCTGGTTGCAAAGTCCCCAGTGCTCTGCTCCTTTACCCAGGCCCAGCGGCCTCGCTCTCCGAGCCGTGTGCCTTTGCCAGGCCGGCCTGCAGGTGGGGACAGAACCACTGAGGCAGGCTCCTGGGATTCAGGCGGCGAGGGGGACCGGCTGCCCCCTGCAGCTGAGGCAGTCTCTCTGTCTGGTCACCCATCTCTTCTCTCTGTGTGTGCTCTTCTCTTTCTCTCTCTCTCTCTCTGCAGATTTCTGTTTTTCTGCTTCTTGCCTGCCCCACCCCAAGTCCTGGGCTCAGCCTTCACTTCTTTAGGCCTCACAGCTGCCCTTCGAGGTAGGTATTACTAGGACCCATCTTACAGGTGAGGAAACTGAGGCAGAGGGAGGGGCCTGGGCCTGCCCAAGGCCGCAGGGTCAGGAAACGGTCCGGTGAGATGTGAGCCGGGATCTATCCAGCTCCCAACCTGCCCCCTCTCCTCCCACATTTGCTGGAGCGGGGGAGTCACCAAACGGGAGCCCAGGAGATGTGCAGTGCATGCTGGGACCTCGGTAATGAGGAGGCAGGACCTCCGAAATGGCTTTCAAACAGCTTTTCTGTCCTCAAAAGTCACCCAGCGGAACAAATATTTACATTCTAAGACAGAAATTATAGCTTCTTGCTTACATCTCTCTACTTCCTGTGTATTTTGTTTGTTTCACAGACTCAAGGAAAACCGTGGTTCCTACTGATAAATTCTTACAAAAGGGATCATGGTTTTTTGTGGTTTTTTACTTTTTATTATTTTTTTTAACAAAAGTTCAGTTTGCCAAATAGAATACTCTTTTTAAAAAATATATTATTATTTTTTTCATTTCTTATTAAGGTTTTATATGTGTACATGTTACCCTTGCCCCCCCCCCATAAAAATTATTATAATTTTATGTTTTTATTGATTTTAGCGAGGAAGGAAGAGGGATAGAGAGATAGAAACATCAATGATGGGAGAAAATCATTGATCGGCTGCCTCCTGCACACCCCCTTCTGGGATGGAGCCCACAACTCAGGCATGTGCCCTTGATTGGAATCGAACCTGGGACCTTTCAGTCCGCAGGCCAACACGCTATCCACTGAGCCAAACCGGTGGGCTGTCCTAAGCACTTTATATGCATCTACTTGTTTAAGCCTCACAGCAACCCATGAGGATGGTACTGTCATCGCTCCCATTTTACAGATGGGAAAAGTGAGACCCAGAGAAGTAAAGTGACTTGATCAAAGTCACAAGCTGATAGGTATAGAGCCAGGGGGAAAGGAAGAGGAGCAGGAAGAGAAGCCATTTGATATATAACGCATGTCGCATTGGCATTGTTTTGCATTAGTTTTATACCGGATGAAAAAAATAATCACTTTAATTGAGTCACACATTGCTGTACTGATAGCTCCTTTTTAGCAAGTGCTGGAGGCCCTCAGGACCTCCCCAAACCTCGCACGCTCAGCCTTTCCAGAGCCCTGCGTTCGACTCCTATCTCGGCCAAATGGTCCTGGCTGAGCTTTTCCTCTGGTGTCCAATGCCCCGTTGGCCGCGGCGGCAGCCTGGGGCGCAGAGCGGGCACGGGGTGTGGAGGCAGCTGCTGGAGCCAGCGCTGGGGCGGACCTGTCCTCTGACCGCTCCATCTCCGCAGATCCTGGTGGCGCTGAGGCACCTGCACTTCAAGAACATCGTCCACTGCGACCTGAAACCAGAGAACGTGCTGCTGGCCTCAGCCGACCCGTTCCCCCAGGTCAGCGACTCCCTGGACCTGGGGGTCCGGGGCAGCGGCGGCGGGGAGGCTGCCTGGGCCCCACTGCGCGCTGTGAGGCCCGCTGGGAGCCGGCCGTCTGCTGAGCTGAGCTTTAGGTGGATTGACTCCCGGAGGCCTCCTGACAGCCCTGGAGGATGGCGCTAGTCTCCCCTTCTGCTGCTCCTCCTCCTCCTCCTTTCTTCCTCCTGCTCCTCCTCCTCCTCCTCCTGCTCCTCCTCTTCCTCTCCTCCTCCTCCTCCTCTTCCTCCTCCTCTTCCTCCTCCTCCTGCTCCCCCTCCTCCTCCTGCTCCCCCTCCTCCTCCTGCTCCTCCTCCTCTTCCTCCTCCTGCTCCTCCTCCTCCTCTCTTCCTCCTCTCCTCCTCCTCCTCCTGCTCCTCCTGCTCCTCCTCCTCTTCCTCCTCCTGCTCCTCCTCCTCCTCTCTTCCTCCTCTCCTCCTCCTCCTGCTCCTCCTCCTCTTCCTCCTCCTGCTCCTCCTCCTCCTCTCTTCCTCCTCTCCTCCTCCTCCTGCTCCTCCTGCTCCTCCTCCTCTTCCTCCTCCTGCTCCTCCTCCTCCTCTCTTCCTCCTCTCCTCCTCCTCCTGCTCCTCCTCCTCCTCCCCCTCCTCCTCCTCGGACAGATGAGGAACCTGAGGCAGCAGCGGGAGTCACTGGCTAGCGAGGGAGGAGCCTGTCCGGGCTAATGTGTGGTGTCCCCGGAGACCGGGCAGGGCGGTGGGTGCCGCCCGGCGCCCTCAGGCCCCCCCTCCCCTCCCCTCCCTCACTCCCCCCTCCCCCCTCCCTCCCTCCCCCCCTCACTCCCCCCCCCCCCCCCCCCCGCAGGTGAAGCTGTGCGACTTCGGCTTCGCGCGCATCATCGGGGAGAAGTCCTTCCGCCGCTCGGTGGTGGGCACGCCCGCCTACCTGGCGCCCGAGGTGCTGCTCAACCAGGGCTACAACCGCTCGCTGGACATGTGGTCCGTGGGCGTCATCATGTACGTCAGCCTCAGCGGCACCTTCCCCTTCAACGAGGACGAGGACATCAACGACCAGATCCAGAACGCGGCCTTCATGTACCCGGCCTGCCCCTGGAGCCGCATCTCCGCCGGCGGTGCGTGCGGCGCGGGGCCCCGACCCCCCACTCCACCCCCCACCCCACCCCCCACCCTCACCCCCACCCCCACCCCCCACCCAAACCCCCACCCCCACCCCCACCTCCACCCCCACCCCTCCCCACCCCACCCAAAACCCCCACCCTCACCCCTCCCCACCCCACCCAAACCCCCACCCCACCCCCACCCCGCACCCTCACCCCTCCACCCCGGCCTGCCCCTGGAGCCGCATCTCCGCCGGCGGTGCGTGCGGCGGGGGGCCCAACTCACCCCCACTCCACCCCTCCACCCCCCACCCCCACCCCCCACCAGCATCCCCACCCCCACCCGCACCCCCACCCCCGCTCCACCCCCACCCCCCACCCCGCCTGCCCCTGGAGCCGCATCTCCGCCGGCGGTGTGTGCGGCGAGGGGGCCCCCAACCCCCAACCCTCCCTCCAACCCTCAACCCTTCGCCCCCCAACACCCCGCAGAGGGCTGGGCGGGAGAGTGGGCAGGGGCACAGGGGTGGCTCTGAAACTGCCTGGAGCCCCTGGGGTGGGGCCTGGCCATGGGGTGGAGCTTAGCCATGGGGTGGGGCCTGGCCAGGGGGCGGGGGCTGGCCATGAGGTGGGGTCATGGGGATGGAGCCGGGTCATGGGGTGAAGCCTTGGGAGTGGAGCCTGGTCATGGGGTGGGGCCTGGCCATGGGGTGGAGCTTAGCCATGGGGTGGGGCCTGGCCATGGGGTGGGGCCATGGGGGGTGGAGCCTGGCCATGGGTGGGCCCTGGGGTGGAATCTTGAAACTGTAAGGCGCCCTGGACCTAGAGCTGGGGGTTAGGGACTCGGCCCGGACTCAGGCCCGGACTAGGTTCTGTGGGTTGGAAATGGCGCCAGAGGCGCTAAGACAGACCCTGGGTGCCTTGGGGCTAAGCTGGCGTGGCCGGTCTGGGACCAGGAGGGCTGGACTGAGGAAGCGAAGGGCTGGGTGCCAGGAGAGGAGGCGGATCCTCCTGTGGTCTGGGGCCTGTGGTCTTTGGGGTTGTGACCCTGAAAGTGGGGGGAGTCTGCGGGGAGGGGCGCCAGGGGACAGGCTGGAGGAGCAGGGCTTGGCTAAGTTGCTGTGTGCGGAGTGGACTAGGAATTGGGGGGCGGGGGGGGGGGGCTAGTGAGGGAGGGAGCTGGTTTAGGGATGTGGCCGGAGGAGGGGCAGGGCCATGGAGGGGTTTTGAAGCTAAGTCCTTGCGCCCCCAACCTTGGGGCGGAGCCAGGTGGGGGGCTAGGGCAGTGGTCGGCAAACCGAGGCTCAAAGCCACATGCGGCTCTTTGGCCCATTGAGCGCGGCTCTTCCACAAAATACCACGTGTGGGCGCGCACGGACAGTGCGATTGAAACTTCGTGGCCCATGCGCAGAAGTCGGAGTTTGTCCTGTTGATATTTGGCTCTGTGGACTGATGGTTTTGCCCACCGTGGGGCTGGGGCAAGGGCGAGCTAAGAGAAGAAGCCCTAAATAAGTTAGAACAAGGAGCTCAGGACAGAGGGAGTTTGGGAGGAAGGTTAAGAAGACAATGATTGCCGAAACCGGTGTGGCTCAGCGGTAGAGCGTCGGTCTGCGGACTGAAGGGTCCCAGGTTCGATTCCGGTCAGGGGCATGTACGTTGGTTGCAGGCACATCCCCGGTAGGGGGTGTGCAGGGGGCAGCTGGTCGGTGTTTCTCTCTCATTGACGTTTCTAGCTCTCTGTCTCTCTCCCTTTCTCTCTGTAAAAAATCAATAAAAAATATATTTAAAAAAAAAAAAAAAAGTAAAAAAAAAAATTAAAATTAAAAAAAGAAGAAGACAATGATTTACTCTCAACAATGTATTCAACAAGGACCTGTTGAGTGCCCTACTAGGTGCCTGATTCGGACTGTCCTGAATTCTGGGAATCCGGCGATGACTCAGAGAGGAAGGGTCGTGTGGAGAGAAGGCTGAGCGGTCTGTGAACAGGGGCTGGGGGTGGAGTCTCAGAGGGCGGTGAGAGTGGGAATTCCCGGAGGCCCGGAGCCACCCGGGGATCCTCGGCAGGAGGGCGCCCGGTAGGCCGTGTGCGGGAGAGAGCGTGGTGGGCGGATGTGCGTGAGGGAGCCGGTGGGCGTTGACCAGAGCACAGGCCATGCAGACAAGGCCTGCACTCAGAGCGGCTCGCACAGTGAGGGCCTTGTCCTCAGGCTCCTGATGGAGGAGGGAGCCCTGGACAAGCGTGGGCTTGTCCTCAGTGCCTGGAGCCCGCGAACCCCCCTTTTCACGGGGAGCAGGCCTTGGTCTCTGGGCCCCGCAGGAAACCAGTGGCAACGGCCATCCGCTGACATTGTTTATTTTCTTTCGCTGACCATGGGCGTGCAAGTGAGCTTTTGGATTTCCGCGGTCCAGACTGATGTGACATTGCCATTTTGCATAAATTTATTTAAAAAATCCCGCCTTGTAAAGTGAAGGGATTTACAACACCGTGTCGGTTTTTACTTAGGTTTAATAGTCACGTGGTTCGAAATGTTAAATGCACAAAAGGATCTGCAGTGCAAAATCTCTCTCCTTTGTCTGCCGTTCTTCCCAAAGGCAGAGGCTATTGCAAGTCTCTCTCTCTCTCTCTTTCCCTCTCTCTCTTTTAAATATATTTTATTGATTTTTTTTTTACAGAGAGGAAGAGAGAGGGAGAATCAGAAACACCGATGAGAGAGAATCATTGATCAGCTGCCTCCAGCACACCCCCCACTGGGAATGTGCCCGCAACCAAGGTAATGCCCTTGACCGGAATCGAACCTGGGACCTTTCAGTCCGCAGGCCGACGCTCTATCCACTGAGCCAAACCGGTTTTGGCTGCAAGTCTCTTTTATAGTACATGTGCTATTGTGTGGACATATATTCTCTTATTTACCCTTTTTACACAGATGATAGCATGTTATATGTGCTGGTTTAAAAAAATATATATATATAGATAGATAGATAGATAGATATAGATATCAGAGAATGAGAGAAACATTAATGATGAAAGAGAATCATTGATGGGCTGCCTCCTGCCATACTGGGGACTGAGCCCAAAACTTGTTGCATGTGCCCTGACCGGAATCGAACCCGGGACCCTTCAGTCCACAGGCCGGTGCTCTAGCCACTGAGCCATGCCGGCCTGGCAATACGTGCTGTTTTTCCACCTGGCCTTGCCCACTTCACATTATATCTTGGACAAATGAGTCGGCGTAAAGAAAAATAGTACGTGAAGCATAGAACAGATGTAACTGTCTCTGTGTATGACAGAACGTATGAACGTGACATAGGAAGCGGGAAACTGAGGTAGAGACTTGGAGCGTGTGCGCCACATGTGTATGGGGGAAACAAGTGTGTGATTTAATGAGGAAATGGGTGGGTGAGTGGTTGGTGCGGGCGAGGCCCTGAGCCACCTGGGCCGGGGCAAAAGGAAGGTCTGGACGGGCAGCAGGCAGGCCGGTGGCCTGTGGCGCTCCCCCCGCAGGTGTGAGCTCTCTCTCTCCCGCAGCCATCGACCTCATCAACAACCTGCTGCAGGTGAAGATGCGCAAGCGCTACAGCGTGGACAAGTCTCTCAGCCACCCGTGGTTACAGGTGACGCAGGGGGCGGGACCGGAGCTGGGCTTCTCATTGGCCGGGCAAGTAGCGAAGGGTGTGGCCCATTACAAGGTGGCCGGCCCTCCCATTGGCTGGCTATGGGTAGAGCTAGATCCCTATTGGCTGCGCAGGGTGTGGGGGCGTGGCCTCACCTTCCCGGGTACCTGGCCGCTCCGGGTGCAGCCCCAGCTAACCCCGTTTTCCCGGGCCCAGGAGTACCAGACGTGGCTGGACCTCCGGGAGCTGGAGGGGAAGATGGGCGAGCGGTACATCACTCACGAGAGCGACGACGCACGCTGGGAGCAGTTCGTGGCGGAGCACCCGCTGCCCGGGCCGGGGCTGCCCGCCGACATGGAGCTCGGCGGGGCCCTCCCGCCGCAGGACCACGAGATGCAGGGGCTGGCCCAGCGCATCAGCGTCCTCTGAGGCCCCGCGCCCCGCCCCGCCGCCTCCGGACGCTGACCTCCCGCCCTCCCCTCGGGAAGCGGCCCTGCTCCCCTTTCCAGCGACGGACTGCTCCAGGAGAAGCGACTTCTGCCCCCGCTGGAAGGGACACGCCCCGGGGAGGAGCGTGGCGGGGATGCGGGGAGTTGTTTCCAAAGTTCATTCCCCAACAATTAAAACGGACTCATCTCTGGCCCCGGGGCCACGGCCTCTGGCCACACATCTGGATCGTCAGTCTGTTCACCTGGAAGGAGGGCTGCCTGCAAAGGAGGGGACAGAGTGGGGACGCTTGGAAGGAGGCTAAGGGCTGGATAATATAGAGGAAGGATTGCCAGGAGGGGAGACTGGGAGGGGGAAGGTGTGGAGGTGGCATAAGGAGAAGAGGGGAGAGAATAGATGAAGAGTTAGAAATCCCTAGGACGGAAGGATGGCCGTCAGCTCTGGTTGAGTATGGCTCAGTTTTGAGCGTAGACCTGTGAACCAAGTGGTCACTGTTTGGTTCCCAAGTCCATCGCCTCTCTGGGGCGTGCAGGAGGCAGTGGATCACTAATTCTCTCTCCTTCTTCCTCCTCTCTGAAATCAATAAAAAATATATTTAAAAAACGAGTTAGAAATGGAGGAGAGATGAAAGGAATATGACGGGAGGGGGAGAATGGAGAGAGAAGGGATGTATTTAGAAAAAAACAAGTAATCCCATGGCTTATTTGATGCATTTTCTAGTTGGTGTTGTCCTTAACCAACCACAACTGTTAATAACGACAAGGCAGTTAGCAGAGGTCTGGCCCCTAGTGTAAACCTGGCACACACTATTTTCTGTTTTAAACTGATGTGATGACTTCTACGCCCCGAATGTGCTCATTCTCTGGTTCATCCGTTTGTCACACTGTGCAGGGTGATGGCTGCTGTGGACATGGGCATGGTGGTGACAGAGACACCCCAGGCCCTGCCCTTGGGGGATCACCAGCCAGTGGGGGGAGAGTCCTGTGGGGAGCCCAGGTGGGTAGGGCAGCCTACGGGAGCCGGCGGTGAGGGAGGGCCAGTTTTCTGAGCTGGTGTGTGTGCCCGGGGGTTGTAAGCAGGAACAGCGGTCCACCAGGGTCACGCTCATACTCACACAGCTTCGTTAGACACTTGTCCTGCGCCCTGAGGGACCGGCAGAGTTTAGCGGCTGATTGAGGCCAGTCAGCGCATGGAGCTTGTTCTTCATCTTCCCATTTTCTATCAACTAGTCCCATGGTCGGCAAACTCATTAGTCACAGAGCCAAATATCAACAGTACAACAATTGAAATGTCTTTGGAGAGCCACATTTTTAAATATATTTTTTTATTGATTTTTTACAGAGAGGAAGGGAGAGAGATAGAGAGCTAGAAACGTCGATGAGAGAGAAACATCGACCAGCTGCCTCTTGCACACCCCCTACCGGGGATGTGCCCGCAACCAATGTACATGCCCTTGACCGGAATCGAACCTGGGACCTTTCAGTCCGCAGACCGACGCTCTACCACTGAGCCAAACCGGCTTCGGCGGAGAGCCACATTTTTAAAACTTAAACTTCTTCTAATGCCAATTCTGCAAAACAGACTCACTCAGGCCGTGGTATTTTGTGGAAGAGCCACACTCAAGGGGCCAAAGAGCCTCATGTGGCTCGCGAGCCGCAGTTTGCCGACCGCGGGTCTAGTCCATTTGCGGTCCAGTGTTCCGGAGCTCCAGCCCCGCCCCTGCATCTTTATTTTTTTTAATTCTATTGATTTTTCACAGCGAGGAAGAGAGGGATAGAGAGTTAGAAACACCGATGAGAGAGAATCATCGATCAGCTGTCTCCTGCACAACCCCTACTGGGGATGTGCCCGCAACCAAGGTACATGCCCTTGACCAGAATCGAACCCGGGACCTTTCAGTCGGCAGGCTCTACCCACTGAGCCAAACCGGTTTCGGCCGGAGCTGCAGCACTTTGATCTGAGGGAGCTAAGTGAGCCTTAGTTCGTGAGGATCTCCAGATGAACCAGAACACCCCTGAGACAAACCCAAGCTCACACTAGTGGGGAGTGTCCCTCAGACTCCATCCTGAGGGCCTCTCCCTCTGCAACTGGCCTGCGACCCAGGAGTGGACCCAGTGGAGGGACAAAGCCATCTCCAAGGACAGACCCAGGCGAGGAAATGTATGGGAGGACTACTCAGGCCTGATCCTTAACAAGTCTGTCTTAGCAACTAGGTTTAATATTCTGAGGCCAGAATTAGAGACATGATCAAAACAAACAAACAAAAAAAAAAAAAACAACAAAACACATTATGTTGCCCTAGCTGGTTTGGCTCAGTGGATAGACCGTCAGCCTGTGGACTGAAGGGTCCCGGGTTCAATTCCGGTCAAGGGCACATGTCTGGGTTGCAGGCTCCACCCCAGTAGGGGGCTTGCAGGAGGCGGCCGTCAATGATTCCCTTTCATCATTGACTTTTTTCTCCCTCTCTGAAATAAATATTAAAAACAAACACTGTGCTGAAACCGGTGTGGCTCAATGGATAGAGCGTCGGTCTGCGGACTGAAGGATCCCGGGTTCGATTCCAGTCAAGGGCATGTACCTTGGTTGCGGGCACATCCCCAGTGGGGGGTGTGCTGGAGGCAGCTGATCAATGTTTCTCTCTTATTAATGTTTCTAACTCTATCCCTCTCCCTTCCTCTCTGTAAAAAATCAATTTTATATATATATATATATATATATATATATATATATATATATATATATATATATTTATTTAAAAAGCAACAAGAAAAACAAACACTGTCTGGGCACAGGATTGTCTCGCACTAGAGTGTGAACCCCCACGGGCAGGGCCTGGGGTCTCGCGGTCACCACCGTTCCCGAACAAAAACCATAATGTTAGCTGGGAAAATGCCTCCTTGACTGAATTTCGTGAGATAGCCCAACATTACGAGGATGCCAAGGCAGGTAAATCAAATGCGCTGTAAGGTCCTACAACTTAAACAATTAGACACAAAAATGTCAATTTTATCAAGGCCATCAGATATCACAAAACCTAATCATGATAGAGGCACGTGTGGATACTGTAAAGGAACACCGGGCTTGAGACTGTCCTCTGTACAACACACAAAGGAACTGGGGCCTGAGATTCAGTCTCCCAGTGACTGCCTTCCAGCAGACCTCCTTTTGTCCATAAACACCCCTCAGCAGAGGTCATGACCCTGCCATGGATGACCTGGCTTCCACCAGATGAGTAGATACAGGAGGCCCCCCACCCGGTATCTCACAGCCACCACACACACACACACACACACACACACACACACACACCAATGGCTGTGAGAAGATTCCACAATTTGCCACATGGTTTACCCTTGTCTAAGCCATTCTCTGTCTTGGTAGGTCCCTTACTACCCAACTCATTTTTCTTCCTTCCTTCCTTCCTTCCTTCCTTCCTTCCTTCCTTCCTTCCTTCCTTTCTTCCTTCCTTCCTTCCTTTCTTTTTCTTTCTTTCTCTTTCTTTCTTTCTTTCTTTTTCTTTCTTTCTTTCTAAATTATGATTGCTTTTTAGAGAGAGGAAGAGAGAGAAACATCGATGTGAGAATATCTATCGGCTGCCCCTTGCATGCCCCCTATCAGTGATGGAACCCAAAACTTTGGCATGTGCCCTTGACCGGGAATCAAACTGGCCACCTCCTGGTGCCTGGGACAAAGCCCAGCCAACTGAACCGCCCAGGCCAGGCCACTGGCTGGTTCCCGTATGTGGCCTGACCAGGGGTCCAGCCTGCAGCCTTGGCGTAGCAGGATGACCATCTAACCAACGGGGTTATCCAGCCAGGGCTCCCAACCAGACTTTCACTCCAGTTACTTCAGTAAATCTTTCCAGAAGTGATATTCTATAAATCTGAAGTGTTAACATTGTACATTTATGACAGAGCGTCTCTCTCCCAGTCCCTGACTGAGCTGTCCACCCTGGTCCTCCGCCATTCCTCACCTCACAAGCTGCACTCTGCTGCCCTGCATTCCTGGTTCTCTCTGCACCTCCAGCTCAACCGATGCAGGTGTGTCTCGGAGGCGGAACCTTTGAGAGTGGAAGATCTTTCCATGCCACTCCGGAAGCTTCCTGAGCATGCTCTGACACCGAGGCTCTGCAGTCCTCCCGCCCCAATTCATGGCCTCCTCAGACTGCCTCCAGCCCCTGCAGCACTCCCATCTCCTCCATCAAAGACCCCAATGTTACCATTGGGATATGGTTAGTCCAACCATGAGCAAGTAGTCAAAACCAGTTCCCATGTGTTCCCAACCCAACACCAGCCTGGACTCTAGCCATACCTCGGACACCACCCACTTTACGATATGAGCATCCCCTTTGCTTGCTTTCTTTCTCTCTTTCTTTCTTTCTTTCTTTCTTTCTTTCTTTCTTTCTTATTTTTTGTTAAAATATATTTTATTGATTTTCTACAGAGAGGAAGGGAGATGGACAGAGAGTTAGAAGCATCAATGAGAGAAACATCAATCAGCTGCCTCCTGCACACCCCTTACTGGGGATGTGCCTGCAACCAAGGTACATGCCCTTGACTGGAATCGAACCTGGGACCCTTCAGTCCGCAGGCCGACACTCTATCCACTGAGCCAAATCCGTTAGGCCCCTTTGCTTTTTTTTTTTTTTTTTTTTTAATATATTTTTATTAATTTTAGAGACGAAGGGAGAAGGATAGAGTCAGAAACTGATGAGAGAGAAACATCAACCAGCTGCCTCCTGCACACTTCCCACTGGGATGTGCCTGCAACATGCCCCTGACCAGAATCGAACCTGGGACCCTTCAGTCCGCAGGCCGATGCTCTATCCACTGATCCAAACCGGCTAGGGCCCCTTTGCTTTCTTTCACACCCTCTGCATGTACATTCAGGCTCATCTTGCTCTCCCCTGGGAATGTCAGCCGTGCACACAGATGGGTGGTTACGCCTCAAGGGTCCACCGAAGTCCCCGCTCACTTTTCTCGGACTCTGACTGCTAATGTGAAGGCTCTGGTCTTTCCTCGCAGTTCCTCTCTAACCCGACGTGTGCATGGTCTTCTTGTCCGCCCCGTTCATTTCAACAAGTCACTGACTCTCAGCAGCTACTCCCAAGCCCTCGCTCCCAGGGTAAGGTGACCAGACATGCTGCTTTTGGCGGGACAGTCCCGCTTTATTTTTTTATTTTTATTTTTTTTAACAATTTGTCCCGCATCCCGCAGCGTTTTAAAAAAGTCCCGATTTCAATCTTTCCAAAAATCGAGACTTTTTTTAAAACGCCGTAGGATGAGGGACAAATTGTTAAAAATCGGGACGTCTGGTCACCTTATCCTAGGGTCACAAGGAATCTAGGAACATATCACAGCCATGCCAGTCACAATCAGGACATGACGCTGCACCTGAGGGGCAGACCTTACCCACAGCACACGTTTATCCCATCATTCATCTCATCTTTACCCAACACTGAAAGGCGGCTGCAGCGGTCTGGGCCTGATGTGGGTTGAATCGTGTCCTCCACACCCTCGCCCTCCCTCCCCCAGAAAAAGCTATGCTGAAGTCATCCAATACCTCGGTGACGTAATTACAAGAAGGATTACAAGAAGGATCACTGCGGAAGGTGTGAGCATTGTCCCACATCCCTCCTCACAAACTCCTCCCAACTCCACCAGGAGTTTGACCATTTGCTATGACGTGTGCTGGCCCCCAGATGGTGACCAGTGATGGCAGCGGGGGCCTGATTGCCAGGCACTCAGTGAGCCAGGCGGGGGCCTGATCGCCTCACCAATGGCCCGGCAGATGGTGAGCAGTGGTGGCGGCAGGGGGCGGGGCTGCGGCCCAGCTCCGAGGTGCTGAGGGAGCTGGGCAGGGGCCCAATGACGCAGGTGGAGGTGGGGACCCAGGGACCCAGGTGCCGCCCAGGGCCCAGAGATCAGCTGGGATCCTGCCCTTCCAGGCCAGACAGATGCTGGCGCTTTGATCGCTGGCCAGGCCTAGTTATCAATAAGAACATCGAGAGGCCAAAAAGGAAATCTGCAGAGTTGCTAATGCTGTCCCAACTTCAACTACCAAGAAGCTCTCTTCACTTCCTTCTCAGAACCCTCTCAACTCCCTCTGGCTTCAAATTTTGGTTTTACTCCTTTATTCAGTGGTTTTCATTTATCTTCCTAGGAATACCCATCTTCAAATGCCTGCTAGACCGGAAACCTAAACATCTCGAGATCCAGTATTTCATACAGCCAATGGTTCAACTGGTTTTGCATACACAACGGGGGTGAAAAACCAATCCTGACATCATCAGATCCCCCTTTCATCAATCCCAATCATCTCCCCAAGTTGGAGAATTAAGGTCATTGAGGACAGATTAGGTCTGTCTTAAACAGGACGGGAATTGAATAAAGTTTGTCTCTACTAAAGTCCAGGCTTATGTTTTCCCCTGGACTCTAGGTTATTTTTCACTTATTTATCAGGTCATTCTGTGGCTCTTTATATATAGAAGGCACCACTTCAAGCACTTGGCCAATATATCACTTAACCTCCATAACAACTCTACGAAGTAGGCAGTACTCTGATGCCCACTACACATACGAGGGAACTGAGGCACAGAGAGGTTAAGCACGTTTCCTAAGGTCACACAGCTGGAAAGTGGTAGAGATGGGTTTGTCCTGTGACAGTCTTGGCTCTCATTCTCTGCTATTGCCTCTCCAGCAAACGACCAGGAGGTCACTCATAAAAGACTGAGGTTCTCACATGATCTTCTGGGCCCTGGCTTTTGTTGTTGTTGTTGTTAATCCTCACATGAGAATTTTTAAAATTGATTTTTAGAGAGAGTGGAAGGGCAGGAGAGGGACACAGAGAGAGAAACATTGATGAGTCTCATATAATCAATTGGTTGCCTCTGGAGATGGAGCCTGCAACTGTGAAACATGCCCTTCACCGGAATCGAACCAGAGACCCTTCAGTTCCTGGGTCGATGCTCTATCTATTGAGACAAACCAGGCAGGGCAGGGCCCTGGCTTTTAAGAAGTCAAGGACTGCCTGAAAAATGGTTATGACTATTGGAGCTAGGTCGATCTCCTTGAAGGTTGTAGGGAAGCACGTTCGGCGTAGTGACACAGGCTGGCCGCCTGGGGGCGCCGGCCCCGTTCTTGGAGTCTGGAGAGGGAGGAGGGAACCCGGGAAATCAATGTCAGGCTAAGACTCTTAGGGTCACAGAAGGTTGAGAACACAGCATCTTAGGAGCCGAGAACAAAGCCTCTTAGAACGAAGAACAAAGGCCCCTGGAATTGTAGGATGGTGATCGCAGAGCCTCGCAGCGTCTGGGAGACAAAAGGCGCTTTAGATTCTGTTCTGCCCGAATCATAGCGTCTCCACCCAGGTTCCTAGGATTCCAGAATCTGGGATATAATTTCAAATTATATTTGGGATATAACCGATCTTAGACTCTTAGAAGCAAGACTGGCTACATAATTGGCGAGGCCCAATGTGAAATGGAAACGCGGGGCCCCTTGTTCAAAAAAATTTAAGCATTTCAAGACAGTAGCAGCAGAACGTTAAAACTAAGCTCCTGGCCAAAACCGGTTTAGCTCAATGGATAGAGCGTCGGCTTGGGGACTGAAGGGACCCAGGTTCGATTCCGGTCAAGGGCATGTACCTTGGTTGCGGGCATATCCCCAGTAGGAGGTGTGCAAGAGGCAACTGATCGATGACTCTCTCTCATTGATGTTTCTAACTATCTCTCTCCCTTCCTCTCTGTACAAAATCAATAAAATATATTCAAAAAAAAAACCTAAGCTCCTGGATCTTCATAGCTGGCCGCATGCAGAAGTATATAATTTTATGGGAGTTTCTTGATCTTAGCTAGATGGGCCCTCTAGCTTTACAGCCGGATGTCTGGGAAGGCTCCGTGGGAGAGGAAGGCGCCATCAGGGCTCGGTCCTTTAACCCTTTCCTCCTCCTGTCCAGCCTCAGAAGCGGAAGGCTGCTGGGAGTTGAGGGGAAAGGAAGAACCTCTGCCAAACTGTCACTTGGACCCGCTCTCTATTTATAGAACTCCTCTTCCCCTGCTGCCCGGCCGGCCAATGGCAGCCAGACCCCGCTGCGGGCCCGGAGAAGCACGGACCAATGGTATTGGAGCGAGGGCGGGCTTGTTTCATTGTAACGCTTGGGGGGCGTGGTCACGGACCAATGGCAGGCCAGCGTGGGGGGGCGTGGCGGAGAGCACAACCAGTTGGCAGCCGCGAAGCTGCGAGCGTGCGTTGCGTGAAGCGAGCGGGGCGGGGCGCGGACGGCGGAGCCATAGGTAACGGTTGCTGTGCGGCCGGGGGCGTGGCCATGCAGATGAGGCGCGGGTGGGCGGCCCAATGGGCGGGCGCCTATGCAGATGAGACGGTGACAGCCGGGCCAGCGGGCGGGCGGGCGGGCGGGCTGTCGGGGCGGGGAGGTGGGACCCGCAGAGGTGGCCGCGGGGCCCGGCTGGGCTGGGGCGGGGGGCCGCAGCCATGATCCGGGCCTTCTCGTTCCCGGTGAGCCCCGAGCGGGGCCGGCTGCGGGGCTGGCTGGAGGGCAGCCTGGCCGGGCTCTGCGAGTTGCACTGGCTGCGGGAGCGGCAGGAGTACCGCGTGCAGCAGGCGCTGCGGCTGGCCCAGCCCGGAATGGGGGGCGCCGAGGCCGAGGACGAGGAGGATGCCGACGAGGACGAGGATGCGGCGGCGGCGCGCCGGGCCGCGGCGGCCCTGGAGGAGCAGCTGGTGAGGGGTCGCCTGTCCGTCCCTCCCTCCGCAGCCATCTGTGTGTGTCTGTCTGTCTGCCTGTCTGTCTGGGTTGGATGCTCCTATGCCCATCCCGGTGGGGGGGAGGGGTGCAGGGGAGGGGGTGGGGCTGCAGACCCTGGAGTCTGGGCGGCGGGCGGGCGGGCGGGCGGGATGTGGCCTCCCCACCCCCAGGCTGGGGAAGGAGGGGCTGCATCACCCCTGTCGGAGCCTCTAGAGATGCACAGGCCCCATCCCTCGCGCCCCTTCCCCAAAGGAAATGTTTTTGGGCGCCAAGTATGTGTCCAGCCCAGGGACCAGGACTGGGCATGCGTTGTCTCTCTGCAGCTTGGAGGGTGAGAGGAGATAGTCCCCATTTTACAGAGGAAGAAACTGAGGCTCAGAGAGGGCAAACGACTCACCCAAGGTCACACAGCCGGGATCCAAACACGCCCCAGTCTGGGGCCCGGCTGCCCGGGCTCCATCTTCCCTACATGCGGGTGTGCTTGGAGATCTCGGGAGAGGGGGTGGGGGGCGGCTCAGGGGGAGGGAATCTTAGGGTCCCCAGAGGGAAGCTCACAGTCCCCGAGGTCCTCACGGTGATCTTGACCCTCCCATGTCTCTCTCTCCCTCCTTTCCTACTGGTCCCAACCCTGCTTAACCCAAGAGGAGGCCGGTTGAGGTGTCTGAGTTCTGGGCCCTGAGGTGCTCTCATGGGGGAGATGAGGCAGGAGTCTGCACTCTTGTCATTCTCCACTCGCCCTCCCCTCATTCTTGCTTCTCTGACCGCTTCCTGGGTTCCTCTCCCTGCTCACCGCGCCACCTCTCTGTGACTTGCTGTGTGCTTCTCCCGCTCTGCTCCTCCCTTCTGCACCTCTCTTCCTGCCCCAGGTCCCCGTCCCTGTCTCTCTCTTCCCCTCCCCCCAGCCCGCCGGGCCCCAGACCCCAGCTTCCCCCATCCCCAAGCCTGTGGGTGGTCAGAGCTTCCGGTTTGGGGAAACCTGAGCCGAGGTGGCGGGGGAGGGGGCTCTCCCTGCTGCTGACCTCGGCTGCCCCCACCCCAGATGGGGACTGGAGAGGGGGGACCGCAGCCAGACTCCCAGGCTGCACGCCCAGCCCCTCCCCGGGCGGGAGTGGGACCCTGCACATTCTTCTCTGGAAACAGAAACAGCTGTGGGAGGCCCCACCCCCTCCCAAAGTTAGAGACACATTGTGGGGGCCTCCGCCCGCTCCTGCACCCCTCCCCCGGCAGGCTGTGCCCCTCGCTGTCCCTCAGCCTCTCCCTCTCTCTGCCTCAGTCTCCCCTGCCTTCCCCCCTCCCTCTCCCCATCTCTGCCTCTCAACCCCCCTCCCTGCCCCCACCATGAGGTGGTAGTCGAGAGGCCTCTCCCCCTGCCCACCACACACACACACACACACACACACACACACACACACACACACAGTCTCCAGGCGAAGCTCTGTCCCAGCGTCAGGGAGGAGGCGGCAGCAGGCAGCGGGAGGGGGAGCCCCACAGAGAGGAGCAGAGAAAGCGCTAAATATAAACCCCTCCGGCGTTAGGGGTTCCTGGGTCCTTCTGAAGAGGGGGTGGAGGTTTCCACTCGCTCCTGAGCCTCTGTCTTACTACGTACCCCTCCCAGTCCCTCTGAAGCAAGCACGCCGAAGCCAGGCGTCATTCATTCCTAATAACAGTGATGGGGATGCGGGAGCGGGGCGAGGGGATGGCAGAGAGAACAGGCAGGAATCCTGGGGGTGCAGGGAGGGGGGTGGTCCTGTTCTCTCCCGCCAAGGAAGAAGATCCCCTTCCAGCAAGAAGGACTTAAGTTAGACTTGCAGAAGGACTTCCTGACAGAGAGCAAGGGAGTTGGACACAGACTAGGGGAGGAACGAAGGCCTGGAAAAGTTTGGGCAAAGGGGTTAGGTCTCCAGGAAGCCCTAACCACATTCAGGTCATACCTGTTGAAGCTTGACACACACACACACACACCCTGCAGCCCACTAGTCACCATGGGCAAATGGGGATCCAGATTCAGACCAAAGACCTTCTGGTCTTTTAAAGATTCATGCCTTTGCAGCTGGAAAGAATGAGGTCAGACTTAGAATAGACTGAGGGAGGGCGAGTTGGGGGTGGGGGGTAAGGGGGGGGGGTCCAGGCACAAAGGGGAGGCCTCTCCTTTCTGTCCCCCTAACTCCTGCCTTCCCGACAGCGGCAGCATTGAAGTGAGATCTGAAGAATTGACCAATATTTATTTTTAATGACACGAGTAAACATGATTTTATAGTTTTCCGTGTTGGACGTTCAGAGCGTTCACGTAATGATAAAAGCTAGCATTTCCGAAGGGTTTAGCAGGAGCTGCTGTTTTTAACTCACCGAGTTCTCACAGCAACCCAGTCAGAGAGGGAGTGGAAGGGTGCCCTGTTACGGATGAGGAGACCAAGGCCCAGAGAGGGGAAGTCACTGCTCAGGGCCACACAGCGGGGAAGCGCCAGAGCTGAACTGGAACCCTGGGAACTGGGACCCGCGCTGTGCCTCCTCAGCCACTCCATCCTCCCAGCCAGGAGTCCTATCCCTCACGGACTCCCTGACTGCACCCTCCCCCCCCCACACACACACACACCACCCCTGAGCCCCCCCCCCCCACCTCTTTGGATGATCTTCTGGCAGAAACGGCTTACATACCCAAAATATCAAGTTTTGCTTTGCTTTTGGACACACCCCAGGGTCTTGGGTGAGGTCCCAGAGACTGTGCTCCAGTGGCTTTCAAAATGTGGCCCAGTGGACTAGCGCCTCACATGGGGACCTGTTAGAAATGCTGTTTGGGGGGCTAGGACGGCCTGGCATCAGAAGTTCTGGAGGGACCCCGCAATTCAGGTTTTAACGTGCTCTCCGGGTGATGCTGACCCACCCTCACATGACACACCCTGCCCTCCCCTTCCTCCACTCCACACTCTCATCTCCCTTCTTCTTCTTCTTCTTCTTCTTCTTCTTCTTCTTCTTCTTCTTCTTCTTCTTCTTCTTCTTCTTCTTCTTCTTCAATATATTTTATTGATTTTTTACAGAGAGGAAGGGAGAGGGATAGAGTTAGAAACATCAATCAGCTGCCTCTTGCACACTCCCTACTGGGGATGTGCCCGCAACCAAGGTACATGCCCTGACCGGAATCGAACGTGGGACCCTTCAGTCCGCAGGCAAATGCTCTATCCACTGAGCCAAACCGGTTTCAGCTCGCCAGTGCTTCTGTGTAGAAATGGCTGCCTTCCCTATGAGCTGTGGTCTAGCATGCTGCTGCACACTCACTCCTTCGTGGAGACTTTCCTGAGCACCTGCTCTGTGCCAGGCACTGTCCTGGGCACTGGAGGCTGGGAAGGGGCAGGAGGGAACAGAACAGTGAGGACGCTCTGCTAAACAAATGCCAACCTGATCTATGATGTTAAGCCTGGAGGGCATTACCACAAGGAAGGAAAAAAGGCAGGGCCCCCGGGGTGCAGGATGACGGGGAGTTATTTTGGAGAGAGGGTGGGAGAAGGGATGGATGGGGTGAGCAAAGTTTCTGAATGAAACAAGGGAGCGAGGCAGAGGGAGATGTGGGGGACACAGCCTCCCGAGGGGGGCCCAGGCCAGGCACGTGCAGGGAACAGCGAGGCCAGTGTGGCTAGTGCAGTGAGCAAGGGGGCACATGACACAGGGCATGCGGGCAAATGGTGATTTGTTTTGTAGCCACCTCTGACTGCACAGCTCGCCTGCCTCCCTGGGTTTTGCTCAAAGATGGCGCCCCCCTGAGCACCCCTGCACACCCGGAGCAGGAGCCCAGCGTGCACGCAAAGTCTTGCTGCCTCCCCTGCCATAAACCAGCCCGGATGGGGGCTTCTGTGCAGGGGGATGGGGCCCGGGAGAGCAGTCACTGGAGTGGGAAGCAGGGGGAGGGGGTGTCTACCCGGAGCCGGCTGGCCTTGCTGCCTTAAATAGGCAGCGCTGGGCGCCGGCCCTCCCGCCCCTCCTCTCGCTCCCCTCCCTCCCCTTCCCTCCCGCCGGCCAGACAAGCCTCTTTTGTCTGAGGTCAACCGTCAGCTCCCGCCGCTGCCCCTCTGGCCTCACCCGGACCCCGGGGACTCTTCCTGGCTCTGGCCCCATTTCCCCAAATGGTGCTGCTAAGTTCTAGGGTCTTAGAGACCCTGCCAGGGTGGGTGCAGCCCCTGCCCTCACCCGCAGTCCCTGTCACACTCCCCTCAAAGCCTTTTCTTTTTCTTTTAAAAAATTTTAAATATATTTTACTGACTTTTTTACAGAGAGGAAGAGAGAGGGATAGTTAGAAACATCCTCTTGCACACACACCCCCCCTACTGGGGATGTGCCCGCAACCAAGGTACATGCCCTTAACTGGAATCGAACCCAGGACTTTTCAGCCCACAGGCTGATGCTCTGCCCACTGAGCCACACCGGTTTGCGTTTTCACCGTCATTTCTTCACACCTGGGAGGAAGGGGTCCCTCCCTGCAGCCACAAGGAGCCAGGGGAGACCCCACAGACATTCCTACCGGGATGAGGAGCAGGGGGTGGGCACCGGGGGCTTCTGGGTGAGGATGGAGCAAGAGCAGGAGGCAGACGTGGTCCCGGGGGGGGGCAAAGGGACCCACCACTGAGGCCAGGAAGGCCCTGCCATGAGGCATGGGGGTGCTTTCTGAAGTGAGGAGCAAAACATATGAGTCATAGGGTCAGTCTGCACCAGAAAGGACTCCGGAACTCCTGCAAAGGAACTTGCTATTGGCGGGGAAGGGGCAGTAGGAGAGGAGGAGAGCAGGTCAAATGTGGGAGACGGCAGAGCAATGGCTAGGGGATCTGCTAGGGCCTGGACACACCTTTCAGCAATGAAGTGCCTCTAAAGCAAGAAGGATTGAAGTTAGACTCAAGGAAGCATTTTCTTTTTTAAAAAAAAAATATTTTATTGATTTTGTACAGAGAGGAAGGGAGAGAGATAGAGAGTTAGAAACATCGATGAGAGAAAGTCATCTATCAGCTGCCTCTTGCACACCCCCTACTGGGGATATGCCCGCAACCAGGGTACATGCCCTTGACCGGAATCAAACCCGGGTCCCTTCAGTCCCCAAGCCTCTATCCACTGAGCCAAACCGGTTTTGGCCAAGGAAGCACTTTCTGACAGGGGTTACGGGGCCATCCTGCAGGGAGTGAGGTGGCTGCCGTGAGCACTGCCTTTAGCCACAGGACTTTCTGAGGATCCAGGGGCAGAGGTCTTAGTGGGGATCCTGTGACTTAGGCCCCGCTTTTACCCTTTTGATGTCCGAGCCAACTCTGGGACTGGGGGGGCTGGAACAGGCAGAGGCCTCGGGGGTGCCCTCTGACCGCCCTGCTCTTGCCATGCCTTCAGGAGGCCTTGCCCGGACTCATCTGGGACCTGGGCCAGCAGCTGGGAGACCTGAGCCTGGAGTCTGGGGGCCTGGGACAGGAAAGTGGGCGCAGCTCAGGTGAGCACCGGGAAGGGGAGCAGGGTCTGCCTGGGATGCCCCAATGTCTCCCACCGCCCCCGCTTTTTACGGCCCCTCCCCCCCCCCCACTCTGTTGCTTGGTGTCCTCCTTTCTCCACCCCCTGGGGTCCCTCCAGCCAAGCCCCCTTTTCGGCTCTCCCTTTCTCCCTCCCCAATGCAGGCTTCTACGAAGACCCCAGCTCCACGGGAGGTCCCGACTCGCCGCCCTCGACCTTCTGTGGGGACAGCGGCTTCTCCGGATCTGGCTCCTATGGACGCCTGGGTCCCTCCGAGCCCCGGGTCATCTATGCCAGTGAGAGGCCCAAGTCCCTAGGTAAGGTGGGGGTGGGCCCTGGCAGCCAGGGAAGTGACGGTGAGAAGATGGCCTTGAGCACACCTCTGAGTCAAACCAACCTGCGTGTGGATTCTGGCTGCAACCTTCCCCCTCGTGTGGTGTTGAGCATGTCCTTTCTCTGTGGGCCTCAGTTTCTCCATCTGTCAAATGGGATTTTCCTCCTAGGGAAGCTCTGGGTATGCAGTGAGCCTCTGCCTTGGGGCATTGGACTGGGCACAGGGAACCTCTCAGTAATCAGGATCTGCTGTTATTCGTTCATCCCAGCTCCTGAGACCCGGCTAGGTGCTATCCTGACACTGCCCCGGGGGTGAGGGGTACGGCAATGAAAACAGCCCATCTTCACAGCACTGACATTCTAGTGGGCGACATAGGTAAGGTGAGCAGGCGTCCCGATTTTTAACAATTTGTCCCGGGGCGTTTTATTTATTTTTATTTTATTTTTTTAAACATATTTTATTGATTTTTCACAGAGAGGGAGAGGGACAGAGAGTTAGAAACATCGATGAGAGAGAAAGATCGACCAGCTGCCTCCTGCACACCCCCTACTGGGGATGTGCCCGCAACCAAGGTACATGCCCTTGACCGGAATCGAACCCGGGACCCTTCAGTCTGCAGGCTGATGCTCTATCCACTGAGCCAAACCATTTTCGGCCCGCTGCATTTTAAAAATCCGGACTTTTTTAAAACGCCGCGGGACAAATTGTTTAAAATCAGGACTGTCCCGCCTAAAGCGGGAAGCCTGGTCACCTTAGACCTAGGTAACATACAAGATAAGTATGTGCACCACAGAGGGGATTGGATACCGACAAGTACAACGAAAAGAAAATGGGGGAAAGAATTGCAATGTTGCAACATATGCTCAGAGAGGGCACCGCTGAGACGGTGAGTGGCATTTGAGTGGCACCAGGAAGTGAGGACGTGGACCCCTCAGGTCTCCTGGGGGAAGTGCATTTGCAGGAATGGGGTAACGGCAAGTGCAAAGGCCCTGAGGCCGTGTGGCTGGCCTCTGCACCCGGGGGTCGCTCTGGCTGGAGACCAGTAGTTGTGGAGGAGGGGGTTAGGGATGGAGGTCAGAGAGGCCGAGGAGGACCGGTCCCTCAGGGCCGTTCAGGATGCTGTGAACCTGAAACAAGGGAAGGGGTGCGGGCAGGGTTCCTTCCCTTCCCCTTCCTTATTTTATTCTTTTCTCCCTTTCCTTTCCTTTTAATGGCGCGTTGGGAAGGGGCTCGGAGAGCCTCGCCCACTCCTCCTTTTCCATGTTGCTTCCTCCCCCAGGAGACGCCAGTCCCAGCGCTCCCGAGGCGGCGGGAGCTCGGGCACCGGTGCCGCGGTCCTTCTCGGCCCCCTACCCGACGGCGGCGGGCTCCGGGGGCTCGGAGGCCTGCTCCTCGGCGGAGCGGCGGGCCCGCGCGGGGCCCTTCCTGACGCCCAGCCCGCTGCACGCCGTGGCGCTGCGCAGCCCGCGGCCCTGCGGCCGCCCCGCCGCGGACTCGCCCGACGCCGCGGGCGCGGCGGGGCGGCCCCTGGACGGCTACATCTCGGCGCTCCTGCGCAGGCGCCGCCGCCGGGGGGCGGGCCAGCCCCGGACGAGCCCCGGGGGCGCGGACGGCGGCCCGCGGCGCCAGAACAGCGTGCGCCAGCGGCCGCCCGACGCGTCCCCGCCCCCCGGAGGCGCGCGGCCCGCGCCCGAGCCCCCCGGGGAGCGCGCGGGGGGCCGCCCCGCGAGCCCCAACCCCGCCGCCGCGGGCCGCGCCTGGGCCTCGCCGTGGGAGCCCGAGGCGGCGCCCGAGCCCGCCGCGCCGCCCGCCGAGCCCGAGCCCCCCGACAGCCCGGCGGAGGGCCGCCTGGTGAAGGCGCAGTACATCCCGGGCGCGCAGGCGGCCACCCGGGGCCTCCCGGGCCGCGCGGCCCGCCGCAAAGCGCCGCCGCTGACCCGGGGCCGCAGCGTGGAGCAGTCGCCGCCCCGGGAGCGCCCCCGGGCGGCCGGCCGCCGCGGACGCATGGCGGAGGCCGCGGGCCGCCGGGGCTCGCCGCGGGCGCGCAAGGCCGCGCGCTCGCAGTCGGAGACCAGCCTGCTGGGCCGCGCGGCCGCGGCGCCCCCGGGGCCCCCCAAGTACCCGACGGCGGAGCGCGAGGAGCCGCGGCCCCCGAGGCCCCGCCGGGGCCCCGCGCCCACGCTGGCCGCGCAGGCCGCGGGCTCCTGCCGCCGCTGGCGCTCCACGGCCGAGATCGACGCGGCGGACGGGCGCCGCGGCCGCCCCCGCGCCCCCGCCGCCCGCGGCCCCGCGCCCGGGCCCTCGCCGTCGGCTCCGCCGCGCCGGCTGCTCTACGGCTGCGCCGGCAGCGACTCCGAGTGCTCGGCGGCCGGGCGGCCGGGGCCGCTGGGACGCCGGGGCCCCGCGGGCGGCGGCGGCTACGGGGAGAGCGAGTCCAGCGCCAGCGACGGGGAGTCCCCCGCCTTCAGCTCCGCGTCCAGCGACTCGGACGGCAGCGGCGGCCTCGTGTGGCCGCAGCAGCTCGTGGCCGCCACCGCGGCGGCCGGGCCCGCGGGCGGGGCGGGCGGAGGGGCGCCCGCGGGCCCCGCCAAGGTCTTCGTCAAGATCAAGGCCTCGCACGCGCTCAAGAAGAAGATCCTGCGCTTCCGGTCGGGGTCCCTCAAGGTCATGACCACAGTATGAGGGTGGGGGTTCGCTTGTGCTCCCCCGCCCCCTCCTTTGTAGCCAATGCACCACCACCACCACCACCACCACCACCACCGCATTCCCTTCCAAAGACCACCGTCTCCTCGGCTTCCAAAGACCCTGCCCCGCTGCCCCCTGCACGGTGGTCCCGGCGGAACAGGCGCCAAATGGGGGCGGAGCCCTGTGTGACCCCCATGGGCTGAAGGCCCGGCTCTGCAGCCCCACCCCGGCTCTGCAGCCCCACCCCGGGCCAGAACGTCCCCTCTCTCTGGACCTCACCTTCTTCCTCTGGACTCTGGGTGCGCCATGGTATGCTGAAGGGGGAGTTCGGTTTGAATTTCCCCATTTAGTTTAGACCCTTAGTCTGTGGATGCCCTCCCCTTCCCTCACGGAGCCCTCCTCCTATTCCTCCTCCCCACGCCCAGATAGGGCCCCCCTCACACACAACATGCCCCCCATCCATGTCTCTGGACCCCCAGGACTTGCCCTTGGGGACTCTGTCAGACCCAGATGGTGCCTGCAGAGTGCCCTGGGAAGGCAAGGAGCGCTGACTTCGGGGTTTTGAGGGTCAAATAGGAGTTGATAACACCTGGAAAGAACTACTACTCTCCTCCATCTCCATCCACGGACCGTTATGGAGGATTGAGAAGGAGAAGAGGGGAAAGAAGATAGCTTCTATCTCGTGACCGCCCCCCTCCCTGGTGAGAGGGAGTGGGGGGAGCTCAGGAGGACCCTCAGCTGTTCCAATCCAGTATTATTTTTTTTTTCTTTTTAAAAAATTACTGTATTTATTATGACGATGGTGACCCCCCGGTGCACAGGGGGCCGGATTCTGTGTGTTTCTCTAACCTCTTTGTAAATAAATGTACAATGTTACATGTGTGGTGGACTCCACTTCTGTGTTAAGATGGGAGGAATGCTTTTATTAAGCAACTACTGTCTGCTTAGGCTGTAGCCATGCCCAGAACCGGATGGCAGCAGCCAGGTTGGCTGGTCTCCACATGATTTCCCTACCATTGGCTTTTACCTCAGTGAGTCTGGCCTTTGATGGAGTTTTGTTTGGCCATAAATATGGTTTCATAAAAGCGGAAACAACAGCCCTAACCGGTGTGGCTCAGTGGCTGAAGCATCGACCTGCAGACTGAAGGGTCCCGGGCTCGATTCCGGTCAAGGGCATGTACCTTGGTTGTGGGCACATCTTCAGTAGGGGGTGTGCAGGAGGCAGCTGATCAATGTTTCTTTCTCATTGATGTTTCTAACTATTCCCTCTCCCTTCCTCTCTGTAAAAAAAATCAGTAAAATATAAATTTTTCTTAAGAAAGCAGAAACAATGTAGGTAAAAAGGACAGACCCCAATCCCTTTCTCAGAAGTCATCATAATCAGTGCGGTATGCATCCCCTTCATGCTTTCCCTTTATGTGTTTGCCTACATATATGGATCTAGTAACCATATCAATATATATATTAATAACTACATATGTGCATATACATATTGTTGCACTGTATATATAAAACTACATAAATTGAACTATATGCATTTTTTATCAAATGATTTTGGTTAAGTCATCTGTGCCCAGAGATTTCTTTATGGGAAAGATTTTCATTAAGAACTGAATTTCTTTGGTAGTTACAGTACTATTAAGCTTTTCTATTTCTTCCTGTGTCAGTTTTGCTAAGTGGTATTCTTCTAGGAATTTTTCCATTTAATCTAAACTTAGATGACATATATTCCTATTATTGCTTAAGCTGTATAAGATTCTACTGTAGGGAGCCCCATAATCTAACCCTATTGTCAGCTCTCCAGTTTCTTTGCTATTATGGACCTTGCTGCAGTAATGTCCTTACATGTATGACTATCTGTTGGATCCACTCCTAGAAATAGAATTGCTTAGTCACTATAGTCTGATCATTTTAAAAAAATTTTTAAATGCTCACTTGATATATATATATATTTGGCTAATCCTCACCCAAGGATATTTTCCCATTGATTTTTACTAGAGAGAGTGGAAAGGAGGGGGAGAGACAGAGAGAGAGACACATTGATTGGTTGTCTCACACATGCTCCCCAACCAGGGCCCCAGTGGAGACTGCAACCAAAGTATGTGCCCTTGACCGGAATCGAACCCGGGACCCTTCAGTCTGCAGGCCAATGCTCTATCCACTGAGTCAAATCGGCTAGGGCCTGAGGGTATTTTTTCCATTGCTTTTTTTAGAGAGAGTGGAATGGTGGGAGTGGGAGGGAGAGAGAGGAACATTAATGAGAGAGAGACACATCAATTAATTGCCTCTGGTGCACAGGCCCCAACTGTGGCGGGGGGGAGGGGGGAGGGAGGAGAAGTGGGGGGGGGGCAGGGGAAGGGGGCAGATACTGTGCCCTTAACCTTAGCTGGGAATCAAACTCACAACCCTTCTGTGTGAGGGCCGATGTTCTAACCACTGAGCAACACCTGCCAGGGCTCATTAAAAAACTGATAAATTAAAAAAAATTATTTTTGTTAATCCTGAGGTTATTTTTCTCTTGATTTTTAGGGAGAGTGAAAGAGAGAGGGAAAGACACAGAGAAACATTGATGTGAGAGAAACGCATCAATTGGTTACCTCCTGCACGAGTCCTGACCAGCATCGAACCCTAGACCTTTTGGTCCACAGTCTGACGCTCTATCCACTGAGCCAAACCAGCTAGGGTTAGAAATTTTTAAAAATATACAAGTTTTTATTTATTTTTAAAGAGAGAAACATCAATGAGAGAAACCTCATCAGCTGGCTGCCTCCTGCACGCTCCCTCCTGAGGATCGAGCCAGCAATCAAAACCTGGGCACATACCCTGGGAATCAAACAGGATATCTCTTCATTCCTGGGTCGATGCTCAACCACTGAGCAACCCTGGCGGGGCCCATTTAGAAACGTTTAACTGGCGTGGCCACACTTCCTTTCTTTTCTTTCTTTTTTTTTTTTTTTTTTTTTTTTGTAATATATTTTATTGATTTTGTACAGAGAGGAAGGGAGAGAGATAGAGAGCTAGAAACATCGATGAGAGAGAGTCATCGATCAGCTGCCTCTTGCACACCCCCCACTGGGGATGTGCCCGCAACCAAGGTACATGCATGCCCTTGACCGGAATCGAACCCGGGTCCCTTCAGTCCCCAAGCCGACGCTCTATCCATTGAGCCAAACCGGTTTCAGCACCTTTCACTAAGGCTGCCCTTCACTGACATTCGCAACAGCGCCTGGCTGGTGTTGCTCAGTGGTTGAGCCTTGACCTAGGAACCAAGTCACGACTGATTCCCAGTCATGGCACATGCCCGGGTTGCAGGCTTGATCTCCAGAAGGGGGCGTACCGGAGGCAGCCAGTCATCACGGAGCCAAACATCATTGAAGTTTCTGTCTCTCTATCCCCCTCCCTTCCTCTCAGAAATCAATAAAAATGTATTTTAAAAAATATATATGTATTGAAAAACACACACAGCTTTTTTTGAGATGCCGGTTTCCCCACTCCTTTACCAAACAATGGCTTAAGAACTGCTGTTTTAATTAGCAGGTCTCCCTCTGTTTCCTTGATGAGAGACATCTTGTTTGCTTATTGAACCACTTGTGTTTCTTCTGTGAACTGCCTGTTCACATCCTTTGCCTATTTTCTATGGGATAAGCCCAATAATCATTCTAATTTCAAGGCTGGGCTTTAAAGAAATATATTTTATTTCTTTCTTACAGAGAGGAAGGGAGAGGGATAGAGAGTTAGAAACATCTATGGGAGAGAAACATCGATCAGCTGCCTCCTGCACACCCCCCACTGGGGATGTGCCCCCAACCAAGGTACATCCCCTTGGCCTGAATCGAACCTGCGACCCTTGAGTCCGCAGGCCGACACTCTATCCACTGAGCCAAACCGGTTAGGACCCAAGGCTGGATTAACAGAGGCTCAGAGAGGGAGACAAGACAAGGACCCACCTGCCACCAAGTCTGCAGTCTGGAGGGTGGGTATTTGTTGCTCCTTTGACCTTTGTGCCTACATGGGTGGGCCCGCCTCTCTGTCCCTCTGAGATCTGAGAAGCGGGGACCAGTCCTACTGTGCACCCCTGAATCTCTGGTGCTCAGTAGGGCCCTGTGGACACAGCAAGGAACAACACAGAAAAGTCTCTGCCCCATGGAGCTCCCACTCCGTGTGTGTGGATAAACATGTTTCTTTTAGAGTACTAATAAATCAAAGTTATTTTTAAAAGTTTGCCAGGAAAAGCCGCGGCTTGTCAGGCCCCTGGGAATAGTCGCCCGTCTCCAGACTGTGAAAGAGGCAACCGGAGCCAGAGAGAGGAAGAGACTCGTCTCTGCAGGTCACTCCCTGGTCAGATGGCTGCAGTGAGATGGACTTCCTTCCTAGCCCATGCCGGACTCTGTTCTCAGAACCTTATATATATTGATTCATTTAATCCTCACCACCTCCTGAGGGTCAGATACTGTTATCATGCCCATTTTACAGATAGGGAATTGAGGCACAGAGCGGTTCAGTAGCTTACCTGGTGCTCAAATTGCAAAGATGGAATTTCAGTTCAGGTTGCCTGAGAATCAGGCCCTTAACCTCCGTCCTACGTAGTATATCTGCAAAGGGATTGTCTCTGGAATTTATAGACAAGGAACTGGTCACAGGGATGGAAGCTGGGTGGGGAGGGGAGGGGATATAATAAAAGATTAAATTTTATAACCTCTTAAAGGTGGCAAGGCCTTGGCTGGTGCGGCTCAGTGGTTTGAGTGTCGGCCAGTACACCGAAGGGTTGTGGGTTCGATCCCCAGCCCTATCAGGGTGTGTGTGGTAAAGGCAACCAATTGATGTGTTGCTATCAAATTAACATTTCTCTCTCTCTGCCCCTCCCCCATCGTTTCCCTCACTTCTACTCTCACTAAAAACCAATGGAAAAAATATCCTCATGCCAGGCTAGCATGGCTCAGTGGTTGAGCATTGACCTATGAACCAGAAGGTCACACAGTTCAATTCTGGGATTGTGG